AGTGATTGAAAGTATGCAGTCTTTAGGAATGGACAAGTTTCGAGTGGCATTTACCCGATTTCTCGCTTTCTATTCTAACAATCCTTCTGGCGAAACACCGGCGAAATGGCAAAGTAAGGCAAGTTTCGCCACTCACCCCTCGACCGAACCTGAATGGCCGCCAAAACTTTTAACACGATTCAGTAGCTAAAGGATTGAACTACACAGTGATATGCAGGAGAGTCTGTAAGTGTGAGCCACTTTTGAGATTTAATCCACTGAATTTGGCCAAAATCGTATGTTTCGCTAAGTGGGGCAAAGGGGCTAAGTGTGTTTCCTCAGATTTTCTTAACGAAAAGGTGTTGCTGATTCTGACCTGTACTATTTTAAAGATAAAGGCTCAATTAAAATAACTAGTAAATTGGAAGCTTTGGGTCGCACTCTTTTATCCGGAGCAATCGGTTGAATTTTGACAAAATTTGCATATTTCACAAGCATCTCAGGTCCTCATGTGGCGCCGAAAGAAAATTCGTTAAAAAAAATTTACGGAAGCGAATTTCTCCAATCTAGTTTCATATTTGTTATATACTTATTAAAAGAAGTCTACAGAAAAATTATGAGCGAAATCCATATTGTGGGCAAAACTCGATATGAGGATCTTACAGAGACTAGCTCTTTAATACAGTCAAACCAGATCAAGCGTCCCCGTCGCTAACGAACTAATGAATTCATTCACGGAAAAATGATTTCGTTTGTTGATTCAATAATCCATTGATAAAATGAACAATCCAACGGTCATATTTAGCCTCGATTCCATAATCGAATGTTGATTCGATTACTGTTTTTTGAAAAATTACACTTTCCACAAGTTGACCTCAGAATTTTGTTTTTTCCACTTTTTTTTTTCTGAGAATCGAGTGCTGGCGAGTTCTGAACTTCAAACCCAAACAAACTGTTACATGTACGCCAGTTTGCTGCCAGTAATCAGTGCAACAGACCAAGGCCTGACCTCTTAGAAAACACGACGGTCAAACTGAGGTCAGTGTATGTGCGGTGATTGGTGGATTTCGATCCTCGGCCTTTGTCAGTTTCTTTGCGTTTGCAGTCTGTCTATTCTATATGGCGTACATTTGCGGACAAAAATAATTGAAAATAAAAGACAATTTGAAGTTCAAAAATTAGACTATCCACGTCGAAATCTCGTCATATGAATTTGAAATCGCAATGAACGCAGTCGAAATAGCATCATTCGAACTTGAAGTTACTTTGAACAAGTTGAAACTATAAGGGGAAAACTCGAAATCGCGGATGTTGAAGTTCAAATCACCATTCCAACTAAAATGCAAATTATATGATTTGAACTTCAATTCACCTTGTCGACTCTAATAAGCTACTTAATCGTCAACTATGCAACCATAATCTTCCACAAGATTCCAAATGAAACCTTTAATTTGAACTTAAAAGTCACGTCACATATTCGAATTCGAAAAACCAAAATTTCAATTCGAAAGGAAGCGGAAGTAAAAATACACAGCACCGAGTAACGACTAGGTACGAGTCTACAGATGGGAGGCTTGGAACCTGAGCTTTCCTGATCTCTGATGTGATCATCGTCATGGCTGCTCGATGGCTACCGAACAACGAAGAGTTTTTCGTTGGACTTGTCAGACTGTTAGAGGCATCAGAAACTAATCTAAACTCAGCATCATATTATAATTCTGAATTTTTATTTCGTCGACTTGATGCTCACCAGAGAACTTTGTCAACTCTGCTAACAGTGTTGACAAGCCTACACGACTCCTGCAGTTCGAGGATGAATAAATTCTGATAAAGCCTTCATAGCTTAGCTTTAACTAGGATGTCCTTTAAGGATTTTCCCTTACGATATGAGATGATGGGGGCTCCTTAAAGATTTCTCTCAGTTGCGGTTGATTTTCTATAAGGTGCCATTTTTCCATGAGTGTGTCCTTTAGGTTAGGCAACGCCGGATGGTATTGTGTTACAAAGGGCAGTATTTTCTTAGGTGCGGTTTTGTTTTTCTGCGCTAGCGACATTTCTCTATCAGAGAATTTGATCTCTGACGGGTGTTTTTCGACAATTCTAGCTGGGTAATCTCTATTCTGCAGGCGTGTTTTGAAATTACTCATGTTTTCCTCAAAAATAAATTGAGAGTAGTTTAAAGTTTAAGTTTGCCACTACAGCCCTCACAATCTGTTGGATTGTCCTAGAGTCACCCTTATCATTCACATTGTCCGCCATATTGACCAGAGAGTTCGAGTGAAGGGAAATCTTTTCGCGCCAAAATGCAGTCATGCAAACATCCCGTATGTAAAGTGTAGCTAAACTCTTATCATTTCCGGTTCCTGTGTATTTTTACTTCCGCTTCCTTTCGAATTGAAATTTTGGTTTTTCGAATTCGAATATGTGACGTGACTTTTAAGTTCAAATTAAAGGTTTCATTTGGAATCTTGTGGAAGATTATGGTTGCATAGTTGACGATTAAGTGGCTTATTAGAGTGGACAAGGTGAATTGAAGTTCAAATCATATAATTTGCATTTTAGTTGGAATGGTGATTTGAACTTCAACATCCGCGATTTCGAGTTTTCCCTTTATAGTTTCAACTTGTTCAAAGTAACTTCAAGTTCGAATGATGCTATTTCGACTGCGTTCATTGCGATTTCAAATTCATATGACGAGATTTCGACATGGATAGTCTAATTTTTGAACTTCAAATTGTCTTTTATTTTCAATTATTTTTGTCCGCAAATGTACGCCATAATTCTAGCTGTTATTTTGATTAAAGGCAATGAAAAACGCAATCGTAAACGGCAGGAAAAGGGAAGCAAATACGACTGAACACAACAGACAAGAATAAAGAACAGGTAGATTTTGTTCATAAACCAAATCAACATTTGATTATTGAATCGAGGTACAATTTGACTGTTGGATTATTCATTTTATGAATGGATTATTGAATCAACAAACGAAATCATTTTTCCATTAATGAATTCATTAGTTTGTTAGCGACGGGAACGCTTGACCTGGTTTGACTGTAAGTGCAATTACACTAAGTGAGTTCGTTACCTATGCGTCATCGGTGTTCTGCCTGTTTTTGTATTTGTAAGCATTTATACTAAAAAGAATTTAAAAACCTAAACAAACAAATGTGAGGACTGAGAGGACGTTTCTCCTCTGATTTCCAAAACAAACCTTTCACTTCACTAAATGACTCAACCACAGCATTTCCAAACTGCTTATCATTTATGGCGTTTTGAAGCATGCCTTCAAAGTCAGTAGATGTTCCCCTCACAATGTCAAGGAGGAATTCTGCAACGACACTTCCTTCCCTGGAGTCAAAAGGTAGAATAGATAAGACACAGTCTGAGATATTGAGATAGTTCTCAAAGGCCTACTGATCTTTGAAATATCAATCTCATTCCAGGGACCGTCTCTCCCATGTCGAGTCGTGACGTCGGGGACAAACTGAGAAGTACCATAAAGGGTTACAGTACTTACCCGCTTATAAGAACCTGTATTTAAGAACCTGTTAGCCTAAAATTCTCAATTTAGACCCCATTTACATAAGAACCTGTTTAGCCTAAAATTTGAAACAGGTTCTTATTTCATGGAAAATGTTTCAGTTATAACTTCTTCTGTCAAAAAAAAACATTTTATTCAGGCACATGGACAGAAGTATATATATACATATCTATTTCATTGGAATATATTAATACATGAACTTTTAGTTTTAGCTTGATACTGAATGTATCTACTAAAATTGGTCATGCCTGTGTCATTAAATTAATATATATTCCACCTTTCTACCATTTACAGATGTATAATATATTTCTCATTATATAAGAACCTATTTAAGACCCTCTGTAGCCTAAAATTCCACTAAACACCATTTACATAAGAACCCGTTTAGGCTAAATCTGAAAAAATAGGTTCTTATAAGCGGGTAAGTACTGTACTATGTTTATGCGGTTATTTGCAAACAAATGGACTTGTTTCCAAGCGAAAAAACAAGCGAGAAGGACAACCAAGACTTTCTACTTCCTACTAAACACCAACGTACCTGAAACCAACAACATTTACATCTCTGAAATCAACGACAGTTCTGTACACAGCTTTCATTCCTTCTTCTAACAAGGCTGAAAGATTCTTAAATGCCTTTGATGACGGATCATTGAGCTCCGCTGTAAACTGTTTATCAGTAAGTCTTAACACTGCTTTAATGTAAGCTGTGTCATCGTCTGCAAATGACGAAAAAACAAACGCCATAAAACTGTATCTTCAAATAGTAAGGGTAGCAGCGTGGCTGCGAGCTTGAAGCTCTGGGCTTGACGTCCTGCCATGACCATAAGCTGGATAGTCCCGAGTTCAAATCCTCAACCACCCTGATAAAATAACCAACTAATTCTTCTCCTTTCTATTGGGATTCTTAACTTTGTTTGTCTCATTTGAATCATTTGTTTCATTATCTGTCATCTTTTTTTATTTTGAAAGAAAGAATGGGAACTCGGCTATGCAAATAGGCCAGTGGCCAACTATTAGCTTCCGTCAGAACACGATTGAGACTAGAATGTAGAAGACTTCGTAAATAGCTTGTAGTCAAACATCGCGTGAGTGGAACGTTATTGTGTTTCTTGTTTTTCCTACTTTGGCTTTATCGCGAAAACAAACGGATAATGTAATGCAGTCACTGCACGCAGATAAAAACAAACCTTTCAAGTTGATTCTTATTCGTGAAAAGCTGCTTTCCAACCTATTGGACACGTGACATTCTACATCAGACGTCATTTTGACAACAAATGTCATGTTAGCTTCATAAGGTGACATGAATAAATGAGTTCCCTCCACTGTATAAGGACTGAGTTGGTTGACAAGCAACGTGATTGTGGGGCGAGGAAACCCAGACGCTGTGCACCTCACATTGACCTCATAACCGTAGCTGACTGATGAGATCTCTTCGTTTGGGACTAAGAACATCCTTGGCTTTTCTTTGGATAAAAAAAAGACAAATTTTGTAAGTCAAAGTAATTCATTCTCTCGCTGGTTGTGAAAGGAATATACGAAAGAAGCTATCCATGACTCCGACAAGACGCAACATGATATTTTTGCAGAGATGGCCCAACAGCTAAACAGCGCAGTAGCTATTGTGTATACCTAATTCAGTAAAGGCTACTTTAGCACTTAGTCATTGGCAATTGAGCATTGGGCATACGGAACTGGCCCTGTCATGCCTTGCTTGAGTGAATGCGAAACAATAGCCTTCCAGTGCGACCAATTCCCCAAGCAACCTTGATTAAATCAGGTTATCTGTTATTTGGTGTTAAATTCTCTTTCCTCCTTCTTTGCCTAAATAGAAGTTTATAGAAGATGAATGTGAACTCGCAACACTCGGATAGTTATGGAACGGTCACTTTATGGTTATGCATTCTCTTAGTTCTACATGGAACCAGAGCGAAATGTTAAAACTTACCAAAGGTGCCACTGCAATTACCAGGTGAATTACTTCCCGTCGGTAAATAACCGCAAACTCCAGCTGCAAAGTAATCATAATATGTAAATTCAATGAACCAAGAGAAACCTTTAAAAAACAATGTTCTTATGTGTTATAGGGATTATGCTCTATAGCGAACGTATATTAGAAGTCAAAGGTCTTTCGTCCCAGCTGGGCGACTAAAGTGCACACTTGATTTAGAACAAACCTTTTTCGCACACATATGAGCTGTGTGCAATGGTACATTCGCCAGTCCTCCATCGTCCATGACTATCGTTACGACCCATTTTGGCGCAAACGTCATTTCCTGACGCAGGTTCTCCGTCAGACCAAAAAGTGAATTGGCCAACAGAGGCACCGTCTGTCCAAACAAAGCTCACTGTTGATTGCTGGCGCAAACCGATCCAAGTGTCAAACGGCTGGTGAAGACCAAGACGGAAGACAAAATCGTGTACATCACTACTGGTGATCTTAGCAAGATCAGCATTAAGGTTCTTACAAAGGCCTCTTGCATCAGTCCATCTCCGTTGGCCGTTGAAGTACTTATAGCACGATGACATGTATTTGTTCCATCCCGGTTCACAGACTGCGGGTATAAGAGACTGCGGTAAGTAAATGTATCAAAAGCTAAGTCTCAGAAAGCTCATTGCCCATTGATCAAATTACTCTTTGCCTTTAGAAAGGAACCCTGTCCCTTGCAAATCCGGTCCACATCTCTTCTCCTCCGCAGAGGGTCCTCAGGTTATTCCAAAACAATAAGTATGATTAAAAACAAGAAAGCGAGCGGTAGACGATGGGAGGAGGGAAAAGGCATCCTCCGCGCGCATTATTGTTTCCCTTCCTCAAACGCCCTTCGACTGAAAGAGGAATCTGCGAATGAGAGAGGCTTTTCTTTGGATAAAAAAAGACAAATTTTCAAAGACAAAGTAATTCATTCTCTGGCTGGTTGTGAAAGGAATATAGGAAAGAAGCTATCCATGACTATGACAAGACGCAACATGATATTTTTGCAGAGATGGCCCAACAGCTAAACAGCTCAGTAGCTATTGTGTATACCTAATTCAATAAAGGCTGCTTTAGCACTTGGTCATTGGCAATTGAGCATTGGGCATACGGAACTCCCTGTCATGCCTTGCTTGAGTGAACGCGAAACAATAGCTTTCCAGTGCGTAAAGCCCAATGCCCCAAGCAACCTTGATTAAATCAGGTTACCTGCTAGTATTTGGTGTTAAAATCTCTTTCCTCCTTCTTTGCCTAAATAGAAGTTTATAGAAGATGAATGTGAACTCGCAACACTCAGATAGTCATGGAACGGTCACTGTATGGTTATGCATTCTCGTAGTTTTACATGGAGCCAGAGTGAAATGTTAAAACTTACCAAAGGTGCCACTGCAATTAGTTCCCGTCAGTAAATAATCGCAAACTCCAGCTGCAAAGCAATCATAATATGTAAATTCAATGAACTAAGAGAAACCTTTGAAAAACAATGTTCTTAGGTTTTATAGGGATTATGTTCTTTCAAGAACGTATATTAGAAGTCAAAGGGTTTGATCTTTCGTCCCAGCTGGGCGACTAAAGTGCTCACTTGATTTAGAACAAACCTTTTTCGCACACATATGAGTTGTGTGCAATGGTGCATTCACCTGTCCTCCATCGTCCATGACTATCGTTACGACCCATTTTGGCGCAAACGTCATTTCCTGACGCAGGTTCTCCGTCAGACCAAAAAGTGAATTGGCCAACAGAGGCACCGTCTGTCCAAACAAAGCTTACTGTTGATTGCTGGCGCAAACCGATCCAAGTGTCAAACGGCTGGTGAAGACCAAGACGGAAGACAAAATCGTGTACATCACTACTGGTGATCTTAGCAAGATCAGCATTAAGGTTCTTACAAAGGCCTCTTGCATCAGTCCATCTTTGTTGGCTGTTGAAGTACTTATAGCACGATGACATGTATTTGTTCCATCCTGGTTCACAGACTGCGGGTATAAGGGACTGGGGTAAGTAAATGTATCAAAAGCTAAGTCTTAGAAAGCTCATTGCCCATTGACCAAATTACTCTTTGCCTTTAGAAAGGAACCCTGTCCCTTGCAAATCCTGTCCACATCTCTTCTCCTCCGCAGAGGGTCCTCAGGTTATTCCAAAACAATAGGTATGATTAAAAACAAGAAAACGAGCGGTAGACGATGGGAGGAGGGAAAAGGCATCCTCCGCGAGCATTATTGTTCCCTTTCCTCAAACGCCCTTCGACTCAAAGAGGAATCTCTGGATGAGAGAGGTCCACCCATATCGCGGACCCTTCAGACGCAAGTGTTCTCTTATCTCCGAAACATATTTCTGAGAGTATAGCCACTGCACAAATGAAACAAAGAATTTTCTCGTGCTTATCATACCTTCTATGCATCCAATTTCGTCTGAGGAATCGGCGCAGTCAGCTTTACCATCACAAACATGTGTGATAGGAACACAAACATCTGTGGCACAACGGAATTCCTGCGTCTTACACCACCCTCCATCTAACGTGCGGCAAAATGTTTCATCGCTACCGTCGCCGCAGTCGTTGTACGCATCGCAAACAACCGACTGTGGAACACATCTTTTGTTCCAGCAGCGGAAGACATGCGTTCCGTTGCACTCGTCGCAGCCAGCTTCATCACTCCCGTCTTGGCAGTCATTAGCATTGTTGCAGAGCCATGGTTCTGGAATGCAGTGACCGTTTTGGCATTCAAATGACTCGGCATGGGGACTTTTACACGGCTGTACTCCTTGATTTACACTGCAGTATGTCTGGCGTAAGTCGTGGATACTTCCGTTACAGCAACCCCAGTAGGTGGCGTATATTAACCAATATTCGATCCCTCCACAAATGTGCTTCATGCAGTTTGGAGATCCTCTCTGGCATTCTGTGTTAAATGATGGTTTGGAGACGTAAGAAGCGTTCGTCAACAACATTTATCACTTAAGTGGTCGAATAACTTGACCATGAAATAAATTTTCCTGGGCCGGCAATTCTCCGGCCAAGCTTTGAAGGGCACCCAGCGCTCCATTGGCAATTTTTTCACTGCAACCATTTACAATAATATTTTTAGGGAAGGTGCCGGTGAGTTGGGGACAGACATCGACTATCGAACATATATATTTTAACTTCGCATTACTAGAAACTTGAGGCATGGTTGAGAAACACAGTACGAGGACGGAAAAGAATAATCAAGATAAGAACTACCTGTTACAGTTCTCCTTGAACGATGTAATGTTCTTTTTTCTGAAACAGTAAGAAAAGCATGTTTTCAAGTGATAACTAATTTGAGTTGGTGTAAATAATGGTGATGCAAGCTACATTTAAACTGTTAAGTCTATATATATTATTAAGACTGAAGGAAGATTTTCAGCTAGTAATATATCACTCAATTGTGGGTGAACTTTATGGATGCCGTCAAATTTCAATGGTTTATTTTGAGCTTTAGCAATATTTAATACTCGGCTAACCTCTCGTTCGTAAAAAATGTATATCATCAGTCTCCACAAAATTAGAGTCTTGGCAGCTGGACTTTAAGGTTATTGTATTCTTTAGAGTCTTGAGGCTATGGTCATCACATTTCAAGGGATTACCAGACAAATCTCTAAGATAAAAAAGTAAATTTTCAGGATATTAGACCAATTTTGAAACTTTCAGACCCTACTCAAACGATACGGGTGCAATTTAAAATACTAGAGGACTAGAATACTAGAGATCAGGCCCAATTTTAGCAGCTTCCATACATTCTCTCTTACGTGGTCGTTTCGCCTTTCCCGCGAGAATTTTATTTACAAAGCTAAACGAAAATAGAGACTTGTCTCAGGTTATAGGGCACGTCCAGAAAAATGTTTTCGAATCTCTCGTAATCGACGGACATAACTGTTTTGGGTGGTGCTTTGGCACTTTTTCACCTCTGGTGAACGATCATCTTGGCACTGAAGTACCAATAAAAACACCAAATATTAATTGAACGGCGAGATAGGCAGAGTAACAATAAGCAGTGAATACGTATTAATAGCGTAATAAATAAAAATAATGATAATAATCAATAAAGGAAAAACAAAGACAAAGAAACCATGTAGCCGCAAGGTCTAAAGGTGAAGTAAAGAAGAGAGCTAAGAGTTATGTTTACGACAAACTCAATCTTTCATTAACGGCGAAAAGGAGGCAACTGCTCATCTTAATCTTCTCTGCCTGATTTTTTAACTGTCTAATAAGCTTTAGGTATAACGGGTCAATGCACGGCTGTCAAAAACGGTGACTGAAAATACTGGTTTGATGAAAACTGGACCCGTGTAAACTGCAAGTTCAAACAAAAGCTGGGTCCTTATTTACTTCAGTTATTCTCTTGCTATTGATCAGCGTATATAAATAGCGGTATTAAATATACAGCCAAGGTAAAATCTGATTGGATGTTTTCATAGTCTACTCAGAGAAGGTCACTCAAGGTTATATTAGACAGCACCCTAAAAGAAAACAATCACGGTAACGCCTTTAGACTACAATCGACAAAAGATGGGACCAACTCTAACACCGTTTTTTTCCGTTTAAGCGAGGTGTCCGTCTCACAGAGGTGACCGTTGATAAAAGAGATTTCACTCCCACTACCGGGTCAAGCTGGAGTTAAACACCCAGAAGTTGAATTGAAATGTTATTATTAATGTAAAATTATTGCCAAACAACATGATTCAAAAGCTTTCTATTACTGTGGTCTGACTATATAGGCAAACACTTCTAATAAGCGTCCATCTACTTTGCATTCTGTTTACAGTCTCAGTAGAGCTCTGCCTTGATTTTTCCTAGGCTCGAAGAGTGGCTAAAGAAATGGGTTAAATCTTATGATAAGAGGGCAATGCTTTACGTTAAATCTCCTATACAAAAAAGAAAGGCTTTAAACTAGCCAGTTTCGTCCGTTGTCGTTCTTAAGGTTTGATCATATCTACTGGGAATCACCAATAGACAAGTACAACTCACAAAATAAGCAGTTTGCTTGGAAGACTCTTGACTTGTTCCGGTACCAAAGTTGAAATTGCGTTTCCTGATAGATCTCTGGAAAAAAAAGAAAACGAATCTGGAAAGTTAATAGGGCTGTAGAAAGTAGCTAGAAAACGGAATTTCCTTTTCTATGAGATAAAAACATTTAACTTTATTAATTTATTATTAATATTTTATTCAAATGTTTTTATTTCAATTTATTTCTTCATTTATCAGACAGTAGCAGGTTGCGAGAATTAAATCGCAAGAGCGCATAAACCTCCAATCGATTTTAATACAATATAGTTTCTTTAGACGTCATTAGGAACTTTCTTATTTCATTTTAAAACCGAAACGCTAGAAAACGCTGAAACGGCCTAAAAACCTGGCAATGCAATACGTAAAATAAACAAGAAACGACAAACAAAAACAAACAGAACATTGATCTGTGGATGAGTTTAATTCCTTTGACGTCCTTTAAGGTGCTTCATGATGTTGAAGTCAGTTCCGGGTTTACCAAAGGTGGTTCGCCTCACCCGGCACTTCTGATCACATGTGGTTACGAATATCATGTCTCGAAAACCTGGCCTTGTTTGGATTAGACAAGAAGTTTGTGTAATGATGCTGAGACAGCTGAAACAAAAAACAAATACACCCAAAAAAAAACACTTTTACATGCAATCGTTCGAATTCGCTCTTGAAATCTCAATCGATGATAGCTTTAAATTCTTAGCTAAATGTTCCGTATTTTTGTTGTAGATCTATTGTGATATTGCTCATTCTAAAAAGAATCAATCCTGTAATTTAAAAACCTTGCACTATGTGAAAATTTTCCTTCAACCTTTGACTTAGAGGAGGAAAATCTTTAAATTCCTTACCATTTTATTCAAAGTATATTTCAGGAAGTTACTGACGATTTACTTAACACAGAAAAGGGTGACCCGCCGGGTTGTACAAAACTTTTGTTTGATCATGAATGATACATCACTTTGACTATGTACTAAAGCTAAATGAAGCTAAATTACCAAAACAAAACTATCAACTCACAAGTACGCAGTTGATTCCGGTAGTCCTTCTGGCAGAAAAAGTAGATTTCTTTCACTGCAGTTTGCTACAAATGGTTTTTCATCTGAACACTCGCAGATTTCGCCACAAGGAAAAGCCTGAGCTCTTCCATAAACGCTAAATTGTATAAGGAGTGATTGAAGTCCTAATAGCAGCATCCGCCGTGACATGTTGTGACCGCTTCGTGTGAAATGCAATGAAGTCCGCCTCTAGGATGACATTAGATAAATACTAGTGTTAATATTAACCATGTCGGCTGGAAAAAAAAATTGCCGGCACGATTTACACGTTCACGGTTTAGCGGGTTTAAATACCATCTCGGGACGTTTTGCATAATTCCTCCATAACTACCACAATTTCTTTTCACATGGAAATTCTTATAATTGCAAGTGCATGGAATCACAAAGGCATTATTCACCCCCATCATTCAACGACGAAACACTAATCACACACTATTGAACGCAAACTAAAGATTTCAAACAATAATTTAAGTTCAACTTTTGTGTTTACTTCAAATAGAAAAATATATTCAGCTGTATATTGTCTGTTAAAACGACTGATAAGGCAGTGTCTATAAAATGTATTATAGAAAAGATGTCAACAGCAACAGTCAGCGATATTATTACAGTCTAAAAAATAATAAAACATGACATGTTCTAATTGTGCAAGTCTTGGAGAGAAAGGTTCAAATATATGCAAATCGAAAAAGTTGTTTGCTGCAGGTACCGATGAAGTGAGTGGAAAACTAAAGCCAAGAGAAGTAACAATATTGGTATCACGCTGTTTTGTTAAATTTACTAAGTAAAATAAACTAAGATTTGGGGATTATTAAAATATCCCAGTCCATCAACAGAAAACCGACAATATCGTTGTTTCTGAAATCAGACATAAACCAAATTCATCAATCAAACTGACACTTGGTTCGCTCGGTAAGCCGGCACATAATCACGCTGTGTTGCGGTCAGAAACTGTGCAAGACACTACTGAAACTGATACAATAAAATATTGTGAATAAAGAAGGGTGTGCTTTAGGCATAACAATGAGATCACCGGCACCGAAACAAAGAAAAACTTTTAAATCGCTGGGATACAGCCCAGTACTCAAACTTGTTTATACCATATATCAGTGATATGTAGGAAGTGCCAATAAAAAATATTGCTTTTTGATTACCCCCCGAGGGGTCTTTTTTTTGTTGTACTCGGGGTTATAGCAGTGAATCCTTTCTTAAGTGGTTGTTCTTGACGTACATCCGCAGTTGTTTGACTGACTGACTGTTATATTGTTGTGGACTGTATCACATCACGCAGTCTGTTCATAAACTGATAAAAAAAGACTATTGTTAGTGACTATTTTTACTTGTCTCCAGTGGCAAATAAATAATTAATGTTAAAGTAATTGCCGCTCATGATTAACTAAACATTAAATATCTTTATTTCATCGCCATATATAGTTTTTAATACCCGGGAAAAGGCATAGAAAAGAAAGTGAAAACATAGAAAATATTCCTCTGTATGGAAGTTTCTCCGGAGAGATTATTATTTTGTAGCGCACACATGAATAAACATTTATTTTGTTTGCTTATATCCCCACGTCCACTGTAATAGCCTTTACTGAAAAATTTATGATATTTTAAGTATCTGGGCGAGGATTACAATCAATAGCCTGTTCTTTTACTGAGCTTTTACTGTCATTGCGTGCGACTTAAGGTAAACGGACATCATGGGTGTCCTGTGCTGCCAATAGGTTATCTGTGGCCGGGCGATTGTGTTGGTGCATAGACAATATCGCAGTCACCCGCTGAAACCCGTCATTTGTGCCCTTCTCTTTCTCAGATCCACTCGCCCTAGTTTTTATAGAAAGACCACGTGACCAAAAAAACGACGGGCTCTGGGGACGAAAATGTCATCTTATTAAAAAAGAAACCCTCCCATTGTACGCTTGAGTTCCTTTTTTTTTGTTACATGAGTTACTTGTTTTACTATCTTCTGTATCTTCTCTTTCAGCGAACGTATGAAGATCAAAATTCGGCAATTCAGCGGAAATTTCAACCTTCTTCTAATCCTGTTGCTTGTCATAACAGTAAACGCGGCGTTTTAATGCGAAATCTTCTTCTATCTTCTGTATCTTCTCTTTCAGCGAAAGTATTAAGATCAAAATTCGGCAATTCATCGGAAATTTCAACCTTCTTCTAATCCTGTTATAAAGTGCTGGGAGATTACATGAGATCGCAAGCCCATGCTTTGAAGGCTTAATATGAGTGATAGCAGACACTCACTAAGCCAAGGGTGTGTGGGAGGTCATGTAATCTCCCAGCAGTTCACAACTTGGTAGAATCTCAATCAAACTTCAACTTACAGGCAAGTCTGGTTTAATTTTACTTTTCTACCTCGTTATCGTGCCGTGAGATCAGATGAGATTTTGAAGCAACACAACCATTAACCATAGTCGAGCAAAACTTCAAATCACACAAGTATGTTACTTACAATGCTGAATATCCTATAAGCAAACCTGGTCTCTTTAACAACAGGCCTGTGATAATACTTAGCAAATGTAGAGTCTGATGACCACCCAGCTCTGTGCAAGATATTATCAAGGCTTACTGAGGCACTGTTACCAGCAGATATACTGGCAGCCCGAGTGCTGTGCGGTTTAAATCTTGAAGTGTTTATTCCAGAATCAGAATCAGTGTGTCCTTGTCGGATATTCCTTCAACGTGGTGACAACACACAGAGTTTTATCATCAAATGCTTTAAGTTTAACAAGTGGGTTCTTGACCACTGGTCTGTTTTGTTCCAAATGTTCAACAAGCTGAAAAATGTAATTATTCACAAAAACCATGCGATCTATATTTCCGGAAGTGCGGTCTGATCTCTTTGGCTCGACACTAATAAAATCAACACAACAAGTTCCAGCGTAAGTTCCTTCAGCGGCAATGTATCCACGAGGGATAGGGATTGAAGATATGAAAGAACAATAGACACATCTTAAATTTCCGTGTACGTCGGTATTTGAGGTTTTTCCTGGTAAATGCTTTTCATCAGCCTGGACAATAATGCGTGTTTTCCTACACATTTCCCATCCTCTAATGTAATATAACTGGACAAGGCACTTCTGGCAGTGTTGATGACAGTGTATGCGAGGCCTTGAACGTATAGTGTTGTAAGGAAGTCAAGGACAGGCAAAGATGGTTGAATGTAATTGACTTGCCTCTGTTTACAAACGTTTTGCCATTTTGTGTTGAAGGCACTGTACTGTTTCTTTGATCCGTTACGCCAGGAAGCCATGATGAGTCTGGCAGCTACCTCTGAAAACCTCTATCCTGGTTAGATCGCCAGACAGGAGACATGCCACCATAGTCAGTTTCTTTCTTAAGGGGTGTAGCTTGTGGGGCCTGTGACAGTAGTTTCATGTTTATGTTGCATTGCTTGGCAACTGGCTTTCACTTTAGCTTTATTCTCATCAGTGAGGGTAATCGTCATTGACACTGAGTCAAGGACAAAGCCAAAACCTGTTATTCGCTGTTCTGGTATGACAGGTGATTTCTCCGCAGTAATCACATATCTCAAACTTGTAAACAATGTTTGTGTATCAGAGATATTGATCAGTCATTCATTGGTGTCTTAACCCTAAAGGTACGAATCGTCTATGTAACCGGCATTCAGGTGACCTTTCTGTCTCAACGTGGAGTACACTGGTTTCAGTAGCTTAGTAAACACCTAGGGGTGGATGAAAGCCCATTTGGTATACATGTGTATTGATAGAGACGACCCTATGATATTGTAGGTGTTCTTCAGCAATAGGGACTGCGTAATAAGCATCTTTTAGGTCGACTGATGCCATGAAACAATTTGGAGTCATGAGTCGTACAGCTGACAAAAGGGTATCCATTTCGAAATGGTGTTTCTCAATATGCGGTTTTGGCCGCTGTTTCTTTTTCCTAACAAAAATAGTGGAAAAGTATTCATCTTGAGTGTGTACAGCAGGTTCAATAACGCCCAATTCAAGCAGGAGAGCAATTTCTTAAGTAATTGTTTCTCTCTCTTTGGGATCAAACTGAATTTGAGGCCGAGGCCTCGGTTGAGTTAGATTGCAAATCTCTAAATGGCAATGCTGTACAATGTTCAGTACATTTTGGTCTGATGTGACACTCATCCATGCTGATACAAAATGCCTTGGCCTACCAGCAAATTTTTGTGTTCCAAGACTAACCTGCACAAGTTTCGAGATTAATCGCTCTTCTTCTTCCCCTCCTGCTTCGAATCCGTCTGAAATGAAAGAGGCTCTGGAAGGCTTTTGACCGCTTGTTGTTAGAACTATTGTGAGAGCCATCATTGGCTACTTTTTTAAACACAATTAGAGCTGCCATTTTTGGTAAGCTTGAAGATTAGTCGGTTTTTGTCTGATATGTCCTTAACAGCCTTAGGGAGATCACCCTCAAACAGGTCGGCGGTTACTGGATTTGACGGACTACAGAGGTGTCACTAATTTGTATTGAGTTGAGGTCTCATCAGCTCTCTCCGCCGATGATTTAACTCCTAGTTAGCATTTGCCAACAGAAGAGCCCCATCCATAAGGGTACTTACAGTGGCTTCTTTCTGAAGTCCTGAGTTGCCCATCAGCTTATTCACCTCTGATACGACGACTATTATTCCTTTAACCAGGCTGTTCTGTACCTTTTGGAACTTTATGTCAGTAGACCTAGCTAACTCATCTAAGTTGTTCCGCACACCTTGATTGACCTTTGTTTCTGACAAGGTGATACAATTCTCGGAGGTTTCGTGTTGTTTCTTTCATTCTGTTATTTTGTCTTCATTAGCTTTCTCTCTGATGATTTGATCCACAAGTAACACAAGCTCCCCGTCGATGGCGGGCCCTACGTGATCGGTGAGCTGTAGGGTTCTTATGAGCTTAGTAATCAGGGGACCGCTATTCTTTCCAGATTCATTGGGTTTCTGTTTCTTAACGGGTGGCTCGTCCTCGACTAGTGATTCAATGTAGTCCTTAGACACGCTCGAATCACAAACATCACCCAAGTCTTCGCCGTCATCGTCGCCAGAATGTGAGGCAATCAAATTGCCCAAACCAGCAAATCCCGCGTCCATTGAATCCCTTAGGCCTTCAAATGAACCCTTGAGAGGTTCAGCAATAACGGAGTCAAGAACGATCGCAGTTAAGGCAACAGGAGAACTTCCTTCCTTCAGGTTGTCCTTCGGTGCTTGACCAAGAGGCGAAAGCTTGCACTGAGTTAACGCAGCATGCGCCAACTCAGTGCAAGCTTGCGATCTCATGTGATCTCACAGCACGATAACGAGATAGAATTCAGATAGAACGGCCATTTGGCGACTTGCGACCGAGGGCTCCGCGGGAGGCATGAAGAGAAAAGTATATAATGATTGGCCGATTTGACGGTAACTATGACGACATCAATATCTTCCCAAGTGAAAAACAAAATTGATATGTTCACTGGGGTTGGTGAAAAAATCAAATTTTAGAAGCAGTAGAAATTCTGGTATTTCTTCGAGATGTATTAATAATAAAAAAAAATCATTTTTGCACTAAGGCAACTTGTCGTGTAAACAAAGACGGGCGTCGAAGAGTTAATACAAGCCGGAGAGACCTGCAAACTGGCCCATATTTCATAATTACTCTATCAGGCTGAGTACGATATGAAGAATTATGCAGATCCAGAAGTGTGTATCCACCAAGGCCAAAGTCCCTTTTTCAGGCAATTATTTTGACTTTAATAATAAAAGAAAATAAAATAATACCAATCAAAAAGCTTGGCTTCCGGGTTTATACAATGGTCTCGAGAGGATCTTTCTTGATGGAGTTTATTATCACGATGAAAAACTAGAAACAGCGAACCATCATATCAGTCTAAGTATTTCATCTTCAGCTTCATCTTATTGACCAACAAACGTACAACAAAATCTCATTTCTAATAAGGCAAGTCTTTCTAGCCACAAGCAATGGACTTTGTAACGGCTAAAAGCCCTGCTAAGCCAGCAATAATTTCCTCTAAACTTCACTCGTCTAAACTTTTATTGCCCAGACTCAACATTCACATGATCATCTTTCCTTTCCTGGTCTGTCAGAAATTATCAAATTTAGCCTCAGTTGCGTAAATACAATCAAGTTTTGGCGTTTACCAATTAAACAGAGTGTTTTCGTTGTGTACTTGCGACAATTTCGGCATATCACGCTGCCCACCTAATCCGCATACGAGGATATTTGACTTGCAGAAATTATGGTCTTTTTTTGACGAATTTAGGCTTTAACTGTTATAAACAAAACATAAATTGGGTAAAATCCTTCAGGTATAAAAAGACATTTGATGCCTAGATTTTGATATCACTATTAACTGTGCTGTTGATCTTCCCTGAGGCCATTTAATTTACAGAATAAAGTACTTTTATTTTAAACTTGAACAGGTGATGTCTTTCAAAATATAATAAATTCCGTTTTATTTTGACCTGATGAACTTATCTTATGACAAGAGGAAAGTAGAAAAAAGGGAAAATTATTTATTTTGCAATCTTACCTTGCAAAGATTTAACCTCCTGGCTTCTTAACTGATATTGTCATTTTGTAGTAGAGGTGGCAATTTCTTCCTTGCTACTGATGCGACATTACAATTTGTGAAAAATTACTTTTGTCGTCTTTTTCGTCATTAACTTGTCATTTCTGCAAGATATTTGATTGAGCTTGATTGCAATCAAGATTCATGGGTATTCATTGGTGGTGTGTCTAAACTTTGCACTTGTATATGTTATAATTATTTACTTTTTAGTTGTCAGTTATTTCGATTCAAGTTCTGCTCTTAGTTTACCTCATATTTCAATCAAAAGGAAATGAAAACATAAAGATGGGCAATCTTAAAAAAATTTACTTGTCTTCCAAAAATTTTAAAGTATAATATTGACAAAGTAATATATATATGCAACACAGAAGTCATCAAAGGGATAGAGCTGTCCATTTTCGAAAAATAATAATAATAATAATTGACGGACAAAAGCAAATACAAAGTCTGCATTTTTCAGGGGCGGACGGAGGATTTTGTGATAAAGGGCGCCTGAGATATAGTATACAGTGGTGATATGGGCGCGCACTTTTCTAGGGAGTTTCGGGCGCATGCTCCTCCGGAAAACTTTTTGAGATTGAATTTCTCTGAGATGCAATCTAGTACATTCTGGACTCTTGAATTTAGCAAATGCCTGGTTTCATATTGAACATGTAATGCTAAAGTATTTAATAAACCACAGGTGTCGTTGTAGCCAAAAAAGTAACTAACACTTTATGATGCTAGCAGGGCCGAAGCGATTGCGGCGAGAGCACAACCTCCTGGCAAAGGCGTCAACATTGTCTCCCTGAAAAATTGTCAAATCCAGTTTGTTTGAGAAGGATATTAACCGCATGCACTCTAGTAGAATTGGTCATTTGCGAATAAAAATGTAGGCTTCCAACACAGATTCTTTCAGTTATTAATAATGTTTGTTAAAGAAATATATTTAAGTAACGAAGCTCGAAGTACCATCCGAAACCGCATCAACCGCAACCGCGGTAAAGGTGGCCAGAACCAGTTTATATGGCGTGTTGGTTATGTTTTTAAATCGCGTTGATTTTTGGCATCCTTAATATGGAATGGTGGAACTTTAAGAAAAAAAACGTTTGAGGTATCTGCATATACTGTTACAAAAAATGTAAACTGAACTCCGAAATCCTAAAACATATTTTCCCTCACGTCAGCAAGTTAGCCTCAGAGCTCCCCTGTTGTTTGTCTGCTGCAATTTTGAAGTCAATCGTAGCCTGTTGGCAAGCTCTCCAATCTGGGCGAGCAAAGCGATCCACGCGAGAACGGGTGAAAGACTCGCAGAGCCGCGAGGGGCGGAGGAAAGGGAGAGCTCTCCATTTCTTTCGCCACCCTCGTACTCGCGACTTCCTTAGATGGAGAACTTGTTCACAGGCTAAGTCAATCGTGACCATATAACGTGCTGCACAAAATACTGGTCTAATTTAACCTTAAAATGCTACGCTTAAACATTTGTGAAAGTTGACTCACAAATAGAGGAAGAGTGCTGGCGAACTATATCCTATCTGAATGGGTATAATGCAAAGCAAGAAAGTAAGTAATCAGAAACTTACGGCGAATGGCAGTAGTTAGCACTACAAGAAGAACCACTTTAATGTTCCTGAACGTAAGGTGAGATTAAAGAACTTCCATTCATTGCAAACTTGTCCCTCTCTTCGAAACTAATGTTAACAAAGCACAATATAATAGAGTGTATGTACTACATGGAAAACCTCGGCGTTTGCTTGGAACTCGAACCCCGCTGGTGTACATGTTAATTCAATAAAACGTATTTTAACCGCTGTTTTATGGCCATGAATCTAGCCATTATATCTTCAGCTTTTACACCGCGAAAAAGATGTCAGAGGAGCTCATTCACTATTACCCTTTAAGTTTAATAGAGAAAATAGGGGAATAGTGTTGGAAAAAACAAAAGAAATGCTTAGAAGCTTTTTTTTGGTTCGAAAGAAAGATATCAGAGTATTCTCAACAGACCGGGTCGAACGTATGACCATCTGCTTCTAGTCCAGATGCTCACGTCCATAATATTCGCTTGAGATTAGAAAACACTCTTTCATAATACTCGATGGTTTTTCAAAAGAATAGAAACCAAACGTTTTCGACGAATTAAGTCATCTTCTCAGTGGTGAAAATCGTTCGGTTTCCAAATAGACCTTGGGCCCTTGTGAAATACTATTTAAAGAAAGGTTTGATCAATTCAATTTATACTTGAATTTGCCGCAAAAGAGAATCTTAATCTGGTTTTTCGAGAACTCGCTTTTTATCCGAACGAATCGGCTAAATTGTTGTGCTTCATTCCCAGCTACTCATCCAAAAACTAAGAGTTAAAATTGGAATTTCACTCATAAAAACAACAGCCATCCTTTAATGCAGACTTTCGCTTGGCTAATACAACTACACTGCTTGCTCATTTTGATGTGTACTGGATTTTCTTTTAATGGTTTCCTTAAAAGCAGTTCTGTAGTTTGAGCTTTGAAGTGCGTAACACATAGGATTTACACAGCAACTACAGTAAACCAAAAAGAGCGAAATTCTATAAAATGAACTTCTTAACGAGGCGTCCAAGACAGTTGCCGTAACATAAGGAAAAAAACAGGCGATGAAGATAATAGTTATGGTAATGGCAAGTTTGGCAATTTTTCTCTTTGCCTGGATTTCTTCAGCGGCTTGGGAAGATAGTGTTGAGGTTTCTGCGCAGATTTTCTTTGTAAAATATAGTCCTCTGATGATATTGAAATAGCAGAAGCAAACAACGAAAAACGCAATAACTACGATCACTGCAAGTAACGACCAGTATACAGTAGAAGATGCTTTTTGCCAGTGGAACACACACTGACGGCGCACCTCGTCAAAGCGTTCAACTACAAAGAGTGGCAACACATAGATGAAGCCAAATATCCACATGATGACGATAGGATATCCCACGTTTTCCTTGTTGAGTCTTACGCTGGCATTCAGAGGATTCAAGAGAGCGTTATATCGCTCGACAGAAACTAAAGTTAACGTAAGACCGGCGACAAGAAGCGATATTCCAGCCAGATGATTCATGGTAATAAATTTGCAAAAGATGTCACCGAGAATACCGTCTGGGTGCCTAGAATATTGTAACGCGACTCCAGGAATACACCATAACAAGGTTAATAAGTCTGCGAAAGCAAGATTGGCGAGCAGAAAGTTCGTGGTTGTGTGCATATAACGCTTATTCTTCACAACTGTTAAAATAAGGGAATTTCCAATCAGCCCAGCAACCACAACAATAGCGTAGCCGGGTAACAAGACTAAATCCAAAGAGTCGAGAGTGGATAGTATCATCTCTGTCACCGGTTATATCAGTCTCTTGAAAATCAGGGTACTTAGGAACTGGGCAATGAATCTTCAACTAATGCTCTCGTTGAAGGTTCCAATCGTTATTATTTTGCCTGAATGTTTGTTTTCCACAGCAGCTGAACATCCTTAAGGCTGTCAAGATAATTGCTTTTGATTTCCTTTCTTTGGCGCTTAAATTCATATCATATTGATGAGATTTTAGTAATAAACGTAAGACTTTGCATTAAAAGTGTTTGCTCTTATGGGTAGATCTGTTTTCTTTGTCTGATGAGAAGTGATGAGTGCTTGAAAGAGTTCAATAGATTGGACACAGCTGTTAGCAGATTATTTGCAACTCTTGCCAAACTTGGAAATTAAAAACTGAAACGAGAGTAAACAATTTTATGACCGTGTCATTAAAAAAAGTCCGAATAAATACCGGGCCGGCTTATAACAAAAAACGTTTTGAGTCAATTTTAGCACGATTTTGGAGTAGGGAAACGTTACGATTTTTTCTTTAAATCTCATTTCGATCAACACTGCTTTCATTGTCATCGGGAGAGATGGCTATTATTCTCATAACATTTACTTACAGTCGGTGGAAGCTTCAAAGTCTGTCATATCGCTTATTGAAAGTTAAAAATATATGACAATCATATATGTGAACTGCAGCGTACTAATTTAACGACCTGTTCCCAGTTGGCTTGTTACCTTAATTGGTAGAGCGTTGCACCGGTATCGCAAAAGGTCAGGGGATCGAATCCTGTACAAGCCTGAATCTTTTTCACGCTTTCTTTTGGGAACTGCAAAAGTCGTGTATAGAACTGCGATGATCATCCTTCATATAATATCGCTTATTGTTATTCTAAAATGCTGAAAAGGAGACTTTTCATTGATTACCATGAACGCCCGTCAGTACTCTTCATCGTGGAGTAGGCGGGTTAAACTAACAATAGCCGAATCCCTGTGTTTTCCCTTTTGTGATGCCAGATCACACGTTTACCCTTTTTAATTAATCCTTACCTAACTGTCACAAGTTATCTACAAACATCACTTAAGATGGATCCGGTCCTGGTCAGCGAACAGATAACTGACTTAAAGATGAGTCGAAAATTGTAGTTTCGATTCCTTGCATCACAGGTAGCCCAAGGTTACTATGAGAGCCCTGAACAACATCATCCTACTTAGCTAATTAATTATTCATACGACAACAGTTATAAGACGTTGTATGAAAATTATCCGATTTCTCCATAGTTGAGCGAAACGTACATTAAATTTTCCCTTTTAGTATTTTGTTACATTTATTTGTGTGTTGACTGCGTTTCAGGCCTCTTAGGATGTCAAGAACCCGAAAACAACACTACCCATGAAGCTAATTAATTATTCATACAGCAAGAAAATTATAAGACGTTGTATGGAGAAATATTCTTTGGTCACTAAATTAGCAAAATGTACATTGAATATCGCTTGATGACAGTCATCTGGGTGAAAAACTGTCGCTCAAAAAAAGGCATGAAACAGTGCTTAGGAGGTCTGAAATGCAGTCAGAATACAAAGAAAAACAAGAAGACGCTAAAGGTAAGTTTCAAAGCGATATTCAATGTACATTTTGCTAATTGCTATATGAATAATTAATTAGCTTCATGGGTAGTGTTGTTTTCGGGTTCTTGACATCCTAAGAGGCCTGAAACGCAGTCAACACACAAATAAATGTAACAAAATACTAAAAGGGAAAATTTAATGTACGTTTCGCTCAATTATGAAGAAATCGGATAATTTTCATACAACGTCTTTTAACTGTTGTCGTATGAATTATTAATTAGCTAAGTAGGATAATGTTGTTCAGGGCTCTCATAGTAAGCTTGGGCTACCTGTGCTCGCATTAGCGTTTTGAGGAAGCTCTGACTGATTTCTCTATTGAGTAAAACGGTGGTAGAGAGAAAGTGGAGTATAGAAGTCAGTTTGTCTTTAATAAATTTCATGTGGCCGAAGATAACGCATAATTGAGAGTGATCAGTTCGAAGTTTAGAATCTGCCCTTTCGCAACGGAAATTAGTCTCCTGAACATACCGGTCGGACGTGCAATAAACGGAGATTGAAGTCAAAAAAGAGATACGTTTAGTAAACAACGATAGCAAGTAACATGTATTATTAACGTTGTGCGGCGCTCTATGAATATAATTGGAGGCTCTATGTAAACTTTGAAAATGGTGATATTCGCGGAGATGAAAACGAAAATAACCAATCTGAAACTAAATAAGGCCATAACGTAACCGAAACTGTTTAACGATATAGATAAGCGTGAATCAAATATTTTTTTAAAAATTTTTCGGAGTAGCAAACGCAAGTTGCAAGTGCTCTGATGTCTTTAAATTTCGCGCGCGACTGGTTTCTCAACGTGTGTTCAACTCGTACATATAGAGAGACGACTCTTTTCAAAAGAGGAGCGAAGGGAACGGAGCAGAAAACCGGATTGATTTTTTCCCTACGAACTCCATTTTAATCCACTTGGCTACTACCAGAACGTCTCGGTGGAACATGCTTCTCAAAGCAAAAAGCATACGCAAAACATTGTTATTAATATAGTCTTACAGAGAACGAAGTTTAGGCCCAAGTCAAATTTGACGACTAGACAACGGCAGGTGTAATACTAGACTTGCATAATGATCTAGTGCTAAATCTTACAATCTCCTCAAAGTCACTGTTATCATACGCTTCAAAATTAAATTTACCATTAAAGAAAGGTGAAATGAGAACTGGGATTTGAATTGTTTTGGACTGGGAAAATGGGATTTACTCATGTACTGGAACTGGGATTTAACCACGCGGAAAGGGATCTAAATCTAAATCTCAGCTGATAATCTAATAGAGGCTGACCGATCCCTACCGATGCTCTTATGTCCAGGTTTCCGCGTAGCTGCAAAAATTTCGATTTTTCGATGTTTCCGAAAAATTGCAAAAATCGAAAGGTTGCCGCTTTTTTGAAAGCTAGTTGCGAAAATTGCGAAAGCCAGAGCCAGTTGTCATGGTTGTCGATTTAACAAAATTTGCGAAAATTGCGAAAAATCGCAAGTCTGACTATTTTTAGCGTTACTTGCGATTTCTCGCAGTTCTTTGTCACGTTAATGTTCCCTTTCTCGTGTTCATGATCACTTAAGTCTAAAGCCGATGGCCGATTTTACCAAATTTGCAGTAGGTCCGAAAATTTTCTTCTTTACTTGCCAATTTGGCATTTCCTTGTCAACGCAGTTTTTAAAGCATATCTTCACGCAAACGCCGACGCAGTTCATTTAAATAAAGGTTATGTTATCTAAAGTTTCGAGCTATATTCGTGAGGTTCCATTGTATTTCAAGTTTCATGTTATGCCTTGTTTAAACTAGGAGTTTTAAACAAAGGACCAAGTATCATTAACGTATTTGACCATATATTGATTACTACACTCTAACCAAGGTTTGAGGTTTTGTCACAAAGCAAGCTTTTTCTATCATCTGCCAATCTCTTCATATCGTCTGTTTCTTCTAGCAAGGCCTTGAGTTTCTCAGGAGTTTGAGGCAACTCGTTCCCATTTATCTTTCCAGTGGTCTAAGTTACAGTTTAGCTTTTCACGTGTTTTACCCAAGTCATTGGCTGTCTTATTAACCGGCAGGTTAGAGGGTCACACAATGTTTTTTGTTCCTTTTTGAAAAGGTGGCATTCGCTGGATCACGTGGATGAACAAGTAAGGTGATTTACTCCATTCAAGCATTTCGATCTGCTGATTAGTTCGTAATATGAATATATGGCCCTTGGGGTTATCTCGTTCGCTGTACTGCTCATAAGACAATTTTTAGTCACTCTTTGGTGGAAGAACAATAGCTCTGTACAGTTTAGAGTCATCGGCGAACAGGCCGATGGTTGAGTAAGAACGTCAGTAATAGTCCATTTTCGAGTTCGCTATGACCGCTGAATTAAAGAAATGAGAACGCATTTTTTACAGCCTTAGCCTCAATCTGAAGTAATATATTCACAAATTCCAACGAGAAAAAGACCTCTTTATTACTCTGTCTATTGTGTATATTCAAATTTCAAACACTTACTTGTTAGAATTTCTGAATATTTTACTTTACGTCGAGGCTAACCCTGTATGAATGTGTCGTTAATGTTTATATTCAGCGGTAATTTTTAATTCGAAACTGGACTATTAAGAGCGTCGTTGTACATGAGTGGGCCAAGAATTGACCCCTGAGGTACGCCGGACGTTACCTGCAGACGGTCAGAAAAGCAGCCTTCCACCTGCTGGCAATGGGGTTCAATATGTCAGCGTGTTAAGTTGTCGCAGATCTGGCCTTGAGAAAGCCATGTTGAAGTCCATACAGTTGGGCTGCAAGATGTTGGTAGCAGCTATGAACATGACAATACCATAAATCATCGATTAAGCGCCGCTACTCGAATAAGCGCCGCACCTTTAACGAAAATAATTTTATAAGGGTGGCGACGCTAATTTAGGTATTTACAAATTAACGCCCCACCTTTGCGCTTGATACAAGGAGATCAACACCACATCGCTTAAGAAATAAGACGACCTACTCGTGAGTTCTAAAGTTTTAATGTAGGGAAACTCTTGAAACCGGGAGAGGTGTACATATTTTCACTTCATTCTCTCTATATTCGACTCTGTGCCTTACCCGTAATTGAAATGAGCGCCGCTCTCGAATAAGCACAGTTCTTGTATAAGGGCCGCGTCTCTTAATCGATCATTTAAGGTACGGACAACAGGGATACCACTTTTCCGGGGCTAAATCTACTGATAACTTATCAGTGACAATACAGAAAACTTCCTCATCGGCATTGACCCAGGTTACCGTGCAAAGAACTCAGCCGGGGCTGTCAAAACTGAAATTTAAAGAAAGGTTCGTCTTTGCTCTGCTGACAAACTATCAACGTCGCATGCCTTCGTTGTGAACTTGGCTTGTGATTGGCAGATTAATACGTAGGTGAATCCGGTTGAGTTTGTTGTACTGTAATCGGAACGAAAGAAAATATGAAGCACCGTTGTATAAAAAATGTTTATATTTACAGATTGCCTAATACAGCCAGGCGACTTTTTACACACTATCAGTTTTCAAAAGTATCATTTAACACAATGAACAAACACACCGAATAGTCTACCGAAAAAGAAAGTCCAGCTTTCTGCGTCATTGAATAAAAACAAGCGCATGAGCAGAAATATCATGTTGTTAAAGGTAAAAAGCTTTCTGAAAGGTCCTACAAAACGAAACCAATTTGCGTTACACAGTAACGAAACAAACACTTTACAAAATAAAGTTACACTCGTACTACTATCCACGATTTAAGTAAAGGACACGTTTATGGCAGGCAAAGCCTAAAAAAACTTGAACCTTTTAAGAAGATAGGATGTAAAGTAAGGAAGGATTGACCAAGTCACCCATTGAAAAACTAAAAAAAAGGGTCAGTAACGGAAATAGTATCACGTCCATCCATCTGTTCTAATGTGTTTTTGTTATTATTTTTCTTCTCTTGCCAACCCAATGATGTTTTTACAAATTTGCCTTTTAGTGCGAATCGTGACCATCCAAACTGGAAGAAATTAAATTTCAGAAAGCGGGAGCGACCCGGCTCGAAGCGTAGTTAGTTCTAATCCTGTGTTGACTGTAAACAGAGGATATAATTTGGAACTAACCTGAATCAAACCAACGCCTTTAAAACAACTCAGCCATGGGTAACAAAAGTACTGGGCCAAGTTCTTCGAAAGTTGGATAACGCTATCCACTAGACAAATCTTTATCCAGCGGATTACGAAATCGGTTTCTCTAATACTTATCCGATGCACAGTGATTTATCCGGAAAATAGCGCTGTCCAACATTTGAACCGGGGCCTGCTCTGTTTTGCTTCACGAAACAAATGTTAGATTATCATTCCTTATAATTGGGACACGTGAGATGAGACATAAGATTTAAGCCTTCTCTCCGTATTCACACTCGCTCCAGACGTTTCGTTTGACTAGTGCTGGGTTCTACAGACCAATGCAAAAATACAGCTGTTACGTTGTACAGTCCAGTCATAAATCAACCCACACATCAATCTTTTACACAGACAAACAACTGTGATATAAATATCTGAAAAACGTTGTAATATAAATAAAGAAATATTTATATAGATTAACATATCTTACAATTAAAGGAAGTAAAACTGATAAACCGTGTAAAAATCCTTTCAAGTATTAAAAGAAATAGAGCCTTATAGCTACTTGAACTTAATTTCAGTATATAACTGTATGGCAAGTGGATTGAGAATCCGAACATGCATGTCGGAGTCAACAAGAAAGTTTCGAAAAATGAAATATACTCGTGTGTTTGAGACCATAAGACGACCTGAAATTGTGCTATTTATAGCAACAAATGCCAGCCTTCAGGATCCCATCCAACTCAGGTATAGAGTGACGTGTCAAATTGTAAAGCAGACGGGCATATATAGGGAGCTTGCGATACCACAACGAAGGCAAAAACACTGGTTAAACGAGCAAAACAACACCCCTTGTACTAGTTTACACTTTTGAAACATTTCTTTGCCTTGTCTACCACGCGAAATGTCCTAATACGGCCTCTTGCGGAGGCAAACATAAAGGAGAGGTTTCCTTTCCTCTCGTTTACATTTAATCGTGGGGGGAGTCGTCCTCGATCGTTGCAATCGTCCAAACAATCGAGGAGATCGAGAATTCGAAAGATTTTATGGACGCCATGCTTCACAATTAAACTTCAGGATAATTAGACAACGCTTGAAAAATTGAGTTCAGTAGGAATAATCACGATGAAGTTTGGAACAACGTAAATTCTTTTAATCAGTGACGTTTTTACTGCTATCGTCGTCGTAGTTTCGTAAGCTTCCTAACGACAAAGTTAAAGCCGAAGTATAAAAATATAATAAGAGCTGTGGCTGTGTAATTTTTACAATAGGTTTATTTTTCACTTACTGTTAAGCAGAAGACAATACCTTCTTAGTAACTCACAGTTCTCAAAACTCCTAAGACGTGTTGTATAAAGCATACTATATATTATTTTAATAACAGGATCTGAATGAAAGTTGTTATATTGACTGAGTACAGTCGTGTTTGCGTAGTTAATGAATACATTTAAAAAGGATGTGTAAAAGATAACTGCTTGAAGGATGAGCCACCTGGACACTTCCGCTAACTGCTGGGTTTGGGGTACTTGCAGCTTGTGGTGCCACATTCACAGTAAAACTCCTTCTTTTTAACAGACCAGAATTTATCACCGTAATTGAAACTGTAGAGAAATGAAAACATGCGAAATTAAAAGCACTATCTATGTTCACATGTCTTTTTCTGCTGCACTAAGTTAAGATGAACATATTGGTCATTTATGCATCGGTGAACAAAGTCCTATGGTGTTACCATTTAAATGAAACCGCTTGGCAGAAATTTGACACAAAACTATGGACTTTACTAAACTAAGAAATCCGGAATTTAATTACATTTTGTACTTGTGGTCATTAGAAGTGAAACAGTTAATGATACTAGAAAAAAAAGGTTCAAAAGACGGAACCATTCCGAAAGGTTTGTCCCGTGTTGAATCCATCTTGCCGTAATAATTAAAAACCCTTTCGATAGCTAAACTGGGATGAACTACACTCTACGTCTTGTAAATGGACGTAACAAACAACGCGGTATAAAACCGTTATATATAAAACACCCCTTTGTGACGAAAAAAAAGTATTTTGGAATCTTTTTGTTACCAAATTTCCTCATGGACATCGATGTCTTCGATGGCAAAGAATGCTATTCTGGGAAATCTTATGTCCTAAAAGAAAAGAAAAAAGATTCGTTAACATACGACGAGAGCTCTTGTTATTGTCAGAATTGTTGACTAACACCTTAAAGATCATCATCTCAAAGGTTTTTGAGTGTGACAAAAATAAGCTGCCAAGTGAGGGAGGGGACGTTGTTGTCATATAGCGCGTTTTGGAGTTTAAATATGCGCCCGCAGTCTTAACTATCGTCAGGTTGCCTCTGCTACATCTGCCTATTTCATGAAAAGGAACAGCTGCTTCCCTTGCATTATTATTTTTCTGTCTTTTAATTCTATGATCTGCTAAACGCAGTTTGCAGTGGACAGGTAAGCTTTAAACCTCACAATGAATCTAGTGCGAGGCGCCTTAAAGCTTAGAATAGACAGTATGACAAATATAATAAATAATAACTAACAAAACAATGGTATAGTAACAAGGAAAAACTTACTGTGTGATTAACAAATACCCGCAACGGAAATATGTTTGGTTCACACGAGTGATTTATAAACCTGCTTATATTTCCAAAATACTTTGCATCAATGCAGAACAACTCATTCTCATTTGAACTTTCCTGCAATCATACAAGAGACGATAAGAAAAGATAAGTCCTGAAACAATGAACGATTTGATCAGTAAAATGCCGAAACACGACAAGTTATGACGTTGTTCAGTCCAAGAAGCAAGAAAATCGCCTCAAAGAGAACAAGAGACCGGAAGAGAAGATAGAAAGGTGGAGCTCTTAATTTTCAACGAAACAGACGAAAGTGGAAAAAAGTCTTAACCGCAGCAACGTTTTCAAAAATACAGATAGAAGAAAATACATTTGGTGGTGGTGCAATAGTTTCTCACCTTACAATCCAAGTCAAATAAGTAGGAGTCGTCATCGCGCGCATCAGCTTCACTGTCCGATATCAGTTCACCAGTGTACTCACAGACAAAACTACCTCTTGGAATTTTAGCAAGACTGCGCACTCCCCAACCTAATACATACAGACAAGTGTATCATCAAGTTTGACAAGACGGTCGTAACATCTGTATTCAGCTAACTCGAGAGAGATTGTCGGAAAAAGTGCACGCGACAATCCCGAAAGGTATCAAGGGAGGTTTTGAGAAAGAATGGCACGAGCGACCATCGACATACGTTTGCGAGTGCAAAAGGAAAGCAACAAAAGTAGGTTTGACAGCTACAGTGTCAGGAACAGTGTATTGATCCTATCTCATATTACCTTTCAGGATTGTCGCGTGCACATTTTTTCCGACAACCTTTCTCGAAACAGCTGTAAAAATATCCACTAACAACCATCAAGAAAAGTGTCATATTATCCGACGTGACGCACAATGAATTAGTACATGGACCATATACTGACATCTCGACACACAAGTTACAAGTTAACTTGTTTTCCCTCCAACACAGAAAAAAAGGAAATTTAGCCCAATAAAGAATATCTCATTTCTGCTATTATTTCTCCCCTTAATTCCTAACTTTGCCTTTTGTAAGCTACGTAATGCTTAAACTTGTTTTTCTCACCTTTTCTCAGGGTTCTGTACAACTGCAGTGGGTACTGCATTCCCTTCTGTACAACTCTGTTCTTACAGTACGTCCAACAGTTGCACATTCTGTTACATTCGTAAACAAGCGGCCGGTCAATGTTCTTGATAGAAGTTTTAACCAGCCCCTCCTAACAACAAAGGGATACCATTAATGTTTTTCCAAGGCATGAAAAAGAAAGAAAGGTTAGTTCAGTTCATACTGTGTGCATTCAATGAACCCAAACTTACCAAGCCTATTCTCGCAGTATTTTTTCTCCTTCAAGGTAATACAGTGGAACCTCCATATAACGAAAGGCCAAACGACTAGCAAAATTTGTTAGATATAACGAGGTTTCGTTATATCGAGGTTCCGCTGTATTGCCTTGAAGAAAAAATGTATATACTGTAAGAATAGGCTGACCAGACCCAATTCCAATAATATTGCGTATTAATTGACCAATCCGCTTAATGACCAGAGTTTATTTAATACCATCAGCTAAAGAGATACACCTCACTTAGACACTAAATATGAATACAGCACAAGTTATCACAGTCAAAACAACAGCCTGAGTCCTATTCAGGACTACACTCACACGGACAATCATATTCCACCCACTTATGAAATGATTCCAGGGCTCAAGCCCTTAAAAAAATGCACTTTATTTGAGTGTCAATGTATTTAGCACGAAAGTACTAATTGGGAACACTATTTTACGTCTCCTACTGGAGACGGGACCGCCATTTTACGTTGTCATCCGAGCCACGCGAAGGTCTAGCCATTTGCGGGGCAAAGGCAGTACATTTCTCAGTTATTTTTAAGACCCTGCGTACTGGTCCGGTCCCGGGAATCGCACCCGCGACCTCTCGCTTTGTAATCAAGCGCTCTATCAACTGAGCTAATCCTACTGACCAGGAAATTCTTAGCACAGTTCCAGACCAAAGAGAGCAAAAGATCTCATGTTTAAAAACCATGAACCCTTCGATGGATGGAAACTGTAAACTTGTCTTCACTAAGTTTTACAAAGCGGGGAAAAAAATTTCCTTAGCGAGGGCGAGGGCGAGGGGAGGCTAGCACTTCTGCAAACGACAGTCAGTGACTTAAAAATTATTTCTGGACCTACAATCATGGACCAAAGTCTTGGGACACTTTTGCGTTTCTGGGGCGTTTTCCAATTCACACAGGTCTAACCCTTCCCCTCACCCAACAAACAATGTTGGACGCGTGTATCCAGAATTTTTTCCGAGTTTCAACTTTTTGTAGGGTGGGGGGAGGGAAAACCGCAAGAAAATTTCGAAAAGGATGTATTGTATTAAGAGGGAGCCGAGAAATGACAGAAAATTATAAATATTGCAGCACTGTCCCAAGGACTTTTGTCCACGATTGTAGCTTCCAAAAAGAGAATGTGAATTTGTGAACGGTTGATGACATACCTCGTACCAAAGTCTCTGTCTTTCGCTTCTTTTAGAACAGAGACAGAGCATTCCACTTTGGCATACTCTTTCACAGCTACAGCCGCCCTGTTGAAACATCGCCAGTTAAGTCAGAGAACTGTTAACATGAATGTTACACGGCAACTTCTCACACAAATGTTTATTAAGTAAAATTCATGGTACCTCATATCGTGAAATACTCCAGTCTATCATCCCTCTTTTAGTCTCGAAGCATTCCTTTATAAAGGTAAACTCTGGAAACGGTTCGTCATCGACCTAGAAAACCAAAACCCATGAAACTATTATTCAAGAGATGTCATGGCTTAAGAGAAAATTTAAACTTTACAGAAAAAGAATAGGACTCGTCAGGACAGAGCCTTAGTGGGTCGGTAATGACATTTAGACACGATTTGGCAGAAAGTGTAAGAAGATATAATCATCGCAGTAAGCAATTACAAATAAACCAGAAAACAAAAATTAGGGGTATAACGGGATTCGAACCCATGGCCTCTGCGTTAGCGCTGCGACGCTCTAGCAACAGAGCTATGAACCTGGCCTGTCCCCAAACACTGGGGGCAGCATGTTGAGTTCATCTTGACCCGTGAAAAGAATGAAACATAATGAGGATAATGAAGAACGTTTTAGTATCGAGATGCGCCTTCAAATGACCGCAACTATGACCACTTACCAAGCTCATTTAGCCACAAGCAACAAAATTTAAAACATTTAACTAAATGTGATTTCGTTAGAGACTTTTCCCGTAAAAGCTTGCTAGGATCAGGTTAATCCCTTTCTTCGCTTAACAATCTCTACATTGTGCATCTAGAGTACAAAGAAAGATTCAACGAAGCAGTTAACGCACCTCATTTATGCAAGATATTGAAACATTTTCCTGTCCACGAGAAATATCGCTGCAAATTTAAAAACAAAGGCAAAAAATTTGAAAGGCCCCAATAAGACGGAATTATGGCTTTAAATCCCCTTTTTAAAACACAGGCATCTTAAACAACAGTTTAGCACATGACCAAGCAAACCAAACAAATTTCTTTAAATAGCCAAACAAAATTTTTCTAGTGTAGTAACTTCGGTATATTTTACGTACCAATGTAAAATGCGTGGCCGGATGTAATGTTGACGAGACTCTAAATCTTCTTTTGCCTTCAGTAAACTATAACCTCTAGAATCAGGATCAGCAACCTGACAAACGGTTCATAGCAGGAAATTACAAAATCAGTCATTACTGTAAAAAAAAAATTAAGGCTAGAGATCTGACGTTTAGTCTAAACTAAATACTCGACAGCTAAACAAGAGACTTTCTAGCCTGTACATAGACGTTGTTTTATTTTTCTTTTCGTACCCCCTTCGCTGGCGGTCAATAAATCCCCTGCGGTTTATATTTTATCACCCACGCTCGACGGACTTTGAAGAGAAAATAGAGGGTCTGTGAACAGGCTAGAGACTTTTGGACCTTCAACAGATCTACTTACATTCAACATATAAAACAAAGGAACAACCCCTGAACATGTGAATTAGTAGAATAATGTTACCCCAAAAAGAAAAGCGCAAAGACTTCAGCGTTTAAGGAACTGTCAACAACTCATTCAACCAAATCATTCAACCTGATCTTCTAGCGCATATGAAAATGAAAACCGTGGGGGATTTATTGACCGCCAGCGAAAATTGTCGGAAATAAAGAAAAACGTCTGAGAACAGGCTTAGATACCATTTTTAAATCTCTTGGTTTTCGTAGAAACAATAGATTTGACGTCATAGTCGTGAAAAATACAAAAGATTCGGACTTTAAAAAACCATTTTCGTGCTGAAATTGGAAAAAAACAGATTTTAGCCAATCAGAGCACTCGATTTAATTAGTTCCATAAGGAAAATCGGGTTTGCTTTTGCACATGCGTTGCCACAGAGCGCTATCGTTCTATGGCGTACGATTACTTAATAACCTATTTGACAAACATAAATTGGAAACTAGAAATTAGAGAAATGGAAATTAAACTGAGTACATCTTGCCACAAAGCTACATAACTACGATACAGGAAATACTTTCACTACCATAGCAGGCGTGTTGCCGTCTTTGTTCCTGATATGAATATCTGCACCTCGACTTAGAAACAACCTGTAAACATTTAACCAAACAATAGGAGTTTCTAGTCTCAATAAACTAATATCTTCAAATCTTGAAAAAATGCAAATTGTAGCCACCTGTATCTCATTACAGGATTACCCAATAACATGCACTTGTCCCCAAAACAATCCCATAACGCAATTCACAGCACCGACCCGACCAACACTCAAAGTGGCCTCTAATCATTGCGATCGCGGAAACAGGGTCCATACACTTCTTCCCACTTAAAACTTAAGGACTATTCAAGAACTTTCAAGGACCGCATTTTTAGACTTTAAAGGACCTAATTTTATTACTTTTAACACACGTTTCAAATAAACTATGAATATATTCCGACAATAATGGGCTTTCTCAATGCTGATTTTATCTTGGTAGCTTCAAAACTGGTATTTACCAAAGTTTTGTGGAGGTTTGAAAATGTTCCTCAAATAAAATTCAAGTACTTTCAAGGACCAAAATGAATGACTGAAGAAGAATTTCAAGAATTTTAAAGGCCTAGTACTCAAAAATTCATAGGTTTCCAAGGGTTTTCAAGACGCGTACGAACCCTGCGCAAACTTCGACAACTCGATAGCCAGCTTTTCATATAATATTTGGCTCTCTTTGGTTAAGCAAAAACAACAAATAGCGTGAAACAACCGCACGATGTTACTTACTGGACACACTGATAGTGGTTGTCTCTTGCAGCGATATGGCTGAAAACCAAACCAATAAAAGGTCAAAATCAAGAGTGTGGACAACTTCAAAACCCCGGGAACATAATGTGCCACAGACAGGGTTCGAACTAGCCTGCATCCCAGACGTAATTTGACCTCGGTTAGTAACGTCTGCGAAGAAGCGCCGATATTCTTGTTCTGGGGTCCCAACGGACCCAACGAATTACAGGAAGTGCGTTTCGAATTTGCTTTCATCCTGATTGGCACATCGACAATGACTTCTTCAACAGGCAAATAATGGTGTAATCCTGGTACACAGCTGCGGGCCCAGAACAAGGACATCGGCGCTGTTTTAAAGACGGACGTAAACAGAGTTAAGTTTAAGCTAGGTTCAAATCCGCTACTTCAGAATTGCCTCCGGCTACATGCACGCAATCGCCATTACATTTATTCATTTGTCGTTCATCTATCAATATGTTTGAAACCTAATAAAAGAGGTCCTTGATCCCTTTCCCTAATCCTTAACGTGCAACAGTATAAGCTGGGAAGTCCGTTTTAAAGGATAAGTCACAAATTTGTCCCAAAATCCAAAAACAAGTCTTCGCATCGACACCGTATAAAAGCAAGGAGATACGATTAAGGACGACTCAACCCTATACGTATCCTCCAACTCGCACTAAAAACGGTATATTAAGTCTTGATAAAGGGGGCCGGGGTATTAACTGCAAGGTGATGGGATAGGGAGATTTTTGATAGTCAGGGGGTGGAGTGGGGAGCAGTTGCAAAAAACACAGGTATCTCAAAGTGTTTATTGACAGCCTGGCAGCGGGTAGGGCGGGGTGGGGGTATTAATCTTAAACACTTGGACTGCGAGCGGTCTCTTATTTTCCTTTGCAAAGTTACTGCACGAGAAACCCAGGCACGAGATATTGTAATACAACGTCGTGCTTTGCCACCGCGCTAACTCAGATAAGAACTAGACGGATTTTAAGAGAAAATGCGGACTGCAAGCAGTCTATAAACACTTAACACTTGTTAAGTAAACACTTGTTGTCTAAAGGTGTTTATTGGCAGTAAGGTAGAGGGTAATGTGGGATGGGGGGCGTTGATTTTTAAGTACTTACAGTGAAGTCTCAAGATGTTCGTTCACAGTGTTTATATTCACATGATTCGAAAGCAACAGTTTGCACACCTCGGCACTTCCAGAAAAAGCTGCCCAGTGAAGGGGAACATTAAGCTCCTGAATAATACAAAATTACAAATAGTCAAATCATTCTGACATTCAAAGTCATATGCAGTAAAAACCCACGATTGAGAACCTGCATTTTGCCAAGTTAGCCTTAACAGGTCCTTACATAAATAATAATTAGCACAATTTTAAGCTATTTAGGTTCTTTAATAGGTTATTATTTTATGATAAAGAAAAAACACTACATCGTAGCTAAGATTACTTTAGTAGTGTTCAGCATACTCCTTATTATGTAAAACCTGTAAACCTTGCAGTTGAGGTGACAAGGCACAGATGTCTCCAAAGAGGATCCTGAATGTTGCCTTACCTGATTATTTCGCCCCAAGAGTACAGAATTTCTTTTATAAATAACAACCTGTTTGAAATTTTAGGCTAAACAGATTCTTGTATAGGGGGAGCCTAACAGACAAATTTCTAGCCTAACAGGTTCTTAAAAACCAGGTTCTTACATGCGGGTTTTAACTATACTTAGATAACATCGTACGTTTTTAGCCGCTTACTGAGCTAAAGTGCCCATAAACCGTGTAACATTCAACCGTCAGGAGTGTACCCGCATAGAATCTGTTACACGTCGACGCTACTAAAGTCAAATTTATATCTGTATTCCCGCACGCACTTACACTTGAACTTCTTAGTATTTGGTCAGATTAAAACATCTTTACGACTTTTCAATGGAAAAATCCTACGAAGACATGTTAAATTCAAGAAAAATGACCAGGCAAATTTTGTTTAATAACCTCCGTGCGTTACGCATGCTGGAATGCAGAAATAAATCGTATATCAGCAGCACCAAATCAAATAGCTCCTGTTGTTAAGAAGGCAATCTGTTACTAGATTCTATATAGACGTATGCTTGACCTGACTTGAATGTTATTCAAGAAATTCAAGACAAAAGAAAACTACCCGAATTTCAAGGGAATAACCAAGTTACGTAGAGAGCCCTTGCCAAAGTACACACTATTCTATCCGTAATTATTTATTCTTCTCATTTATATTTATGATCTAACAATAATAACCAAACAAACAAAGCAGTTAAGCCTGTGTGGTACATCCCAATGGACCACGCCCCTACCCTGCATGGCAATAACCATGCCTCCAATTTTTCCCCTTTCCTTTTCTTTTTTCCGAGCACCCGCCATACAAGGCAAACGTAGTTGTACTTAAGTTTTCTTAAGTTCCCTTTGCTGAGCTGAGGGGAAGTGGTTAGGCTACAGTGCTACTGTACCAGGTCACGTGAGTGGACATTAGCTCCACACTCCATTAACAGCTGGGTTGCTTCATATTGTTTATCCTCCGCTGCCCACATGATTGGAGTCCATCCACCATCATCCTGCAGGTAACATACAAAATACATCATAGTCTTACATAACTAGAATTTTTCCTTAATCGACTACCACGAGGTCACAAGACATTCGATAACTGATATAATCTTTACGAAATGAACTTAGCGAAAATGATTAAAAGCTCGCCAAAAGCATTTACCTTTTCATTGATATCAAACTGTCCTGTCTTCAACAAGAGTTTGATTAAATCTGTATGTCCTTGACGAACAGCTAAATGGAAACATGTCATACCTTTGGAGTCCTGGAAATTGAGACAATTGTCATATTGTTACACCTGATAAAAGCGCTTGGGTTACTAACTTCACGAAAGTTTTCTCAACGAGAAAATGATCCGGTCAACCAATGACAGAAACTTGATCTTCCTATTGATTTTCAGGAAACTGAGGCGAGTTTGTTTTCGCAAAAATTTTTTAGGACCGCTACTGGGGACGGGAAAAAACGGGCCAATAGCTGACCAGGCGGTGCGTCCCTAGTGACAATCCCAGACGTCTTTGCGAAAGCTTACTCAGCCCAGTCTTCTCCTGGTTTCTGAAGTAGCGAATAAATCAAGAATTGAGAAATCAGTGCTGCAGTGTGGAAACATTTCCTGGACACTACATATGGTGAAAAAATTCATACCCTGACTCTGACGTTTGCACCGCATTCAATGAGATATTCTACTGCTTGCACCTTGTGGTTACTAACTGCATCAAACTGAATAAAAAGAACCAAATAAGCTCTCACTCTAGAGTCAGCATACTTCTACCAAAAGCGTAGCTCCCACAAACAAAACCAAAGGCGACCCATAATCTCTCAAAAGATTAACTACACTTCAAAAACAGGTTACAAAAATAATGACGAGGAGTAAAAATCAACAGAAAGGTTATCGATATATTAAAATTCATACTTGGCTGCGAGGCTCGGGGAAATACAAGAAAAGAAATCATCTCAAGGCTCAGCAATGAACAATACATTTCTTTTGTTTTATTCCCCAAGCCTCAGAGCCAACTATGAATTTAAATTTATCGAAACTGGTCTATTCCCTTAACTACAAGGAAATGTATGGAGATCAGTCGGCAGAATAGGGCTTTTTGCAATAGTTGGTCACGCGATCAACTTTCTGTAAACATGAAAACAGTTCGCTGTTCGTTGCGATCGCCACTTTTGAGATATACGGCTGAAGATTTACAGGTTACCTAATTTTAAGATGCTCTTTCAGTTCCTATTAACACCATCGTTAAAAAGCGAACTGTTTTCGTGTTTACAGAAAGTTGATCACGTGATCAGAGGGTTACCTAACTCTTTCACTCATAGGGCACAAGATTTACGTAACAAAGACCCGCACTAAATAAGATTTATCAGCCATGCAACTTTTGGAGGTTTTCCATTGGGACGTTTCAGGTCAAGCCTTGCCTAGTGCCTAGGCCTCATTATTCCGCCAGGACTTTGCGCTGCTGGTCACGTGGATCGAGCGAGATTTTCGTCTCGGATACGTCACAGACATGCACTGACCGAGAAGGCCTGGGGAGACGCAGTGCAGGGACTAGGCAAGGCCAAGCCGACATTGGACAACAAAGAGGGCACCGGGAGATGCAGTCCTAGCTATAGTCTTACTAGCAGTTTGTACCGTTCAAAATGCAACTTGCAAATATGACGGACGGAAAGGACACATTAACTTATAGATTTCTATGTTCTTTCCAACAAGGTACTTACAAAAGGTGTTCTGTTTTCGTAGTCCACCAGGTTCAAATCACATCCTGCCTAAAAATAGAAAATTATTTCGTCGAAATTCAATACCTGCATGATACAGCCTAATAACTTCTGCAGTCACAATAGAAAGGCACGGTTCTAAGTCAAATACAGATCATGAACAGACTCGGTAGAGAACTAGTCAATTACGTATCAAAAGTGAACCGACTTCGATATGAAATCCGTCATATTCAGTCAAATCTTGATCAGCGAAGACTACTTAAAACAAACAAAAGTAAAAAGTAACAATAAAATCGAACGATGTTTCGGTCTCATCGTCACGCTTTTTAAGTTCAAAGAGTCTGAGAATTTTGACCAGACTTTTGAACTTGAAAACAACGTCTCGAGTACACCGAAAGGTCGTTTCACTTTATTGTTATAACCTTTTACTTGTTTTTAAAATTCAGATCTTGGGACATTTAAATTAAAGTTGCAATATGATTATTTTAAGTTTGCGTTTGCGCTTTTTCTAATAAAAGGAATACTTTTTTGATCAGGCAATCTCAGAGCCGGATGAGATTTTCAAGCAGGTGAGCAGAAGCTTACCGGCTTAAAAGTAACCAGATTAATATACATGTACCAGCAAAACGTCAAACAATTTCTCTACAAGAAGTTATTTCCTCACAAAAACAAATCTTTACAGTTTTACACTAAAACTTAAAAGACCACTGAAAATGTTCTCGTGGCATTCTGTGTGCAATCACGCTTTGGATCCAAACAATCTTCAAAAACCCTCCACCCTCAAATCCTGTCCAATACGATTTGTGGCAACACGGAAAGACCTCTCAGAAGCTTTTCCAGTACAATTTTTCGTAATCAAGTTTTTAGGGCAGGGTTCTTGAAGCAAAGACCTCAATCACATATTGTCATCAAATCAGTAAATTAATATCAGTTACCAAAACGGGGAAACAAAAGGCTAAATTACAAAATGATCAAAATGCAGAAAGCAGGGAGGAGTTTAAGAGCCTTTTAAAAACTCTGCCGTTTGTTATTTAGTTTATCAGATATTTACCAGTCTCAGACAAGCCATGATATCAACATATCCACCACCAGCTGCCGCATGCATGGCCGTCTTTCCTTTGGCTTTAACAACTTGTTGGTTTGGATCACATCCTCCAACTACAGAGAAAAACAATACAAGAATATACATAGGGCTTGGGGAAAAGAAACTGCTGCTTAATAGCTAGAATTGACTTAACGAGAAAAAACAACATGAGCGATAAAATTGGAAGAGAGTGTGGGTGTCGTTATACTTTCAACAGTTCATTCGAAAGATTTTTATTGCCAACGGTGAAGATAACGTCTTGTTGCTCACTAACCGAGAGCGCAAGAAATATCTCCTTGTCTTTGGAGAACCAAATGGTACTTGCAAACAAAGAAATCTCCACAAACCCAAAGGTAGAAATATACAAAAAAAACTGAATCACAAAGAGAGTTCAGGTGCCTTTAACAACTGTCAACTGTAAGAAAAATACTCAAATTTACACGTAGATTAGTTGAAACTGATAATTTTCTTGGCAGATAATTTCCAGACGTACACCCCAATAAATGACTTTGAGGGTAACGATATAGCGAGAGATAGCGAGATAGAGAGGTATATAGGCTTATTGAACTTACGATCTATCTTTTTGGTCATCTTTAAACACATTGGAAAAATCAGCGAAACAAAAATGCTTGTTTTCTTTTATTACTGAAGATTAAAGAAAAATCAGAGTAACATAACAAACGAGAGAAAACAAACCTAACAAAGCAACAACTTTGTGAACATTGCAGTCTTTAGCAGCTGTGTACAAATTCATCGGTGAAACTTTCAACTTCTTAAAAGGTCTGAAAGACAAAGCGAATATCACACTATAATGTAAAATGAAAACAAACAAAAAAACAATAATTATGTACCATTTCTGTACCTAAATCCATGCACGACAGTCCCTTTTTACTACAAAAAGCCGTTGACTGACATTTTTAAAGCCATGATGACTATTTCAGCAGCGTCCCAGAAAGCCCTCTAAACACGTTTTAATGAAACTTTATTTGCTGTCCTTTTCAAGTTGTTTTTTTTTTTTTTGCTTCGGTTACTGTAGCATTTATTGTTGGTGCTGTACAACTATTTGCATTCTAAGTTTACTTATTGTATTGTTCCATTATTAAAGATTCCTTTGTAAAATATCCGTGAGCCACATGGACAAGCTCTCTTGATGAACACTTTATGGTTTAAGAGCAAATTTTGTAATATGTATTGTTTATAGAAAAAGCACTTTTTAAACCAAAATCAACACCTGACGATCACTTAATCTGTAAAAATCAAAAGTCACAGACTTGTAATGCATAGTGACCAACACATACTTATCTATTCCATTACATTCATCCAAAATTCGTCGCAGAATCTGGGGATTAGCGAGGAGTGGGGCATCCTCTGTAAATTAGAATAATTTAAATTATTAGCCTGGCCATAAATTACCACAAATCAAAAATACATAAACAATGGAAATATAGCAATTTAAACTCTATTACTACAGACAAGCACTGACTGCCTTACTAATCGCCATCTTGACTTCAAAGCCTCATTTGAACTCTGCTGAGGGTGTCCACTTAACAGAGCTTGGACCGTACTCAACCAGATACGAACAATAATACAGCATTTTCAGAGCTTTACATCTGCAGTTTGTTACCGTAATGTAATTCTCAACTTTTTCTAATTTCCTTTCTTATTCCTCTACCGCCTCAATAAGTTTTTTTACTTAATGTGGACAGAGGAAATCTTTAAATTTTTCCTGCTTTAACCAGTTAAAGTTGGTGTTTATTGTTGTTGTCATCGGCAAAAGCAAATTTTTTGTTTTCCAGCCTCTGACTAAAAACGAATTTACTTTTATTTTTCCCCGCATATTACCATACCTGTAATACTTGCAAATGATAATGAAGACAGGGAATCTGAAGAGGCACAACTACTGTTTCCCTCGCCAACACTGTGTCGCAAGCCATCCACAATCCTTGCTACTGAGTCTGCCACTGACTCAGAGCATATAACACTACTTGAAACATCCATTTCTATCATAGTTTGTGGGCTGTTCTCATCAGGAGAGGATCTTTCATAAACAGATAAAAAAACTATTTATAAAGCCACTATAAAATTTAAATAGTAATCCAGCACAAGAGCCTAACAGTGATTAAGTATTTTACAGTTTCCAAAAAATCTAGAATTATTATTATTATTATACTATAATCATTATTTGGATTCCCATTTGATCAACAAAAATACAAAATTATCATAATTTCTTTAATGGATCAAAGACACTGTACAGAACACAAAAAATACTTCTTAATGCATTGTATAGAATACGATAATCTTAGAAACTTTATTTTGATATGTCAGGAAAGAATGCAAACTTCGTCAACTTAACAGATCACGATATAACTAACATTAGATAATGACAATAATTCTCAAGTTATAGCCAAATAAGTCCATCTAATGTTTCAAAAGAGGATACAGATCTTGAACCAAAAATCTAATTAATTAATTAACTAATAGTATATAGAGGTTATTACATGGCCGCACGGAGATACGAAATTTCTCTTCGAGTGTTGAAAATATTTCACGAGTGAGCGCAGTGAATGAGTGAAAGATTTTCAACACGAGAAGAGAAATTTCGTATCTCCAAGCGGCCATGTAATGTTCTACTTATTATATAAACACCGATGAAATACCAAACCATTTCAATGAAACAGTTTTTTTCCTGCAAAAGGTGCAATTTATTATGTAGCCATAGCAACGGTGATATTTTCACATGTGAAAATACCATGTTATTTTCACCTGTGAAGATACCATGTTTTCGCGCGAAAGCTCACCTGGTATTTCATTGGTATTTATATAGTAAAATTTATTATTATTGTTATACTGCATATTGTATAGTTTTGTTGTTTCTGTTCATATATTTTAAGATAATTTGTTGTAGTAGTGAATATAAAACCTTTATTGTAACTAGGACCACTACCTCCCTTTGGGGGGGTAAGGCACAATAAAGATAAACTATACTATACTACTGTACTATACTAATAATTCATTCAGTATTTCCTTTTAATGAGTTACCATTCTCCACAAATTAATCACAAAGGATTTTGATTAAGATACAACTTATTTGTATCTGATAATAAATTTAATTTCCTTAGCTGTGAAATTCAGAATGCCTCTAGTATTGCTGTGTTCACTTCTAAACTAAAGTCCTTTTTCTGGTATATGTATACTGTCTTTACTTCTCTTAATGCTCATGTGTACTTCTTTGCTTCGTTCACTTTTTTTTTTCGCACTTTGGATTCTTTTTCTCACTTTTTCTTTTCATTTTTGCATTTGCGCTTTAATTCTTATCTATTTTGTATCCTACTAAATTATTATTTTCTATGTTACAAAGAAATTCATGCCTTTAGTTAAATTGTCTTGCCAAAGCCAGTATTGTATTTCATAATTTAGTCATATATTTTCAAGGTGGTCCTTTTCATAAGCCTTACTGACTTCCATGGGCTTCCTTTACTCATCCACCTGAATTAAATTGTTCAAGTATTTAATTTCAATGTGGCAAAATAATAATAAATAAAATAAAGGGTGATGCCAAATTCATACTGCTAACCTTAAGTACCATGTCTTTTAATTCTCACCTCTTTTCTTGGTTTTCTATGCTCATTTTTGCTCCTAACAAAAATTAAGTAAAGCATAGATAAAAAAAAAATTAATAAATAAGTCAGCTAACATCCAAGAAGGGAATGCAGCTGTCCATGAAGAATTAAAGTACATAAAAGTAAAAAGTACTTGATGAAATCAAAACCAAAAATTCAAAAATTGTATTCATACTTTTCCTGGGTGTGTCTTGAACATTCTGTAATAAAAAAAGAAAACATTTTAAGACATGAAAAGAACGTACAGTTGTTCATTTATCAGTAAACCTGCAACAACAATGGAGGGTAGCAAAAGGAATTGGGAAAGGTTTCAACTTAAAAGAAATCTTTTAGAGTCCAAATTTCTCCATTACAGTAATAGCCCGCGTATAAGAACCTGGGTTTTAAGAACCTGTTAGGCTAAAATTTTCATTTTAAGCCCCCTCCACATAAGAACCTATTTAGGCTAAAATTTTAAGTTAGGTTCTTATCAGTGGGGTTGCTGTAAAAGTGTATAGGTAGAAACTGCTGAATTAAGATCATCATCTAGGACATATGCTGTACCTGCACTGAACTGCCTATAGGCATTGCTCTATGGTACAAATAAATGATTTATACTGTATTATCAGATGATATTTATAATATATATAGTATATTCAGATGAAATTCATATGAAAATATAAGAACCTATTTTAAGAACCTCCGTAGCCTAAATTTGCTTTAAGTACCGTTTATATAAGAACCTATTTAGGCTAAATTGAAAAATTCAGGTTCTTATACGCGGGCTACTACTGTACAAGAAAAGAATTTAGTGAGCTGAATCAAAGCACTGAATAAAAGGAATAAACAAATCAAAAAGCCACTAAAAGCTGCAGATCATGTCACTTACAAAATAATTAAGTCCCATTCAGTTACTACTGAGAATTAAAAAATTTGAAAACGTTCTAGGCAGTAAATATTAAAATTAATTAAAAATATCATTTGCCAATTAGCAAACTATAAAAAATAAGGAAGAAAGGTTGTAATCATTTTCAAGGAAAAATACAGATTGAGAGCATGTTAACCATTTACATTGCAATTTCTTAAAAACTAGTATTCTCATTAATGCCCTGTAAATTTGAAACACAAGGTGTTTAACCAGTATCTAGTATAGTATCTACATCAATAGGGACCTCTTACTATATGTACATGTACATTCACATCGTCCATTATGTAACTAAAGGAGAATCTCACTGGTCTAGTGAACACTGAAGCTACACATGAACATCACTTACGCCTTCCCCTTTGCCACTTAATTTATCACCAGCAGAAGTTGAACTTGACAGAGGTTTCCCTGCTTCTACCAATAAAATAGTACATATTCAGCTTACATGACAACTATTGCTGTAAGTCAAGGAAATTGGGTGTTTTTAGGCAATTCTCTAATCCCATGGCTGCAGCTGTAATCCTCTACAAGAGGATGATTTTACCCCTTTTTTTGACTACTGTGATGTGACCAGCAAGGGTGCGGAAAAGTTAACTCTGATGCCCTCCAGAGTTTACAGCATAAAGCTGCCAAGTTAATACTACAGAGCTGAATGCTACTTTCACTGTAGTGCACATGGTAAATAGGCAAAAACGGCTTCACGTTGTCTTGATAACTAGAAAATGCCTTGATGGTTCCATACCACCTTTTTTTATAAATAATTATTTCAATTTAGATGCCTTTGCACATACAGTTTCGAAATAGACTCTGTAATGATATTCATATTCAAAAAGTCAACCTACAGGTTGCCAAGAGATCCTTTTGTTTTGCTGGTGCAGAGGAATTTAACAGTATTCCTTGTTCAAAAACCTGGCCTTGGACCAAATCTATTGTAGTGATCAGGCCCCAACTAAGACAGCTGTAAATACCATGTTACAAATACCTTGATCACCAACAGAACCAGCAGCCGCACTATTCTTCTCTTCTTCCTCATCAGAATCAAGAACAATGGAGTCAGTTTTAGTTTTTCCTTTATCAGCATACTTTAAAGCTCGTTTACGTAGCTGGCAGCTACAAATTGTTCTCATGATGGGACGCACCTGACCATCTTCAAAATGGGCAAAGACGGTCATCATACCACCATCTGGAGCGGGGCATTGAGACTCCGAAATGTCAACAGAAGTCTGCAGCATACTATTCTGTTCATGTGCAACTGTCTGCTGGATCTGAGTATTTGTAGCAGCAGAAACAGTGGATGTTGCTGAAGAACAACAAGTACTTACTGAACATTTGACGGCACTTACTGAAGGCTGATGACTGAATGGTACAACCTTAGCAACAGAGGGGGTTTTGCCATCTGAAGTAGCACGTTTTTTATCCAAAGATACTGCCTCACCAGTTACAGAAGAGTTCAAGTTTTTCTGCTCTTGTGCTGTACTAACATTTGTTTGTTGAGAACATGAAGAGATCAAACGCGTTCCTGGCTTTATCTTGTGTGGACTTTCTGAAGTAGTATTTCTTTGTTCGTTTGTCTGACCTACAAAATATTAATACATAATTTTTAGGACAAATAAAGTTCCAAGTACAAAAAACAAATTTTAAAGATGAAAATAAAACAAGTATTTCGTTAATATCCATTACATTCACTTTAGCTACTTTACACCAACTATCCTAGCCAAAGTTACATGCGCTTAGCAATAATAATTATTTTATGTTATAAAGCAGCAAGATACCTTATAACCAGATGTTTTGAATCTTAATTCTTATCTTTTTCTTATTTAAAGGAGACTGGATATTCATTAGCCATTTAAGTTTTCAATACTGAAAAGGAAGTTCATCTGCTTATCATTTTAAGCTCAGACTGAGGGGTTCTCTAATAATTATTATTGTTAAAGTAAACAGTCTGCAGAAATGCAGAAAAGCTGCAATAATTCAGAGCTATTACTAAGATTTCAAATTGCTGGGTATATGCAATTAGTAGACCACCAAATGAAAAGCTGGTAAGTTCTTTTAGTTCTCTTATTGTTTTCTTTCCTATGTAAGAAGCCAGGGTCATCCTGACCGTAGCCAGCAGAAAATATATCCCCAGATTCAGCCCTTAGTGACACCCCAAATGATTATGCAAAAAAATACACAACTTTTACGGTTGTTTCCTTCGAAGAATAATTTGCTATTTATTTATTTATTTACTCATTTATTTAATTATTTATTTTAACTCCCAGATATTCCCCTAAAGTGCAATTGTATCTTCATGACAATAAAATCTGAACATTCAAACCTACTAAAATATTATTTATCAATATTTAGGTTTTTTTTCCTTCTTATTTGCTTCATTACATTGTTATTGTTCAAATTGTAAAAGTCATTTTACAATTTAAATAACAGCGTTTAAAACAACAGACACCATCACTTGAAATTTGGTGTGTTGTTATGGTTACAAGATATAGAATGTCATTAGTGCTATAAGTTCAAGCGTTGCAGATTATGAGTCTCACTGCTTGTGCAAGCGAGACTTAAAAAGTAGATTTTCAAAAAAAAGGGAGTTGTGATCTGATCCAATTCTCACGAGGAAAATGGAAAAAGATATATGAAAAAGTACTAAAGTATACACAGCCTTTCTTTTTATGGGCCATGCATTTTGGAAAGAAAACATTGAAGACAGAGTAAAATTATTGGAATCAAACGTTTTAAATTGTTGTCTTTAGATAACAACAGTCGATTTGCATAAAATAGGTCTTAAATGAGGGAATGACGTTTCAGAGAACTTAGTTCCTAGATTAATTTCCCAGCGAGGGTGGGGCCATGTCCCTCACTCCACTACCCCCCATCCCCAAGGAAAGTGTGCCTCTGGTGCATAACGTTTGCCTTACTGGCCATGAATGGTCCCTTACCTGCTGAGCTAAAAATTAAGGGAGAACACTACAAAGCGGCTCTAAATGAAAAACCTACCGACTCTCCACAATGATTCTTCATTCGTAGTTCAATTAAACAATTCATAGTTTCGAAGACAAGGGCAATTTTGCTGTTTACGATAAAGATTGTCAAAATTTTTGAACTCCACACTTGTAAGCAAAAGTGTATTCAAGTGTCTCCAAGAAATGTAATTTGTGCTTGTAGGAGAAATACTTTATAATTTGTAAACAAGAAGTGTCTACCCTGAACAATAGAAATGACCTAATCTAAGGTTGTAGACACTCAAGGAAATTTCTACTAAAAACTGCCCTAATTTGATTATTATAATTTTATTTTGTCACAAATTTGACATGACCTTTGTAGGCATCACTTAATTAATGGTATAAGGTGCCATGCACCATATGCCGTGCACCATGCCTGGTATTTATTGCTCTGTTTTCTCTATATCTTTGATTGTAACCCTTACTTCAGGCAGTTGCCTGATGATTGCTTTACAAGAAGCATGAAACCCTGAGTAGCAACAAAAGTTCAAGACTTAATCCAGTTCCATCAGTCTACTTATAATTTAGTTTTTAAATATTTATTTGTTTTTAATAGCGGCTGTTTCAATTTACTTCAGGACTTCTGTTTTCTCAATTTAATGGCGATAATAAGTTTAATTAATAAATTAAGATGATTACATTAAATTATAATCGTCCTGTGATTTTCCATAGCTAAAACTCGCCTTGAAGGGTATAAGTCAAGACAATGCAAATTAATTTATCATTGGTTTGACTTCTGTTCTATATATAAACTACATTAACCCTAGTAAATTACTACCGTCTGTATCACTTTACAACTATATTCAGTACAATAATTACACTGAATTAAATCACCAGAATTAAAATTAGCGAGCCCAACACACTATGCTGCCTGTTTCTCATACAAACGTTAACACACTATTACATTATGCATACATTACAAAGGATGCAACACTGAAAGAATTCCACAAGTTTTATTTACAACACACATTACTTTATACTGGGCTGCCTGTGCTCCAATTGTGGAAGATTTTGTCCTCCTATCTTCATAACTGTGTAATAAACACAATCTTGCAATAATAATTTCAACATAATGACAGGGCTAAAAAGGCACAGTCCCAACACAACAAAATAACAAGGACTAAAATCTAAACAAAGTACTGGTTACCACATTATTTGCATGCACTTTTTGTGCAATGATCAAAATCCAACTAGGTGCAAATACATGTAACTCAAGAAACATAATCAGGTGAGGAATGTGGAGTTCTATAATTAGCCAGTTAAAAAATAATCACAATGATAAAAATGGTAAAATCAAAACGAAACAAAATAAATGATAAATAATTGAGGTGTCTGTGCCCTTCCGCCCTGCCATCACTATATGTTCATACAAAACCTGTGGAGCGGGAACTGGCTATTCCCATATGCTTGGGGTGCAGCCTGGGGTAGGGCCCATATCTTCCTGCTCTATAAGAGGGCCATCTAAAATTTCTCTCTCTTTGTTCAGAGTAATAGTTGGTTGGTGGGCGTGGTACCCCATAATGCATTGATCTACCTTGGAACCATGAAAGTCTTGGCTGTGGCCCCGGGTATCTTGGATAAAAGGGTGTTTTATTAGTACTGACTGAACTATGCTCTGGTGGGTGATGGAACATGCCTCTGGTTAGTGAACGTTGAGATCCTAATCCTCTGTGCACACTTGAATACCGACCATTCCATGCCCCAGTTTGTCCATTTGGGAACGGTTGGTTTCTCCCACGATGTGCATCTACGGGAGGGGTGTAAGGATGGTAACGACGATGACCATGAAAATCCATTGTTTTCAAAACCTGCATGAAGTATAAATAATTAAACAGTTTTCCACTTGCTTCAAACCATAGCCTGAGAAAACAGCCAACATTTTGTGACACCACTACTGGTTTTCCCACAAACTGATGTCTTAGAAATGAGCACAGATACTCCATACTGGTGATTTGGGTAGTGCTTCTGATTGGTCGTGCCCTATGGGAAATTTGCTTCAACCAATCAGAAGCACTACCCAGATCTGGGTAGTGAGGCATCATCAGTATGGAATTTCTGAGCTTGTTTTTCAGGACGTCATTTTGCTGGCAAACCAGTGGTAGTGTTGCAAAATGTTGGCTGTTTTCTCAGGCTATAAACCATGGAATTCAGAAAACAAAAGGCCAGGCAGAATACATATCACTGCCATCTCATGCAATTCATGATATTTGTATCTGATTTATATTAAGGTCATTACTTGCTTGAGACAAAGAACCTTTCATTTTCTACCTTCTGTGATCCACACAAATTAATAACTACTTCACCCTGTAATTTAAGGCACTTTCCATTTGTCAGAACTGGCCGGCTGGACCATTGCCAGACCAGTCAGTTAGCAAATCAGCTTTTTCTAAAGGGTTTTTGCTGAAACACTATCTCCTTTCTGCATGCTATTTAAGATTTGACTGATCTGGCTGGATAGTAATGATTAAAAGTGAGTTTCTCATTACAACAGGAATGATCTGGCTGGTCAGTTCTAACAAATGGAAAGTGCCATCCTGAACTGAATTAAGGACAAAAATTTTCTGTCATGCACTAAAATAAGATAAAAACCATTTGTTTATTAAAAGATCCACACATTACACGAAATGTAGAATTACAAGTAACTACTGTGAAATAAGACTTTCAACTGCTGTTACAAAAACAGGTAGAAAAATAAATATGAGAAATTCAATGCTTATTTGCCTTGTGCAAAATTATATTAATGTTTTAAACTTGTCTGCTTAATTAACAAAAAGGGACTTTTAACACATCATTTTTTCAAACACTGTAAGTATGCCCCTCTGTGGACCTCAACCAAAGTTAAAAATAATTTTTTTATTAACAAATCAACCACAATTTTCTGAACTTCTACTTCTGGAGATTTTTCTCAGAAAAGTGCCACTGCACATGACAAAGAAAAAATTCTCCATCACTGAGCCACTCTTATAGAGATAAGTTCTTGAACAATAAATATATAAAACGTTTTGTTTAGTTATTGTAAAAAGTACACTTTTGAGCTTTAGTACATTGTATGTATAACCACAAAAACATTTCAAAAAGATTGGACAAACAAAACAACACAAATATTCCCCATCAAGTTATTCATTGACAGCATGTAAGCAAGAATAAATAATATTATTATTAGAAACAACTGTTGTATGCTTAAGAAGCTCCAAGCATAAATTACAGCACTATTGTCTGTATGTCAGACTAACCCATGTATTTAATACGCAAAGTAATTAATTGGCATACAACACAATCACGTTGAGAATCCTTATGAGGTTATAAGGCCAGACTACCACTATCATTTTGATGCTAATGGGAATTCAAATGTTTGAGGCGCTAAGCATTCTAGAGGGCCTCTGATGAGTCCCTCGGCAGGCAGCGTTCCAGTTAATTCTTTTAAGCAGGGGGTCATGTCGACCATCTAAGGGGTCACCAAGACCACGTGCTAATATTTTTTCCTTATATTTAACTTAACACTTATACATGTATGTCAAAAATCGGGTCAGAAAGCCTTCTTTGTTGGGTCATTAAGCCAAGACCTGTCTCTTTTCTGGAACACTGGGCACAGACAGAACATACATGTACATATGTACAACATCAGGCTAGCCATGTAACTATGTGTTGTATCCTCTTACACCCTTTCCAAGACCTAATAATACTTCCCAGTTGCTTCCATAACTTGCAGTTTCCAGTACAAACTACAACTCAGCTAACAAAACAAGGTTTTGTGTTTCCCCACTTTATCTTCATCAGTGCATCCACACAGTTTTAACTACCCTACTTCTTCACCAAGAAAATCCTCTCAAAAATTATATAGATCAGTGGAATTTATTCTTCAACTTTCAAATTGGTTTATAAAAAAAAGAAAGAAAACAAGGAAAGAATAATCACGATATGATTTGAATGTTAGGTGAAGAGTGCTTCTTTTTTCACCATTTTGTAATGCAACAGGTTTTTTTTAGCATACAAGGCCATATTTTGTCTTAAAAGACCCCTCCACGGTTTTTTCAACTTTTGACATGAGCCAGTTAGTGAAAATACGCCAAGGCTGCTGAAAAGAGAGCCTAAAAAAGTCAAACTGCTTAGTTTGAGAGTGATTTGTAGAAAAAGAACAAAGATATCACCCCTCAGCATCCCAACATTTTACAGACGTTTGTTTGCTGGGGGGTACAAACTTACCCCTAATGTCTGTAAAATTTGAGGAGGGACACCTTCACTCGCTTAAGACATAGTTCTTTCGGCTTTGGTACAGATTTTTGGAACCAAAATTCAAGAATTTTTTCAGACTTTTTAAATTTTTTTTTCAGACTCAAGGTTATCAAATAGGTAGGTGATCAAAAGAGACCATAAAAAAAAAAAGGAACAAAGCTTTTTCGTGATCCACTGCAAATGTATGGGTGACATTGAATAAGATTTAACCACAACGAAAAAAATTTCAATTATAAAGCACTAGTTGTAGCTTTGAAAAAGAAAATCAGGACTTTTTACCATTTTTCCAGACTTTATCTCCATTTTCCAGACTTTTCCCTGGTCTAGAAATAATGTATGAACCCTGTACTTTCAAACTTGCCAAGACTACATGTTGAGGCACTCTTTTCAGTCTCATTAAATCCATAAAATCTTAAAAAACAAGAAATGTGGAGGGTCAAAAACCTATTACTTTAAAATAATATATACCAGTCAAAAACCAGCCATTACCGAGGTAAAAATTTGTTGGGCTAGTCAACATGACCTGCCACTGTCAAAAAAATATTTTCAGCTCTGAGTAAACCCATAAGTTTACACAAATTCTAATAAATGTAAACAGGCTAGTATAGACATATTACTGATAGATACAAAGATGGAAAAGTTAATGACAGAAATTAATAAAAGGCCTTCTTTTTTCAATTGCATAAGTTGTATATTTCCCTATGATTAGTCATATTGGTGTTTCTACTGTGACGAAGACCTACAAAGTGTGGCCACAGTTTTAAAGGGAAATGTACTTTGTTAATTCCAACAGTTAAACCGATAATATTATTTACAATAAATGTAAAATATTAAATGTTCTATAACACTCTATGGAACGATATGAGTGCTACATGTGCTGTGATTGGTCGTTGCCCATGATCTATTAGAGTACAGATAAATAGGATGACATCATGAGAAACTTGTTTTCTTTGTTTTGTTCAACATGGCACTCAGTTTTGAAAATAATTGTGAGATAATTTCAGATTAAACAAGTGAAAGACTCGTAAAAGCTTTAGCAAGAGCAACCTACAAAGACAAAAGTGGAGAAACAGAGACAAAAAGAGTTCTTGACAACTTGAAAATGCCTTAACTGCAAGAAATCTTCACAACAGTTGCCATCATGTGTCATCACTATGAGAGACTCCCTGTTTTGCAAAATATTTTTGCCATCATTCTGCTTTGAGAAAGTGAAGATGTTGAAAAACTTTTCAAAGAAACTGTATACAAGTAAGATAAAGAAGAAAAGAAGAAGCCAAGACGAAAAGTAGTGTTTGTGACTTTAAAAAAACCTAAACCAGCACAAATTCTCGAACAGTCAAGGGTACGAAGCAGGTAAGCTTATGTGTATTGGTCTTAACCCTTTTTTTGATCATTGTATAAAACAAAAAGATTCCATGTTGCTGTGGGTCTGTTCAGTAATAGATCACAGAAGACGTCAAAATGTGATAAAAACATCAGTGACACACTCGACTGCAGCTTGTGTGCCACTTCTTTGTTTTTACCACATTTTGACGTCATCTTTGATCTATTACTGAACAGACACATGGCAACATAGAATCTATTTGTTAAACAAAGATAGTATTATGGAAGTATATAAAATCGTAAGGGCTGTAATCAATTATGTTAATTTATTAATTTATGCAACTGTAACAGAAAACAATGGGCCACTGTTTACAGATACAGCTGTGGGTATGAAGGACAAAATCAGTGGTAACATATCATTCTCCTGATAAAAAACATATTGTTTTCTCAACAATTCTTCTCCCACAAAACCTGGTTTCTTTGGTGTTTGACATCTTCGTTAGAAACATACATCTCGAAAAATGGAGTCACTAATACTGCTGTGAACTATTCAACGATCGGAATGTTTAAGTCACACTAAAATGGACGCTTTCGTAAAGTTTTGCCAACAAATAGCTTGTAAACCCAGCTGAGATCGGCTTCAACCATGAAACCTTACGTAAAACCGATTAATCGAAGTCAGTCAAAGTCAGGTCGTAATTATTTCAAAAAGTACCAAAACAATCACGCGATCTTCTACGAGAAGAAGGGAATTGATTCACAGCAGTTAAAGCATTTAAGGATCTACTATGCCAGTTCACAGCTCAATGGTTTCTTGACAAGAAAACGAAAGTGCATCCGCGCGATGAATGCATGCAGTTTACATGTCAACGAATACACAATCACCTAAGCGAATGTGCGAGGGATTTTCAAAATCAAGCGTCAATAACGAGGCAGAAACACCTCTTGTGTTAAAAGAATCCCTTGATCATAACACAATAAAGCCACAAAAGGCCGGAACTAAGCTTACCTCTCCGTTCGAGGACAAGATTTCTTCGTGTGGTTGTTTAACGCGCGAAAAAAATGGCGCCGCGCCCGCTACACACGGGCTGCAACCGCTGTAACCCCAACTGATCCGCAGTCACTCCCACACTCCCAGTCTCACTGAGTCTTTTTTTACTTAAATTTTGTGTAATGAATTTTTTTTTCTCAGATCTTATCCCCCTCACAATCATATTTTAATTTTACTCTGAGCTTTGGTATCATTATCCATAACATTTATATTAAAGTCAAATGCAGAGAAAGAGTCAAATGGCTGCTAGTTCGGAGTGTGACATGTCAGTCATGTAATAGAGGTATGTCACGCCAGAGTACAGCACTTGACAAAATTATGAATTGATTCTAATGTATTCGTATAGAAGACGTTTCAGTGTGCTGTAATGTTTGTGAGATTATTATACCTAGGACTACTTATTTATGACAGCACATTTTGAGCAACTAATCATTCATGAGCTCTAATGGCGAATTTTGCTCTCTGTGATAAACACGAGGGGAATAACCAAGTAATCAAGTCCAAACTAAACTAACTAACCTTTTATTGACATCAAAATAATCAGATAATTCAAATAAAACAAACGCTTAATGAAAAAAATGTTTTTGTAATGATACGTCATCAGGTTGAACGGATCAAAATGGCGGACTGTAGCTCGGCCGGAAACGCTACAATATTCTGATTGCAACCACGTGACAAGGCGGCCATGTTTGTTGACATGCCATACATGTTTTCTCTTTTTTCACCGGAATGTTATAAGGGAGGGGAGGGAGTCGCTTTTGTCCTTGCCAACTAACATGGCGCCTTGCACGCGTAAGCCAGTAATGGTCACGACATGGATAATAGAAAGGCATCCAGTCTTTCTATTATCCATGGTCACAGTTACATAAAAATAACGAAAGTTTGTGTACGTGACTCAAGTTTGTACTTTTAGCGCTTCCCTCGGTAGCACAAGTGGTGCACAATCTGGAATTTCTCAGTGCGCTTTGTGCAGAGCTTGCTTTTGAGACTGCTATGGCAACGCAAATGTTTACAAAAGCATAAAGAAATAAAATTCTCAAAAAATCTCACCCATATATTTTGGATGAAAGTTAAAAAAACCTTTGTCTTAAATAAAGACGTCGGTTACGAGAAACTTGAAATCGGAACAATATTTGTGCGAAAGAAAGCGGGAGTCAGATGACCCAAAAGAACAATCGCAGTGAATCATGAGCTTAAAGTTATGATGATGAAACGTTCCTCGCCTTCAGATATGATTTAACTTTAAGGTCCTTTAAGTTAAGAACGTGAGTAAGTGGATATATAAAGCAAACAAACAAGACAAAGCCAAAGCCAAGCAAACAACACTGCATGAAATACCAGAGCCTGAGTCTGTATATAGTAAAATTTACAAACAGAGAACACCCTTTTTATACAGCCGGAGAGCGATATACCTTACCTTACTTTTAAAAAGTTATGAGATGTTTCCATCATGCGAGCATGTAAAACCTGCCAGAAGAGTTAATGAAATTGTTTTGAAGATGATTCTCCTGCTCAGAATCAAGTTGTTTTCTTCTTCTTTCACAAAACCCACATTTCACGCATTCACTCATATAACCACAACGGAAAAAGTGACGTATGGGTAATGGCGTCACAGTAAGAAGACGTTTTTAAAGCCAGCTCGCGCGACAACAAGGCAAAAGATATTCTCTCGTGGGCTACAACTTCTGTTTCCGTATTCTGTATCTTCTCCTTTGTTTTGTTCCTATGTAAGAATTGTATGTTTTAAAGCGAAATATCTGCATAGAACCATATAAGTTTGTATGAGACTAAAAGTAATTAAGTGTGCACGCACACTACAGTTTTTTTGAGACAATAACTTGCTAGAAAGATTTTCTCTGACTTCTCTACGTCATAGCAGACCCTGAATACAAATAAAGAGCAGTAAAAATCGACGACGAAATGAAACAAAATCAGTGTCCATTGCTAATTTGTACGACTAATTTTTATTCCCTTCTTCGTCGGGCAGCCAATAGTTAAATATGTAAAGATAAGCAGCAAATTTATTCATTTACTCAAGTCAATTACACAGGTTATCAAAATAAAATTATAAATAATAAGTACAAATATGAACGGTGATATCTGGGTAACTCCTTATTCCTTATTTTTAATAAACTAACTGAAATGAACATATAGATTAATAAAATACGATATATCGAAGAGTGAAAATATCATTCTAATTAGAAGGTTTATACATTCAAATAACATCACCTATAAATGATCAGAAAGCTATAAGAAAGATTTCGGCTTTTCAAGGGAACTATAATTGTTATCGTAACTAAAAGCTGAAGTTCTCAAACGTTTATGGTAATTAAGATTCGATTTCGATCTTGGTTTTCTTTTCATGAATTATCAATGAGCTTGAACATAATTGTATACTAACAAGAGCAAGGGAATTCCTTCGGCATAAAATCGTCAGATTATGATAACTACTTTTTCTCTTGCAAGAGTGGCACCAATAAGCACATAAGTAAGTAAATTTAAGAATTAGTCTACCTACTACCTCAAAAACATGACCGAGGGAGTAAAATACCACTCGAAGGATCACGACATCTGCTATATGAAGAAAATCTGCAGTAAAAATACCCGTTTAATGCTGAAAACGGCCAAGGAGCAAGTGAAGACTAAGTATGTTAGTGGCTAGATATAATTTGAATAACAGCAATGCACAATTCTTCGAGTCTTACACGGCCTCATCCAATAGTTGCAAAATGATAATAATATTAATAATGGTAAATGACTAGGATGATGAATAACAATGATATTTTAAATAATGGTCTATTCGGAGCCTACAGAGTAGCTCTACGTTTTAAAATTGACGATTAGATAAATACAATAAGTAACTAAAATTATATACTTATATGTGTATAAACCAAAACCTCGTAGTATATCAACCAAAGTAAAAAATTGTCGCAAAACGATCCTAATATCATATTATTATCATATTATTATCTTGACTGAACGATCCTGTTGTTGCATAAAAATGTGACAAAATTAAAATAATGACGATTATAAATGATAAATAATTAGTTGATGTGATGTCTTACAAGATTTTATCAACTTAATAAATGTAGATGTAGATGTAGAAAGCATCCTGGCAGAATAACTATCCCGTAAGAAAGCAAAACCCACGAATAAGAACCTGTATTTTCCCAAGTTACCCTAAACAGGTTTTTACATAAATGGAAATTTGCACAAATTACGTTTTTTCAGGTTCTTATTGTATTCAATAGAATTAGTTGTTTTTTGCCTATTGCTTACTTAAAATATTCATGCCAAGTAAGTAATTATGTAAAAATGGCCCAGATAAGAAATATTAAAACACTGATCACGTGAATTTTGAAGTCTCATTCAGAACGTAACGTACAAGTACTTAATTTTGACAATAAAATTCTGTTTCACATTCCAGTCTTTTGCGGTAAACAGGGGGTCTAACTGGCAAATGTTAGCCTAACAGATTCTTAAAAACTAGGTTCTTACTTGGCGGTTTTTACGTATACTGTGTTATGAACATTTTAGTAACGTTTCCATTGTAGCAAACATATAGTGCCACTGTTGCAAGGACTTTAGATCTTTGGGTTTGTCCATATCTTGTAACCATGGTAACGTTGCCCTGTAATAAGCTGCGCCTATGTTCCTCTGTTATTATTCAAACTCTTTCCGTGCTTTCCGTGGCGTGACATGTCAATGATTCTAACAGAAGTAGATGTGTATGTACTATCAGGCAATCTAAGACCACTCCTTTTCCCTTAATTCCACTCTTCTAATCTTACCACTGACTGTCTTGGGTAAAGTCTCCACAAACTCAATCTGCAAAAGCAATTTGAAAACTTCAAAGGGAGTGATAAACAATAGATATATTAATGAAAATAATAATAATAATAATAATAACTAATAATAAATACATAACCTGCAAGGAAATTCTACAGTCAGAAAACTGCAGCATCCCTCTGACTAGCCTTAGCTTTGCTGTTGAAGAGGAGCCATATAAGAAAATGCAAACAAATAGTTTCATTGAAGAATCGAAGTTTCACTTTTGTATTAATAAATAACTCTTTCTTGTACATTTGAGTAGCTTTACATTTTTTACTTCCTTTGAGTTCTCGTTATAAATTGTAATAAGTACTGAAATCGGGTAACTCATGAGCTGTAAATCATCCAGTGATACAAATCCTTTTTTATTACACGAAATTATATATTTTTCTTTATTTAGCATCTAACTGACAAGTGACTGACGGACCATTTCAAAGATCGTGTGAGTCGTGTCGTGCTAAGCCGACTTTAGCACTACGAATGTATGGGCGAATCTTTGTTTACATTTTTTACCTCATTAGCATATGCACTTCATTCTCTGATCAAGCGATTAAAATAAACTCTCTGACTATTGAAAGAGCATAATAATTTCAGTTAGAGCGATTTTACTTGGCCTGTGAAACAGATACTAACAACTACTGCAAAACAGCTACTAGTAAACAAAACAAGACAATGGAATTAGTGCATAAAAGTGCGTAGTATTCTACTACCTTTTTCACGGGTTAATTAAAATCACTTTATCTGCGAAAGTTTGTGCCCGATATACCGAATAGTTTCGGAGAAATTAACTTTGAAAAACTCGAAAGTTTACAAAGATTGTATGGGCTCATTAACGTTATGCCACCTGGCAAATTCGATGGCTGCTATTTTCTTTGTTATTGCTTGCAAAAAGCTGAAAATTGCACAAATTGTTTAAATTAACCAACTCTTTCAACTTTTGAATTTAATTTGTGCATACGATGGGTAAAGTCGTACGCTAATGAGCAAAAATGTAAACAATGACGTCAGCAAAGATCCGCAAACTTTTGGAATGACTTTAATCATCGCCGTGTCTCCAATCGAGAGAACGCGCATATCAGGCTGTATCATAATGCCTTTTCTTGGTATTTATTGAGTTCGGCAAGGCAGTGTCACGACCTTTGAAACTTAAACGACAACGGAGACTTTTAATACTGCGCGTTTAACCTTTCTTGGGTACTTGTAAGGTGCTGTAGTTTCTTTAACGTGATCTTGTAATTCCTTTACTAACGAGACTTTGTCACCACTGAAATGCGGCGACAGAATAACGAACGCTTTTACGACCTAGTAAGAGAAAGAACTGACAACAATGAGTGTAACATAAAGAGAAGTATCTTGGTTCCCAACCGCGTGACTAGGCGGCCATGTTGAGGGTCAATATAATAGAATTTTCTCAAAAAGAATTTACTTGGAAATGGCGTTTAGTTCCAAGAGGGGAGAAATGCTTTTGTTCGTGACCACTGACCAACATGGCCGCCGTGACGTCAGGTACAAACCAGCAATTATCCATCCTCGGAGACCCGGTGGCAGATAGTGGGGGTGAGAGAAAGTCTAAACGGGCGGGAAAATGGTAAAGAACGGCGAGAAGAGCCTCTGGGGACAATATCTTACCAGACCAGTTCCAAATGGTCGCCGCCGTTCTGCCTTCTGATTGGGCAGAAAAACACAAAAGTTTTCTGGCACCAATCAGAAGCCAGAACGACCGCGACAGTTTGGAACTGGTCTGGTAAGACATTAACCCCAAGGGCTCTTCTCGCCGTTCTTTTCTTTTCTTCGTGCCATATTTTCCCGCCCGTTTAGACTTTCTCTCGCCCCCACTATCTGCCCCTGGGTCTCCGAGGATGGCAATTATCATAAATATATTTTCATGGATGTACAATTTTACCTACTTACCGGATCAATAACTTACAAACTATAACACAAAGCGTAGTTAGTAGAGGAGACTGGTTGTGAAAGCCTACACGCATCAAAGTTGAAAACAACGGTGCTTTAGTTTACGTTGGAAGTTCCCTGACCGTGCACAGTCCTTTGTTTTTTGCTCACAAATTTGGACTGAATAAATTAATGCAATTCTTCTATTGGTCAGTAAATTTAAAATGATAGGAATGCTATTGAACGTTGTGCACGGTCAAGTTCAAAAAATCTAGCAAAAACAAATAACAAAGGAGACTAACAGGTTTCATAACCATTCCACTTTAATAACTATGCATAAAGCAAGACGAGACACCATAAAATACAAACTAGTGTTTAAGAGCCTGTTTACATGGAGGTGGCGAGACCCCAGATAGGTGAGGTAACATGTGGCGGGTCACCCCACCTATCATGTAAACGTAATCAAATTAAAATGAGAGATTATATGGACAGGCGGGTTACCCCACCTCCATGTAAACAAGCCCTTACACTTTCCTCTGCAAAACGCATCTGAACTGTACACTAAAATTGAATCATTTGCAACATGGCAGACCAATTTCCTCACCTCTCCCCTTGTGGGATTAAACTTGCAGTGACAAAATCGTCAACTGGCATTCCCCCCACAACAGGATTAGCTCGGTCGGTAGAGAACTTGACTGCAAAGCGGGAGGCCGTTGGTTCGATTCACGGAGCCAGACCAATACTCAGGGTTTGAAAATAACTGAGAAATGGTGGTATTGCCGTATCCCTGCAAACGGCTAGACCTTCGCGTGGTCTGATGACAATGTAAAATGGCAGTCCCGTCTCCAGTAGGAGACGTAAAAACAGTGTCACTGACACTCAAATGATCGAAAATAAAGTGCTTTTTTCTCCCTCCGACCCTCACATTTAAGAATATATTTACTACTGTGCTCTAAACTACCCACACATGAGAGCAGGAGAGTTACTGAAAAAAGCAGTTTACTCACCTCTCCCCTAACGGAATCAGGACTACTGACAACAGCTGCCTCTGCAACTGCATTGTGCTCTATCAAAGCAATTTCTACTTCAAATGGACCAATACGATACCTGACATCAAATCATGCGTCAATACCGATTTGTACTGGTAATAATGACCTTTGTTTATTTAAATTTATAGAATTTAAGTTATTTCAATAATACTACCCAACTACTGACCTGAGTAAAAGAAAAACAAGTGGAACTGGCTTGGTGAAATAGGGGCGTGGGGGGCAAATTTTATAACCTGCATAGCCTGTTTTTGAGCCGACGAGCTTCTGGTAATACGACAGATCAAAATTCATATGTATGTTGTTGTTTTTTTTTGTTGTTGTTCTTGCTATGATGAGTAGCGCTCTTCATTACTCATTCCAACCATTTAGCCTCTCCTGTATAGTGTGAACACCTATCCGATATCTGACTCTCCACTTTACTGATCGCCGCGGCGCAGCTTCGCTCCGTTACAGAAATCGCGCCGCCACAACCGTTCTTGAGTGTGAACAGAAGCCCTATCAGGTATAATTTTTGTGCCGGCGCATAGGCTATCGGGTACAGTAATGAACATAGTCTTAGTAGTCATCAGCGATGATGATGATGATGACGATGACGATGACGACGACGACGACGACGGCAATGATGATGATGATGATGATGATGATGATGTTTATTCACCCAGTAATTTTACATCATTAAGGCGCACGCAACACGAGTAACAAGCCGGATAAAACTGTGACTGAAAATTTCGTATTTTAGTATTAAGTCTCGTATTGATTGTAACTGCTTTCTAAATGCAGTGAATCTTACGCAGAAGGCCTGTGATGGCTAAACATTAAAACAAAACATTCACTACCAACCCAGCAGAGAGTATGACGTCATCTGAACGTCCGACAAAGTAGAAGTAGCCATCACTATCTCGAATAGCTCGATCACCTGCAAAAAGCGGTAAATGGTCAGACTGAGTACAAGGCAACTTTCCAATACGGTGAAACAGCCACTGAGTTGTAATTTAAAGCCCTGGAGATCATTCTAAAATTCCCAACGAGAATTGACCGAAGTGGAAACCGAACGAAGACGTCTGGATTAGTTTGAACGATTAATGTAAATGTTGTGTCGGGTAGCAATTACAAAGGATATTAAATTCTCACACTGGTAGTGTTACCTGTCCAGTATAAATTGTCATGAATGACAGAGGCTGTTCTGTCTGGGTCATCCTGTGAAACAAAAACAAAAATATCAATAATATGACTTAAGTGGTTGGTTCTCTGTGCACCTTTTGCTGTTCATTACGAGAAAATACGCAATCATTTGCGTGAAACGGCGACCAGTTGTGCGAAGATACATTCATTAGCGCGAAAATCCGCACATTTGCGCATAAATCAGATTCAATTACGATTTTTGCATTTTAATCAACATTCAATAACACTTTTGGGTATTCATACGCGTCATTGGGCATACAAAAGAGGAAAATATACGTTCATTAACGCCAACATCAAAGTCATTAACACAATCTTGATAGTCAATAGGGGTTACTGACATACATTAAAGTACAAACACTATTCATTAACATACATTTTTGTGACACTGTTTGCAATTCAATAGCATTCCTGGACAACCTTTTCTGGATGCTCAGTGGATGTGTAAATCCTTTCGCCATTTTTTAAGACAAACTTGCCTTATTTACTTCGGAATAAAGTTCTCTTCTTGTACTTTGCTGTTTTTCAGAGTTTCTCTGATTCATTTCTCCGGAACTTTCGTCAGTACTCACCACATAACGAGTAAAGAGACCCACTGGTTTGTTTGGTGTCATCGACACAACAACTTCGCCCTCCACTCCAGCGGGGCATTCATTACCTTTCTCATCCACAATCTACAACGACAAGTAGCCGTCTGATTATCAAATGATAAAAACAACAAACCCACTGAGACCAGTGACAAATGAAGACATGAAACGGACTCCTCTTATGGAGATACCAGTGGTCATGAATCGAGGCAAGAGGAAAAAATCAGTGTAGTTCAAGGTAAAGTAATTTTACAAAATTCAAACGGTAGGGACTGAACTGCTACAAAATTGAGTGAAACATAAAAATAACCTCTCAAAACATTAAAAGAAGGTATAAATAACACAGCAAATACACAAGGAGGCATGGATGGACAAAGTTGAAGAAGATTGAAAAGGTTTGCAATGGTCGTCTTTGAAAACTTGTTAGCCTAACAGATTTTCAAAGTCCATTTTTGATGTTTGTAAAGCTTGTATAATATTCCCATTGCACAGCTATTGACCCGACACGAGGAACTAAGTTATGGGAGGAAACCGCTACTGCCAGGAGGGTATGCGACGTCAGCCGCTACCGCGGGAGGTGGGCCGGGGCGAAACTTCGAAGTCACGTCCACTGTGAACTGGCCAAGAGCCGGGCAAAAACCCAGCAATTCTAAGCAAGGGCAGAAGTAGAACATGCCACCAGCGCGCTGGCTCAACACGACGGAACTTCAAGGAGTTACTTGCGTCACGGGCCAATTTTGTATGCAGTGAGGAAAGATATGGTTTGATATAATGCTCAGGAACCCATGACCATAGGCTCCTGAATGCTTGGGAGACATTTGTTTGACACGAAGCGGTGGTTCTGTCATGCACAAGTAACTTCTCAAGTTCCGTAGCGAGCAAGGTTGCGTAATTGGCATCATTATCAAAATGAAATAGAGACAACAACCGTGACACTGCAGTCCCTTCAATAAACAGTTTAGTCATACAATCGATAGAGTTAGCTACTAACCTTCAAATCATATCCAGGAGCAGGTTTCCCCATGGACCCAGGGCGGTTTTCAAGGCAGCGAAATGTACCACACAAAAGGGTCTAATTTAATGAGAAACAGCAACAAACTATTTACCAACAGCATTAAGAAAGAGTATGAGACACTTGTTGTGTCCAGTTCCATTAATCTTAAAGTCGGTTGTAACAGCTATGGTCTGACGTTCGTCCCAGTCAAACTCTTTATTTTTACACCAGACGCTGTACGTCTGCGTTAGCTTTTAGATGCACTATAGAGATTAAGAAACATCTTTACGGCAAAGCTCTGACGTGTGGTTCAAGTTAACAATTTAATAATAGAGAGTTTTAGATCCGAATTTACCGCGAACCTCTAACCGCTGGAGGTCACGTGACAAGTCTTTCGCGTCACGTTTGAGGTTTACGACGTGCGTTTTCAACGTGGGGAGGTAGGTTTTCACGTATGTCATTTACTTGAAAGCTTTTAGCATATAATTCTTGTTTTATCCCACGTAATGATACAAAAATCTTGTGGAGCAAGTCTTTATCCATTAACCCAGGCCCAAATTCTTACGAAATGCTAAATTTGATAAATCCTATTGGATCTTGAAAACAAGTTCCATTCATGGCTGCTGATTCAAAATGGCGGCCATAAATTTACAAGAAGAACTAATGTAAGAATTTACTGCTCTTTGCTGCTAGATAACCCAGTGTTACCGTAAATTTCTGTTATTTTCATTGATTGATATTTCTTCTATTTCTAAATGGAAAAATAAACGAGAATCCACTTCTTTAATCCACCGCCAATCTAAATCGAATTATGTTTAAACGTTGAATTATGTTTAACCGTGGCAGGATTAGCTCAGTCGGTAGAGCGTTTGACTGCAAAGCGGGAGGTCGCGGGTTCGATTCCCGGGGCCGGACCATTACTCAGGGTCTTAAAATGACTGAGAAATGAAGGTGCTTCCTTTGCACTGCAAGCGGCTAGACCTTCGCGTGGCTCGGATGACCACGTAAAATGGCGGTCCCGTCTCCATTAGGAGACGTAAAAATAGTGTCCCCAATTAGCACTTTCGTGCTAAATACATTGACACTCAAATAAAAAAGTGCAAGTGCAACCGCAACGGGTAACCGCAAACCGCGGTTAGAGGTTCGCGGTAAACTCGGATCTAAAAGTCTCTAATTAATGAAATGAACCGATAAAAACCAACCAATATAATCTTTGCAGATAAACCTAATGATCAGTAATCGACAAGTAACTAAGGGAAAACATGATCAATCCGATGTACAAAATGACGTTTGCCGTTTGCCGTGACTGTAATTCTAAATTTCTCTACTAACTGACCTTAGAAGATAACAAAATACCTTATCTTTGGATTACGATATCTAACTCCTTCTGGCTCTACACGTAAAAATACGCGATGTTGCACTGAGGAAAAAAATAGCTTTAGACAGCGTGCAAAGAAAGTAGTGTCTGCTAGTGGATTTTGCTATCGGGCTAGTGAATTCTGTTTTTAACTTGTCCGACGGGCAAGTGATGTTTTTTGAGGAATTCGAATAACAGAAGAACTGTGAAATCAATTCTGCCCATCAAAAAGCTTTTGAGGCTAGTTGAAATGACGACTGGGCTAGTAAATGCTACAACCAGTTGCGAAAATGTTGAGACACTTCACCAGGAAAACACTCACACATCTCAGAGGTTAAACAACTCCCCCCTCCCTTCCCTATTTTCAATGTTGTTGCTCGAAAATTTCAGCATGATCTCCTATTGTGACCAACTTTGAGAAGGGAGAGGGAGGGGTCTGAAACGCGTGGACCTTATAAGTACCCTTGACGTCCAAATTAGGTACAATGTCTCCAGTTTTTTTGCAACTGGTTGTAGCTTCAGCTTACCCGAAAAGCAAGCTGTAAAAATGATTTTCTTTGCACCCTGTTTAGAGCTAACTTCAGGTAAACAAATTGAACTTGTGACGTTACTTTGTCTCACAGTTCTAGCCCATTTATTACTGAGTCGTCAGTTCAGTAATTTATCGGCGAGTTTCTTAGATTTTCCAAAATGGGCCAGACGTTCTTCAAATTTTCTTACAATTTTCCTAAGCACCGTCCATAAACTAGTGCTAATAATAGTTCTGGCCCATTTTGCTGAGCACTATAAACTACTGTTAATCATAATTCTGATTAGTCCATTACTGAGTCGCTAGTTCAGTAATTTATCGGCGAGTTTCACGGATTTTTCAGATATATTCCTGAGCGCTATAAACCACTTTTTTTGATAAGTAAGTGACTATGAAAATGTTTTGAATCACTCTGTACATCAGTCTCAGATTTTCCAGCTGTATACTTACGGTTTCACTTTGCCCGTAACCTTCTCGGATCTCAAGCCCAGTCGCATCTCTCCACTCCTCGATAACATCCGGATTCAAAGGTTCCCCTCCACTAAGACAATGCCTTAACTGTGATAACTTGTAACTGGCCAGATCCTCTTGGACCATCATTCGGTAAGCTGTTGGGGGTGAGCAGAAAGTACTTATAGGGTACTTTTGCAACGTCTCTAAAATAGCAAGGGACTCGAAGCGAGCCTTGTGATATACAAATACACAGGCGCCTTGAAGCCACGGTCCGAAAAAGCTACTGTAGGCGGATTTTGCCCAGCCTGTGTCTGATATGTTCCAGTGTATATCTTCAGGTGAGAGGTCCAACCAGTACCTGTAGAATGAAGCAAGTAAATTTAAAAACCTCAAGTGGGTAGCTAATTGTTTAGAAGCCAATGATTAATAAAGTTCGCCCGAGGGAAAAGGTATAAAATATGCTAAAAAAAGAAACGGCCCATCGAAAGTTAATTATGTAAAATCCATAGGACAGTGTGCCAAGGATTACCAGCGGAAATAGCAGAGGTACTTAATGGGAGGACTCTTACTTTCCGGTAGTTATATGCCCAAGTCCGCAGCTGGCATGTGTGTGTTCCGCCATTTTTGGATGTCCTGTAGTTCCACTTGTGAAGTATACCGTCATTGGTTCGTTACTGAGCGTTTTCACGCACTGAAAGAAGCACAAAATATTAAGATGAGGCTCAACTATTCGTTAACAAAGGCAACAACAACTTAGCTGAACTAAAAACGTCAACTACATGATTACGAACCTCATGCTCTGAAGAGGCTTGTTCGTACAATTCTTTAAATGGAAGCCAGCCTTTCCTGAGAGAAAAAATCATAACGCGTGTTCGAAGTAAACCTAACATATGTCAAATACCGCCGTCTTTCCATTACATTTATATATCACCCTTGTGTGTTCGATTGGGTGTCCGGTTGGAGTCAGACGAGAACATCACGCGGAGGGAAACTAAGGGAAGGGGCACGAGGGCCTCTCCCTCTTTCCCTCCCCGTCACCTTGCCTTTCTCTTCTCTCCTGACTCAATTTTTCGTCCTATCCATCACTAGGAGACATGTTCACAAGCCATGGATTGCTCCAAGGCAGGGTTTGATTATTTATGATGGTTAACTTCGCAGTTGTTTTCTGTTCCTAATAAACCGTCTCAATTGATATTTCGCGTAAAATTTCGGTTGATGCTTGTGAAAATATTTATTTTTCAACTTGGAGTTAATTTTTGCAAAAAAAAGAAACTGCGGGAACTCTATTGTCTAAAAAAAACACAAAAGCGCAAAGCTAAAGGTCCTGGAATAGTTGAGCGCTACATGGTTGTTTAGTCATTTGAGCCATCAGGTATCAGTCGCCGTCTACACGGGTAAGTGTCCCTTGGTAAGGTTAGTCTAACAAGTTAAAAGAAAAACCTGTCTGTTTTCCAGTCTAATGAGCCGTGAAGGATAAAACAATTCATCAGTCAGTGCTGGGGTAATGTGAATGAAGAAGCTAGGCTGAGTACCTGTCTTCAGTTTTCTGGTCCAATTCACTTACAAGTATCTTTTTTCTCAAAGAAGGAGAAAATTTTGCAACCTGCAAGGAAGAAAGTCATTTAAATAATGATGGTTGACAGTCTCAACACTCAACGTTGGGTATATGTTGAAATGGTTTTCACAGCCAAGAAACACAAAAGTATAGAAAATATACAAAAATATACAAAACGAGGCGCAACACATCAGCCACCAAATTTAAACTCTGTACTGATTTAGTAACACCCGCATGAAAACGAGATTGCTTGCTCATGCGACCATATTCAATTTAATTAATACGACAAATTGATACGAGTCGGGCATGAGTCATGAATCCAAAGGAAAAAACTAGGATCCATCACTTACGTACCGAGAAAACGAGGTTAGTAACATATTTACTACATCTCTGAGGTCGGGCTCGAAGGAGGGAAATTTTCACATTTAGCGGGCTGTACGGCTGGATACGGCACAATTGACAAATCCCAGCACGTGTACTAGCAGAGGAATCTAAACTAATAACGTTTAAAACATAATTTTTTAAGTGCTAATGTACCTCATCAACCAATTTAGCGCTGTCCGCATCCGCTATGATACAAGTGGCGTGGGATGCCAACAGGCGTGATTTAATGTCTCTGGTTCGTAGCTGAGTTGAACCAGGGCTGATAACTGTCCCTAGAAAGAAAATGGGACAAAACTGGGAGCTAACCTGACATCCCCGTCCGCAATTTTACATCCCGCTTATATAAGGAAAAATAGTCACGGGAAAGAAGGTCACTCTCCCAGCAGAGACAACTTTAGCGAGCATCTACATGAGCCAAAAAAGTTGACCCCTTTGCCCGAGCTAAGAGCAGACAAAGGCGGTCGCGCATGCTCTGATTGTCTCATCTTGACTGATTTGACCCGGCTGAAGAAACGTTGGCCCGACTAGGAGGGTGACGGCTAGGCAGGCCACCCCTCTAGGCAAGCCAACGGTTTGTTTGTCATGTGAACGGTTCGCCACGCTTTTCCCGGAAATGTAGGAAAAGTTGGCTCGCCTAGGGGAGCTCGGGTGTGCGAGTGACCCTTCTACCCGGAAAAAGTTTTCTCCATTTAAACGGCGCATTAGTCAAATGTAAATATAACGAGCCACGAAGTGTAACCACTTCTTGGTACTCCATTACATAACGGGGAGACCACGCAATCTGTTTGAGTTTAGTAGTCGCATGTATGGGTTACCGTAAGGTACCGTAAGCGACGTATTGCAAAATGTATGCACAGAATGGCTAAATTTTTTAAACTCTTTCGCCATCATGTTTGCCTTTTATTCATAACTATGTATAACTATGTCAGTCCTCTACATAGCCTCATAAGGATCTTGAATTGCTATGATAAGTTTAAAAATTGATAGCATTCCTAGGGAAAATTTGATTTTCCTTTGTTTTTGGGCACAATAAAAAAATTTTAAACAAAGGATAAAATTAAACCAAAACATATCCATGACTAAATTACACATCTTAATCTTCACATAAATACAACAAATACCACTAGCTTCCAATCTTTAGCCAGTAGAAATTGAAGTGTATTGGTAGCCTGAATTTCCGACACCACTTCGAGTCGTTTACTCCCACAGTGACACTGCGGGAGAAGGCGACTCGAAGTAATGTCGGAAATTCAGGCTAGTGTCTAGGTTGATTGGACATGAACTGCGCATGGGCCATCCCTATCCTCTTCACTGAGTTAACTGATAAAGCAAAGATATACTGATAAAGCAAAAATATACTTTCATCAGGCTCCTGTAACAGTTTATTTTAATTCAATACTATCTAGTTTAAGTAGTGATAATGATTTATTTTACCTGTTCGTAAGCAAGCGATGTTAAGAAGCCACCACTCAGGAAGTCTAGGCAATATCACCATGACCCGGTCTCCTCTTTGAACTTCACCACCTCCCACAAGAACATTGGCGGTTCTTTCAGAAACAGCAGCAACAATGAAACAAACAAATTATGAGTAAATCATGCGATAACAACTATCAGAGAGCGTGCACAAAATGGGCTCGCCAATGGAAACGTCCCAGTTTTAATATATCTGAAGTCCATGCGCCCAGTTATTATGATTTTATTGTATACAATCTCACGCGCGTTTTTGTAAATCGAATGTTTAAACATTTTTCAGCTACGTTAAGTATCTATTGTCACATTTGAAACAGTTTGCCGCAGTTAAAAGGTCCGGCCTTGGTCTCAACAAAAATTTTTCGTTCCTTCGGGTCTCAGTTTGGTCTATAAATACGGGGGGCCTGAGGCCCAGGGCTCCTCCCCTGGATCCGCCATTACATTTTGTTACAAGGTTTTTTTGCTAATACAAAATGTACCCGACAAGTGGATTCCTCTTGATCCATTATTAAGGAAGACAGAATGCTTCTGAGGAAGATGCCTCTTTGACCGTTTTTGAAAGAGGCCACTCTTCAGCTACCCTAAATCAATAATTGTGCACTTCCTTTGTCAGTATTATCAACTGGACAAAAAACGATGTGCGGTAAAAGGTCCCCTCATTCTCGAATTTACCTTCTGCTTCGTTTGGCAAGTTCTTGGAATGTCCACTTTATTTCATTTCCTTTATCATCAACCCACCAAAACGCTGGGTGTCCCTTTGCTCTGTTTCCATTCTACACATGTTAACATGACAAAAAAAAAACAACAATAACAATCACAACATTCAATTCCTTGGAAGAATGCTTTATCAGAATATTACCCTGACATTCCACTGGAATGTATGGAACTCCTGATATTAACACTGATAAGTTATGTATGGCCAGTTCTCAGAATCCATTATTTCTTCCCCAACTGATCGGCCCCAATATTAAAATACCTGTAATGTCTGCTGCACAGGTTAGTGTAATACTTATACTTACTCACATTTTGGTTGGACAAACAATGTATGCTAAGAACAGGTCATGCATAGCCGGCAAGGAACATGAGTGAATCAAGTTCCATATAGTGTAGGCAGGCACAAAACAAAATGCAGGTCACAAGTCACAGTTCACAAGTGCAGGTTTGAGTACAGGTCACAGTGCTATGGTAAATAAACAACATAAAAGTATCTCCTAGTCCTAATCACAATCTGAAATAGAGTTTTAGCTTAAGGAGAAACTGCTTATCTCAGTTACTTATCAATAGAGAAGTGACCTGAACTTGTAACCTACGATCTGTGCCCCTGTGTTTCGCACCTGCCAGGTCAAAAATTAGGTACGTCTTGGTAATCCACACCATCGATCCAGACAATTGATTATTAGGATTCCATGTCAGCCAAAAAAGCAAGACATTGGAATTGTAACAACTTTCCATTTTACGTAATATTAAAAAATGATTTACAACAATTAATTGTTTTCAATGATTTTGTAAATGCCTCTCTTGAATTAACACTGCCCTTGTGACTGCCCTTGTGACTGCCCCGATGGACAAAACCTGCGGGCAATAACTCTCCTTTGGGGACATATCATAAAAAGACAGCACATAGGCCACAAAAAGAGACACACCACTTGCAGCTTTGCCTCCTGCTAGCACATTATCATGCTCGCCACATAACCATTAGATTCTCAAAAGCTACCTATCAATCAAAATATTAACATAAATTATTGTTTATAGAAGGTTGTAGATCTCTTAAGGTGGCTGAACACAGTTTGATAGATTGTGGTTTGTTAACATTCATTGAGGTGTTACCTAAGAGTCCAAGATTGCAGCTGGTATAAAGCTCAAATACTTAGCACAGACAAAATATATTTTAAAACATGACATTATATTATCAGGTTACCTGTGTAACTAGGATTTCAATCACAACCATGTCAACATGGATGAACGAAAACAAGCCTAAAGTTTTGAATCTATTTGGTTATTCGCCCAAAATCCAGTCATTTGTCATTTCCTCAGATATAAATTTGACACAGCTGACAACAAAGGCGTACGGGAAATTTTTTTTTTTTGGGGGGCAGTAAACCATTTGCCCAAAAAACTCTCGCAAGTTGCCCAAATTTTTCCGAAAGAGTCGAAAAGAAATGAGGGCCATATTGCAACAACATAGGCCGTCCTGCCATATGAAGGTGGCTCGATACGGTTTTTCAGGGTCAATACCAAGTCTGAGCATAAACTACGTCACCATAAACAAACATTTGGAAAAATTGCGACCACAGTTGTATTTGTCATCATCAGAGTTGCAATGACATCGGAGTTGTCATAGCAACGAAATGACTCCCCCGCCCATTACCTATTTTACTTCAGCAATGATTCCCGGTACGGGAACCTTACAAAATCGTTCACAGGAGCTTTTTTCTTCAATACGGTCCCCTCGATGTTCGTGAAGTTTAAGCAAAACCTTATCGAGATATTTTGGAATGAAGTTTTTATTATTAGAAATCAGGAGCCCATCATTTGATGGGCTCCCATAGAAATACGGTAAGAACAGGAAAATCTTGATTTTTGGCCGTTATCTGTAGAAAACGAAGCGCTTTTGACCTGCAATTTCACCTCATAGTAGTTTTAATCTTTTTAAAAACATGTGTGAAAGATCGTGGAGATAGCTCTGCTTGATTGCTAGAATCGAAAGAAGGATTTGATTAGTATGTATCGAGACACTCTTGTTAGCGGTTTTGTAAACATTTCGGTCTACTTTAACAAATTAGCGAATAATTTTAAACCGCTCGATAGACTTTTTAAAAGAATCAAAATTCTTTTCGTAATTCAAACTGAGAATTAGTCAGCCACTTCTTCATTTTCATACCCTTTGCTAAATGCTATCTGCCATACTCTGTTCTTCGAGTAGAGATGATTCTAGAAAGTTATTCGAAAGTTTATTTTAATCAATTCACGACTGGAAATAGCCCATTCCAGCTAGTGCAGTGCAGTATAGTGCCCAACCAAAAAAAAATGCAAATGTGTAAATTACTCATCACATGCTAGGCAACCACTGTAATGTAACTGGATTATTACGCCGACTTCAGGTTAATATTCAGGTCTTTAAAATAATTAAATAAACATGGAGACGTCTTTAAAAACTGGCTTTGCCCAAATTTTCTCTCGCTGCCCAAAAAATCTGAGTTGCCCAAAATTTGGGGGGGCTACAGCCCCCCTCGCCCCCCCGGCCAGTACGCCTATGGCTGACAACTGGCGACCCTCATTTTAAAATACAAATTAAGCCCCATATACATGTACCTGTCATGTGTCATGCCTAAGGTGTGATTCTCACGCCTGTGGATCAAAAACTTTGAGCTCACGCCTACACACGCCTGTGTTCCAATTTCTCACACCTGGTAGAAACGTTTGAGCCATTACAGCATTAAGTGACACATTTTCGCCAAATTCTCGTATTTTAGTCGGGGAAGTCACTGGAGATGAGGTCCTAGTCCTTCGTGTTCGTGTGTTTGTGTTAGACTGAACTCTTCGCAACGTCTTCAGAACACTAAATTTCCAATCGCTAACTGTATATTAAAGTTCATTTAAATTCTGTGTAAAAGGCTGATTTTTCCGTTACTGTTTTTCATCTTTTTTTAACCTAGTTTAATTAAACATGTTTAGTTAGGGCCTGTTTACAAGGAGAGAGGGTTACCCTTGTGCTAGGGTTACCCTAGCAAGCAGGTTAAAGTTAGCTCTGGTTTACAAGCAAATTTCACATGTAGGGTTACCCAATCCGACCCAATCACCCAGGTTAACTTTATCACCTTTACTGACGTGTTTCATCATGCATGGCATTCTTTGTAACATCCAAGATTTGAAATAAAACTTGAAGTTCTCGATGAAAAATATGTTAAATTCACAATAAATCTGATACAGAAATACCTTATATTGTTCAGATGTTTATAATTTAGCTCAGAAATTGGATAACTGTTCAATTGTCAAGATTACAAGTCACGCATGGTGGAGAAAAGTTGTCTCGGGTAGGCCAGTTATCCCTATCCTCTTGCTAGGGTAACCCGAGCACTGAGGTAGGGTTTACCCTAGCACTAGGGTGTCACAAAAAAATAAGGTAACTGAAAACATCAGGGGTGCTTACCATTTGACAGAAAATTTTGGAAATTCTGGATGGAAGGTAACTGGTAAGGTCACTTTTCGGAAATTCCAACCGAAAATTTAGGAGTACGTTTTGAGGTAGTCCTTTCATTCTGGTTGGTACAAACCAAACGGAATTTTGCTTACCATTAACCAATTTCTCGGTTCCTTCACGGTTCCAGACTCACGCTACACAAATTCGCCCTTTTTTTGGATTCAAACCATGAAATTTCTACTGTAATGTGAAATCCTTACAATAAGGCCTTTGACACCCCAACCGGATTTTCCTGTCAAATGGTAAGCACCCCAGCACTCTCACATCCCTCCCAAAGTTCGCTACAGGCTCAACACTTGTGTGCGCTGCATGGTGGTGTGTTTGTTATTGGGCGCCATCAATTCAACCAAAATTTCCGGAAATTTCGGTCCAAAACTCAATGGATCGGTTCGGTCCAACCGGAAAAGTTTCGAAAAAACTGGTCCACCTTTTGAGGTGGTCCTCTTTTGCCGGTCGGACCGGTCTGAATTTTGGTTGAATGGATCGCGCCCATTGCTGTTGTTATTGCATGAGATTACGTGTGTGTCAAATTTATTTTCTACCGACAACGTCTGGGCATTTTTCTCAGCTTATGTCGTCGCACTTTTTTCTTTAAAAGATTTTTGGCCTCATATCTCATCATGAAGCAGATGTTAACAAGCACAGTAAATTACGGGATAAAGAAATTCTAGGGAAACTGTGTTCAGCCGCCTTGTAATGTATCACGGCACTATTACACCATGTGACATGACATCGTCATTATTGTTTACATGCACTATGTGTACAAAACTTGTCCCAACCTTTTCCTTCTCTGCCCATTCATCAATGACCTCGGCAAAATTAAAATATTCTGGAACCTCAAGGTGAAATTCTCTGCGTTCTTTCTCGTAGTCGGTGAATCCGACCTTGGAGTCGAAAACTGGCGGAGTAGCGACGTGAACACGATGACCTGAACTGCAACGCCACGAAATACAGTTGACTACTCGTTTAGAAGATCCACCATACTTGTTTGCCAATCTCCAAATATTTCGCAGATTAATGGCTTTGACAGACGAATTTCTTCCGAACAGCCCCATTCCAATCACGTACGTGAAGATGCCTGCTGAGGCGCCTGCTGACTGTACTGACGGTCACGACGGATTGCGTTACCAGTGTTATCCTTTTCCAGAACAATAGGTGTCTTTCAATTGTTAATTAGATTCAAAACCATTCTCTGGCTTTTTATTCTTTTTTACAGCAAATTAAGAGGGCCACATTGTAGACATGTTTAGGTTAGCTGTCTTAGCTGACCGTGAGAATTTCACACTTTATACCTGAGACTGTAGGAAATAGCACAACTACACGGACTTATCATTCCACAGGGTATTTTTTTCTTATCTTGTTGACTTCTAAAAACATACTGGTAGTGTACTTCTCAGACTTCTCATCTGATTTAATCTGTCCTTTTTAGATAATTGAAACTTGAAGTGTATTTTTTTGGAGCTTTTATGCATCGCAGGCACAGCCCAGCTCCACGTGCAAACAATCAAAAAAGACATGCTCATTAGCTCCAAACCGGTTTGGTGAAATATCCTAAAATCGCATGGAAATGAGACTTGTAGCGCCTGTGACCAGGCGCCCAGAGGTATTGTTTTCTCTCGAGCTTCGAGCGTCGTTGACGGTCTTTTTTGCCTAACGTCGACTGATTTATCGTCCAATCACATCAGGAGAAATATAGGTCGAGCGCGGTTGCTAGGTAAGAGGATTAAACACCGTGTAAAGTATGAAGGGTTTCCAGTTCTTCCCTTCCCTAACCTTCCTCCCCCCCCCCCTCCGCCTCAACTTGATCCAACCGGCTTGTGGTTGTAAACAGTTTTATCTGACTCGAGGAAAAGCGTTAATCTTACCGAGCGAGGAGTAGGTAAGAAAAATTAACAGACACACGCCCAGACTCATCGTCTTACGCAGAACTAACGAATTCCAAGTAGGACAAAACAGCTGCCGTCAACTAACCTGAGATCAGGCTCAATTTTCGTTTCGCTCTGTAATAACATTCCGGCAGGCAAGGCGAAACGAAGAGAATGTATGAGAACCGGTAAAATTGGGCCTGATCTCAGGTTAGCCGTCCACTGGCTAAGAGACCTCATTTTATTCATCATATGAGTCCATATGAGCGTAAGTCCATACTTAAAGAAATAGTGCAAAACAACAAAATACAGTAACTGATGTTTGGGAAACGACCTTTTTGTACTCTAATTCAGTTCAACGGGGTTTCAAGTGGGATCAGTTAACTTTAAAAACCCGTCTACTTTCCTATCCAAAGCTAAAAATAATTTGTCAAAACATCTAAAAAACCACCAGCTAAATTTTATAAGAGCAAATACAAAACTAAAATTCGGAAACAAAACTAAAATCCGGAATCCTGAACATAGGCGTGTAGCTTCCAAATTAGGATAGGAAATCATAATTTAAAAATAGAAACTGGAAGATTTACAATTCCCAAAACTCCTGAAGACCTTAGAATTTGTGATCACTGCATGCAATCTAAATTCGGTTGAAAATGAAATGCACATATTATTTCACTGTGATCAATATAATGATTTGAGAAAGACTCTTTTTATTAAAATTAACGACCGAAATACATTATTTACAAATTACAATATCCATGATAAAGTCTGTTTTCTTTTTAACAATACCGATTCACATATCAGCAGGCTAACTGCTAATTTCGTCTTTCAAGCATTTGAAAGACGAAAGAAACATAATTAATTCTACCATTTCATTATATCTTCATTACCTTAAATTGAGCTGTTTATTGTTATTTTAATCGGTAACACCTGTACAAAATGGTAATACTGAATAAACTTGTTGTTGTTGTTGTTGTTGCTATTATTGTATTACCAGGTCAAACGAAATATTACCAGACAAGATAGATAGATAGATAGATAGCTTTAATTCAAATCATATGGCAGCCCAACAACGCTGAATTGCATGAATTTACAAATACAATTGATACAAAACTTAAAATATGAAAATGTACTAAAAAATCTACAAAATTATACTTCAGAATTCTGATTTATAAAAATTATACTTTATAAGAATTAAACTTTATACAAAAAAAAACTGCTAACGCCTGCACATAGATGGCAGAAATGTGCTAGAAAAACGCTTGGTACGCATGACTGGATTTGCAAAGTGGCGTTGTCTTCTAAGGTTATAATACATGACAATAGTTCTTGGGAGGGAGAAAATGATGCAACTTATGATCTGGATTAGATACAATAGAATCAAACAGTTATTCACACTGATCTATGCGTCTGTTATCTAGAGATGCCACGTTGAACATTGACAGGCTGTCATCGTAAGAAAGGCCTGGCGAAATAATTGATAGTGCACGTTTTTGAATGCGTTCAATATCCTTACTTAAGTAGTCAGGCGGAGCGTGATGGTACAGGGGGGCACAATATTCTAGAACTGGCCTTATACAAGGCTATTCCAAACAAAACATCACTCTGCTGCACGTTTTTAGCAAAAAAACCGCGCGGCGAACTATCAGGAATTAGGGAAAAAGAAAAAACCTTTTGCACCCAGGGTACTATCCGTGAGAATTCAACATCTTGAACATCATGCAAACAACACTGAAGAACTGAGCCCAGCAAGACAATGCGTCTCGGGAGCCTTATCTCTTTTATCAAACCGTAAGCACAGTTTATTTCAAAAACGGTATTTTGAGAGCGGACCTTTGGAGCCAGGGTACGGACGTATACGAAACACGAATAGTCCATGGACCTCTTCGAGGACCTGGTCCATGGACTACCCTAAGTTGAAGATGAATTTTTACCAGAGGTCTAAACGAATTTTAGGAACCTTAAATGGACGAAACTTTGACAATTTATATTAACAAGATTAAAGGCTCCTCAAATTTCACACATGCTCAGTTTTTTTCTGAATTTCAAACATGGATTCGGTTTAGTCTGGAAGGAAGGGGACATAAGGAGAAGTAGGGAGGAAGTATTCACTTACGCAGCCTTTTTCGTGTCGTCGAGTTGCGTTAAGATCGACACAAAAACGGCCGCGTAGGAGACTAGAGAGGAAGACGTAATGCATGATAATTGAGTACCCACCCCAGACTTAACTCCAGACTTCCCTTTCCTTAATGTCCCTTGGATGGCAATGTTTATTGGTTGGCAAACTTATTGAATTCTGTTCACCAATCAAACACAAAATGAACTGCATATTATCAAACAATGCGGTTCGTTAGACGTCTTACAAGTTTGCGTACACTTACGGGTTGGTTCATGTAAATTGCCATTCATTTAATTCGAGAACGTTGTCATTGCAAACTTAAAGACACTTTAAAGCTTCCTCCGTAGTCTCATAAGTAGTCTACTATGTTGGAAATTAACCCCCTTTGGTGTCTAGCACGGTCTAGCTAGGTCTAGTCTATGACGTCACCGATTGTTATAACCTGGGGAAAAAGTGGATTCCCTTTATTAATATGTATAAGTGTCTTCCTGCATACTAATTTGGATTTCCTGCATAATGAAGTGGATAGGTTTACTAATGAGCGTCACTCTACTACAATAGGAACAATAGGCTTGCCTAGACTTGCCCGGTCTCTTTTAACCCTGATTGGATAGTAAACAATCTATTATGTGTTCAACATAAAAGCGCGCTCTCCGTTCAGCATTTTATTCTTGCAATCGCTTTGCTAAGGAAAAAGTCTTACTATCACCAATATTCTTTAAACGTTGCTCCAAACAAGCAAGTCGAATCGAACTGTAAACTCTTTATTTCAAGTTTGTCTGACTATTACAGAACCGTTTTCTCCTTTCTATCTCGAGGAAATGAAAGTCTTGTCATTTTCACGCACGGTTAATCAGTTAATTATGCGAGTTCGCAAGCCCAAAGTTGAATACAAATTAGCTCTACGGCTAGACCTAAGGGAGCACCTTGAAAATAGTCAAAGAAATCAAGCTCTTTTTTTTAAATCGTTTCCCTCCTCAATTTTTTAATTCCCGCCTCCACAATTTTATTATTTTCGCTCCTCATTCGTGAATTCCCTCCTCCACAATTGTAATATTTTCCCTCTATTTTTTTTATTCCCTCCACCACAATTTTAATATTTTCCCTCAATTTCATTATTTCCCCTCCTCAATGTTATTATTCCCTCCTCTACAATTTTATTATTTTCCCTCCTCTTCCTCCCCCTCCTCCTCCTCACTTCTATTGTTTTCCCTTCTCCACCTCCTCATTTTGTTTTTCCTTTTCCTCCTCATTTTTGTTTTCCCTCCTCCTCCTCCTCATTTTTTATTGTTTTCCCTCCTCCTCCTCATTTTTTATTGTTTTCCCTCCTCCTCCTCCTCCTCATTTTTTATTGTTTTCCCTCCACCACCACCACCACCACCACCACCACATTTCTATTGTTTTCCCTCCACCACCACCACCACCACCACCACCACATTTCTATTGTTTTCCCTCCACCACCACCACCACCACATTTCTATTGTTTTCCCTCCACCACCACCACCGCCACATTTCTATTGTTTTCCCTCCACCACCACCACCACCACCACCACCACCACATTTCTATTGTTTTCCCTCCACCACCACCACCACCACATTTCTATTGTTTTCCCTCCACCACCGCCACCACATTTCTATTGTTTTCCCTCCACCACCACCACCGCCACCACATTTTTATTGTTTCCCTCAAAATGTGGTGGCGGTGGTGGTGGTGGTGGTGGAGGGGAAAACAATAGAAGTGAGGTGGCGGAGGTGGTGGTGGTGGTGGAGGGAAAACAATAGAAATGTGGTGGCGGTGGTGGTGGTAGTGGTGGTGGTGGAGGGAAAACAATAGAAATGTGGTGGTGGTGGTGGTGGTGGTGGAGGGAAAACAATAGAAATGTGGTGGCGGTGGTGGTGGTGGTGGGGGCAAAACAATAGAAATGTGGTGGTGGTGGTGGTGGTGGTGGTGGAGGGAAAACAATAGAAATGTGGTGGTGGTGGTGGAGGGAAAACAATAGAAATGTGGTGGCGGTGGTGGAGGGAAAACAATAAAAAATGAGGAGGAGGGAAAACAATAAAAAATGGGGAGGAGGAGGAGGAGGATGGAAAACAATAAAAAATGAGGAGGAGGAGGAGGGAAAACAAAAATGAGGAGGAAAAGGAAAAACAAAATGAGGAGGTGGAGGAGGGAAACAATAGAAGTGAGGAGGAGGAGGGGGAGGAAGAGGAGGGAAAATAATAAAATTGTAGAGGTGGGAATAATAACATTGAGGAGGGGAAATAATGAAATTGAGGGAAAATATTAAAATTGTGGTGGAGGGAATAAAAAAAATAGAGGGAAAATATTACAATTGTGGAGGAGGGAATTCACGAATGAGGAGCGAAAATAATAAAATTGTGGAGGCGGGAATTAAAAAATTGAGGAGGGAAACGATTTAAAAAAAAGAGCTTGATTTCTTTGACTATTTTCAAGGTGCTCCCTTGGGTCTAGCTGTAGAGCTAATTTGTATTCAACTTTGGGCTTGCGAACTCACAATCCTTTTTCCTTAGCAAAGCGATTGCAAGAATAAAATGCTGAACGGAGAGCGCGCTTTTATGTTGAACACATAATAGATTGTTTACTATCCAATCAGGGTTAAAAGAGACCGGGCAAGTCTAGGCAAGCCTATTGTTCCTATTGTAGTAGAGTGACGCTCATTAGTAAACCTATCCACTTCATTATGCAGGAAATCCAAATTAGTATGCAGGAAGACACTTATACATATTAATAAAGGGAATCCACTTTTTCCCCAGGTTATAACAATCGGTGACGTCATAGACTAGACCTAGCTAGACCGTGCTAGACACCAAAGGGGGTTAATTTCCAACATAGTAGACTACTTCGATTTTCAAGCAACGAGAAGACAAAAAGAGCTGAGTAGGAGATTACTTGCTCTCTACTCCTTCGCGAGACTTAAACGAACCCATTACATTGGTATGGAATTGCAAAAAAAAAAATTGAACAAGTGTAAAATATGAGGAGCCCATAACCCTGATAAACTGACCACAGTTTCGTCAATTAAGGTCCCTAATATTTGTTTAGACCTCTGACAACATTCATCTACAAAAATTAGGGGGTGGTCAACAGGGGTAGTCCATGGACCGGGGGGCCAATTATAAATGATAAATAATTAGTTGATGTGATGTCTTACAAGATTTTATCAACTTAATAAATGTAGATGTAGATGTAGAAAGCATCCTGGCAGAATAACTATCCCGTAAGAAAGCAAAACCCACGAATAAGAACCTGTATTTTCCCAAGTTACCCTAAACAGGTTTTTACATGAAAGGAAATTTGCACAAATTACGTTTTTTCAGGTTCTTATTGTATTCAATAGAATTAGTTGTTTTTTGCCTATTGCTTACTTAAAATATTCATGCCAAGTAAGTAATTATGTAAAAATGGCCAAGATAAGAAATGTTAAAACACTGATCACGTGAATTTTGAAGTCTCATTCAGAACGTAACGTACAAGTACTTAATTTTGACAATAAAATTCTGTTTCACATTCCAGTCTTTTGCGGTAAACAGGGGGTCTAACTGGCAAATGTTAGCCTAACAGATTCTTAAAAACTAGGTTCTTACTTGGCGGTTTTTACGTATGCTGTGTTATGAACATTTTAGTAACGTTTCCATTGTAGCAAACATAAAGTGCCACTGTTGCAAGGACTTAAGATCTTTGGGTTTGTCCATATCTTGTAACCATGGTAACGTTGCCCTGTAATAAGCTGCGCCTATGTTCCTCTGTTACTATTCAAACTCTTTCCGTGCTTTGCGTGGCGTGACATGTCAATGATTCTAACAGAAGTAGATGTGTATGTACTATCAGGCAATCTAAGACCACTCCTTTTCCCTTAATTCCACTCTTCTAATCTTACCACTGACTGTCTTGGGTAAAGTCTCCACAAACTCAATCTGCAAAAGCAATTTGAAAACTTCAAAGGGAGTGATAAACAATAGATATATTAATGAAAATAATAATAATAATAATAATAATAATAACTAATAATAAATACATAACCTGCAAGGAAATTCTACAGTCAGAAAACTGCAGCATCCCTCTGACTAGCCTTAGCTTTGCTGTTGAAGAGGAGCCATATAAGAAAATGCAAACAAATAGTTTCATTGAAGAATCGAAGTTTCACTTTTGTATTAATAAATAACTCTTTCTTGTACATTTGAGTAGCTTTACATTTTTTACTTCCTTTGAGTTCTCGTTGTAAATTGTAATAAGTATTGAAATCGGGTAACTCATGAGCTGTAAATCATCCAGTGATACAAATCCTTTTTTATTACACGAAATTATATATTTTTCTTTATTTAGCATCTAACTGACCAGTGACTGACGGACCATTTCAAAGATCGTGTGAGTCGTGTCGTGCTAAGCCGACTTTAGCACTACGAATGTATGGGCGAATCTTTGTTTACATTTTTTACCTCATTAGCATATGCACTTCATTCTCTGATCAAGCGATTAAAATAAACTCTCTGACCATTGAAAGAGCATAATAATTTCAGTTAGAGCGATTTTACTTGACCTGTGAAACAGATACTAACAACTACTGCAAAACAGCTACTAGTAAACAAAACAAGACAATGGAATTAGTGCATAAAAGTGCGTAGTATTCTACTACCTTTTTCACAGGTTAATTAAAATCACTTTATCTGCGAAAGTTTGTGCCCGATATACCGAACAGTTTCGGAGAAATTAACTTTGAAAAACTCGAAAGTTTACAAAGATTGTATGGGCTCATTAACGTTATGCCACCTGGCAAATTCGATGGCTGCTATTTTCTTTGTTATTGCTTGCAAAAAGCTGAAAATTGCACAAATTGTTTAAATTAACCAACTCTTTCAACTTTTGAATTTAATTTGTGCATACGATGGGTAAAGTCGTACGCTAATGAGCAAAAATGTAAACAATGACGATCCGCAAACTTTTGGAATGACTTTAATCATCGCCGTGTCTCCAATCGAGAGAACGCGCATATCAGGCTGTATCATAATGCCTTTTCTTGGTATTTATTGAGTTCGGCAAGGCAGTGTCACGACCTTTGAAACTTAAACGACAACGGAGACTTTTAATACTGCGCGTTTAACCTTTCTTGGGTACTTGTAAGGTGCTGTAGTTTCTTTAACGTGATCTTGTAATTCCTTTACTAACGAGACTTTGTCACCACTGAAATGCGGCGACAGAATAACGAACGCTTTTACGACCTAGTAAGAGAAAAAACTGACAACAATGAGTGTAACATAAAGAGAAGTATCTTGGTTCCCAACCGCGTGACTAGGCGGCCATGTTGAGGGTCAATATAATAGAATTTTCTCAAGAAGAATTTACTTGAAAATGGCGTTTAGTTCCCAGAGGAGAGAAATGCTTTTGTTCGTGACCACTGACCAACATGGCCGCCGTGACGTCAGGTACAAACCAGCAATTATCCATCCTCGGAGACCCGGTGGCAGATAGTGGGGGTGAGAGAAAGTCTAAACGGGCGGGAAAATGGTAAAGAACGGCGAGAAGAGCCTCTGGGGACAATATCTTACCAGATAGTCAGGTCTCTTAGTGCAAAATATAGGCCGGATCGTTACAGACGTGACAAAAGTGTCAAATTTGGCACAGAGCTTCCTTAGTACCTACCGATTAATACTGGAGGGGGTGCCCGTTACAAATGGTCCTAATTACAGATGAAAGGGGGGATTAACTTTCACCTATAATAGCAGATTGGGTGCCCTGTGGTGAGTACTCTTCTTGTTTGATTTGGCTAAAAAACATTTGTTGCAAATTTTTAAGTTTTTAATTTGGTAATGTTTAGTTGTTGTTACACTATTCAAAATAGTTTTACATGTACATAATACTGACTAGTGCCCAGTCTCCACACGGTAAGTGTGACCATGTTCATTGTGCGGACTGTGCGGCTATCAGTGTCACTGCTAAGACTTGCCAGTGATAATATCATTACATATCAACTTAAACAGATCACAAAGCCAGCTTTCAAAGATGTCATACAATAACAAAACGCAAATGTATCACATCCTAAACGATAGAATCGTTAAAGTTTGACATGCCACATGAACAACCTCATGAACCGTAACTGACAACGCGCCCACTTTGTAATTGTGCAGCTAAGATTAGATTATAATTTGCTTCGTTGGTAACCCTGTCCTTGAGATAATGATTAAAACATGTCAACCTCGTCCTCAGGGGGAAAAGGAGGAGTAAGGGTGGCACAGTTGGTTAGTGCGCAGCCTTCGAGGCGAGAGGTCCCGAGTTCGAGCCCGGTGTCAACACCTCCTCATTTCAACTTCTCTTTTTTCTGTGTAGCTTTGACTAGCTTTAAATACCCTTAAAACGGAGCATTAATGGAGAGAGGGGGGTAAAAGGAGCGCACCGTCGACCTCAAGTTTATCACTTATCACTGTCACGAGTTATTGACGTAAAATATGGTCGCTTTACCTTTTTCTACCTTTTTATTAAGCCCTGGGGACGAGGTTGTAAAACATGCCTCTCCAGGAATTTTTAACACTCTTTCTTTTTTGCACATTTGCATTTAAAAAGAAGTGTATGAGGTCCCTGCATGCCTATACACCTGTAAGCGGCTCATTCACTTCAGAGCCCTTAGACCAGAGTGTTAATGGTAGGTCTATACGATCTTTCAAAAAAAAGGAAGGTCGGCACGTGCGTTACAATTTACAAACAAACTAACTTCAGAAGAGCTGAAATTTACAGGAACAAGGCCTCTTTTAGCCAACCAATGATGCATCATTTATGAAAATGAATGTAATTTGTTTGATGCAATTAGGCGAATACCCCGTGGTTACGAAATCTTACGATCATGAATTCCTCAAGAGCAATTCAGTTACCAACTTTTCACAAAATAATGCTGTGGAAAATTACATAAAATACCAAAAAAGCAGGGGTCAACAATAATTATGGCCTGGTCCCTTATAATAATGGAGTGGTCATGATAAAGAAGCCCATCAGCCCCAACTTTGACCACTCAAACAGATTTTTGACAGATTACATACTGCAAAACTTTGCATTCACTTATACCTATGTTGCCACACCAGGAGCCTAGAAATCGGCTCCTGGTCACACCTTGTTTTTTTGCTGAATATCATTCTAAAGAGCTTTACGAAATATTTTGTTAGTAGGGGTGTTTTGAACATGATTGATATTTAGAGATGGTGACAAAAACGAACACAGAAAAAGTCACAAAACAAGACGCATGAAACAACCGCAATCTAATATTCGTTTTACACCGATGTAATGGCTTCTTTGGCTGCTATGCTGACGTTCTTGAAGATGGCCGGTAGTATCACAGCTAGTCCCGGGTTAGGTATACCGTTTGTTACCAGTTTCACGGTTCCTGAGACTTAGGGCCTGTTAACATAAAGGTGGGAGACCCCAGTTAGGTGAGGTAACCTGCTTAGGTGGGGTAAAAAAATAACCCTCCTTTACATGCAATCTTACAACCCCGCCATAATGGGGTGCAGTTTCTCACGATTATATGAATGGTCGCTAACCATGTAAACAAGAAAAATGCTGGCAAACCACGTCTACGCTCAATTGCTGCTCTTGCTGCAACCTTCGGTGTTGTGGCTTTCTATTGTTACCTTTAATAACTATGTGAAGCCACCCAGCGCCAAAGTGAATTTTGCGCGAATTTGATGTATCTCGAATCCGACCCCGACTAGCCTGGGTTTCCTCACCTTGAAACGTTGACATGGCAAAATTTGACCTCAGCTGAGAGGGTTACCTGGTGTGGCAGACCGGGCTACCCACCTTGAAGGGTGACCCCACCTATCATGTAAACGTGATCAAATTAAAATGAGAGATTATATGGACAGGCGGGTTACCCCACCTAAGTGGGTTACCATTCCTACCTGGGGTCCCCTTCCTCCATGTAAACAGGCCCTAAAAGTTAGCCCGGCCCCCTTTCTACAGTTTCAGCAGTTAAACTATTCACCATTTATCATTTGAGTCAATCTTGTACCACCTGAGTCTCACTTTTACGACTTGATAAGCTGTTATTATTTTTGGACATGAGTGCTTCAGTGCCAAATGTAGAGGCTTCATGATAAACTGTGCTGTTTTTTGAAGCTTGGGCTAACTTGTTTCTTTTTTTTCGTTTATTGAGACCAGATTCTTTTTTGTTTGTTTTTGCTTTGTAAAGCTTAGACAAACTGCGGAAATTGTAAATGATATGACTTGTGCCACGGTGCTTGCTTCTCTATCAAAACATGCACTTGCGTCCAGGAGATAACTGGATAACGAGAAACTGAAAGGCATCCAGGCCTATGTTAAGCTGAAAAATTAATTACCTCCCTAGGAAAGAACTATTTTGGGTTCTGTCATTTCGTTATTTGCTCTTCATGAATAGCTGTCATAAATCCCTGATAATATGTGATACAACAGACTCTTTGACAATTTCTTTTTTCTGAAATTTTGTTTGCTTCCTTCAGCTTAAAGTGACAAGTAATGACAAGTAATACTTGATAAATAAGGCTTAAGCCACACAATAAGGCCTCCTCTAATTGAAATACATTAGAAAAGGAGAAGAGACCCCAGAAGCTGAGTACTTGCAAGTTATGAAGCAAAGACGAGGCCATCTTAGAAATGACTTATGAAAATGTGGGCGGACTGTGGACTTGCTTTAAGGGCACAGTAATAACCAACTTAATTATACAATCAATAAGCAAAAATGGATGGGAATGCCAGATGTTCGAGTGAAATTGTTGTTTACAACCTGAGAATAGAATTCAGAGTGATTTAAGGCATTAAATAACAATTTTCAATCAAAACACCACAGGGACCCCAGCAGGTGAAATTTACAATAATAAAATCCTGTTTAGCACGCTTCAGTGGCATATTTGCAGTGGGCACCCCCTCTAATATTCATGGTACTGCAATAAGCTATCGCTGTGCAAAGTTTGGTGCTTTTGTCAACTCTGTAACGATCCTGACCCTAAGAGACCTGACTAAGACCAGTTCCAAATGGTCGCCGCCGTTCTGCCTTCTGATTGGGCAGAAAAACACAAAAGTTTTCTGGCACCAATCAGAAGCCAGAACGACCGCGACAGTTTGGAACTGGTCTGGTAAGACATTGTCCCCAAGGGCTCTTCTCGCCGTTCTTTTCTTTTCTTCGTGCCATATTTTCCCGCCCGTTTAGACTTTCTCTCGCCCCCACTATCTGCCCCTGGGTCTCCGAGGATGGCAATTATCATAAATATATTTTCATGGATGTACAATTTTACCTGCTTACCGGGTCAATAACTTACAAACTATAACACAAAGCGTAGTTAGTAGAGGAGACTGGTTGTGAAAGCCTACACGCATCAAAGTTGAAAACAACGGTGCTTTAGTTTACGTTGGAAGTTCCCTGACCGTGTACAGTCCTTTGTTTTTTGCTCACAAATTTGGACTGAATAAATTAATGCAATTTTTCTATTGGTCAGTAAATTTAAAATGATAGGAATGCTATTGAACGTTGTGCACGGTCAAGTTCAAAAAATCTAGCAAAAACATATAACAAAGGAGACTAACAGGTTTCATAACCATTCCACTTTAATAACTATGCACAAAGTAAGACGAGAGACAATTAAATACCAACTAGTGTTTAAGAGCCTGTTTACATGGAGGTGGGGGACCCCAGATAGGTGAGGTAACATGTGGCGGGTCACCCCACCTATCATGTAAACGTAATCAAATTAAAATGAGAGATTATATGGACAGGCGGGTTACCCCACCTCCATGTAAACAAGCCCTTGCACTTTCCTCTGCAAAACGCATCTGAACTGTACACTAAAATTGAATCATTTGCAACATGGCAGACCAATTTCCTCACCTCTCCCCTTCTGGTATTAAACTTGCAGTGACAAAATCGTCAACTGGCATTTCCCCCCACAACAGGATTAGCTCGGTCGGTAGACCGCTTGACTGCAAAGCGGGAGGCCGTTGGTTCGATTCACGGAGCCAGACCAGTACTCAGGGTTTGAAAATAACTGAGAAATGGTGGTATTGCCGTATCCCTGCAAACGGCTAGACCTTCGCGTGGTTCTGATGACCATGTAAAATGGCAGTCCCGTCTCCACTAAGAGACGTAAAAGTAGTCTCATTGATACTCAAATAATCGAAAATAAAGAGCTTTTTTTCTCCCTCTGACCCTCGCATTTAAGGATATATTTACTACTGTGTTCTAAACTACCCACACATGAGAGAAGGAGGGTTACTGAAAAAAGCAGTTTACTCACCTCTCCCCTGACGGAATCAGGACTACTGACAACAGCTGCCTCTGCAACTGCATTGTGCTCTATCAAAGCACTTTCCACTTCAAATGGACCAATACGATACCTGACAACAAATCATGCGTCAATACCGATTTATACTGGTAATAATGACCTTTCTTTATTTAAATTTATAGAATTTCAGTCATTTCAATAATACTACCCAACTACTGACCTGAGTTAAAGAAAAACAAGTGGAACTGGCTTTCGTGAAATAAGGACGGGGGGAGGCAAATTTTATTACCTGCATAGCCGGTTTTTGAGCCGACGAGTTTCCGATAATACGACAGGTTTAAATTCATATGTATGTTGTTGTTGTTGTTGTTGTTTTTTTCTGTTGTTCTTGCTATGATGAGTAGCTCTCCTCATTGCTCATTCCAACCATTTAGCCTCTCCTGTTTAGTGTGAACACCTATCTGATCGCCGCGGCGCAGCTTCGCTCCGTCACAGAAATCGCGCCGCCACAACCGTCCTTGTGTGTGAACAGAAACCCTATCAGGTATAATTTTCGCGCCGGCGCATAAGCTATCCTTTACAGTATGAACATAGTCTTAGTCATCAGCGATGATGATGATGATGATGATGATGATGATGTTTATTCACCCAGTAATTTTACATCATTAAGGCGCACGCAACACGAGTAACAAGGCGGATAAAACTGTGACTGAAAATTTCGTATTTTAGTATTAAGTCTCGTATTGATTGTAACTGCTTTCTAAATGCAGTGAATCTTACGCAGAAGGCCTGTGATGGCTTAACATTAAAACAAAACATTCACTACCAACCCAGCAGAGAGTATGACGTCATCTGAACGTCCGACAAAGTAGAAGTAGCCATCACTGTCTCGAATAGCTCGATCACCTGCAAAAAGCGGTAGATGGTGAGACTGAATACAAGGCAACTTTCCAATACGGTGAAACAGCCACTGAGTTGTAATTTAAAGCCCTGGAGATCATTCTAAGATTCCCAAAAAGAATTGGCCGTAGTGGAAATCGAACGAAGACGTCTGGATTAGTTTTTAGTGGTAAATCGCGGAAAGAAAGAACGGTAAAGGTAAACGTTGAGTCGGGTAGCACTTACAAAGGATAATAACAGGGCACCCGATGACATTTTTCTGTAAAATAACTCTTAGAAGGAGCAAATATTGCCTAGAAATTTCTAAAGCTTCAGAAAGGCTAAACATTTCTAGGTAACAGTTCCACTCGTCGAAGATATTCGGAGTTTTTCTTCTACCTAACCTTCGATTTTTGGAAGCTGAGTTTTTCACATTTTATTACCAAGATATTGCGATTATTGTTAATACTGAAAAAGGTCCCCTGAAAAATTTGGAATGAAGCCTAGGCGTCCCGTAGAATCTTCTAATGGAGGTAAGGTTTCTCCATGTCCTCGGACCCATCAGGGTGGCTAATAGTCTCGGGTGAGACAAAAACTTTCCAGGTGACCAAAGTTCCCCGAGACATCAGGTAAACTCCAAATTAATCAAACAGGCTTTAAAATCATAGAGAAAACCATTAGAGAAACGTTTGACGTATTTGGAAACATTCAGTCGTTGGGTGCCCCTGATTAATTCTGTGCGAAAGATCAAATTTAACCCTCCAATACTTCATGCAGAAAAGAAATAAAAGATAAGGATAACATGGCAAAATGACCAAACAGCGTCAATAGGCAAGTTGGTGTGTAGTGAATTTCACTACCACCGTACCAAATAACGAGGCTGATGAGTTATTCAGATTTACTGATTTGTTATTGAGCATTCTCACACTGGTAGTGTTACCTGTCCAGTATAAATTGTCATGAATGACAGAGGCTGTTCTGTCTGGGTCATCCTGTAAAACAAAAAAAAAAACAATAAAATGACTTAAGAGGTTCGTTCTCTGTACATCTTTTGCTGTTCATTACGAGAAAATAAGCAATCATTTGCGTGAAACGGCGACCAATTGTGCGAAGATACATTCATTCGCGCGAAAAAACGAACATTTGCGCATAAATCAGATTCAATTACGATTTTTGCATTTTAATCAACATTCAATAACACTTTTGGGTATTCATACGCGTCATTGGGCATACAGAAGTGAAAAATATACTTTCATTAACGCCAACATCAAATTCATTAACACCATCTTGAAAGTCAATAGGGACAACTGGCATACATTAAAGTGCAAACACTATTCATTAACATTTTTGCGACACAGTTTGCAATTCAATAGCATTCCTGGACAACCTTTTCTGGATGCTAAGTGGATGTGTAAGTCCTTTCGCCATTTCTTAAGACAAACTTGCCTTATTAACTGCGGAATAAAGTTCTCTTCTTGTACTTTGTTGTTTTTCAGAGTTTCTCTGATTCATTTCTCCGGAACTTTACTTTCGTCAGTACTCACCACATAACGAGTAAAGAGACCCACTGGTTTGTTTGGTGTCATCGACACAACAACTTCGCCCTCCACTCCAGCGGGGCATTCATTACCTTTCTCATCCACAATCTACAACGACAAGTAGACGTCTGATTATCAAATGATAAAAACAACAAACCCACTGAGACCAGTGACAAATGAAGACCTGAAACGGACGTGCCTTTTATGGAGATACCAGTGGTCATGAATAGAGGCAGGAGGAAAGAAATCAGTGTAGATCAAGGTAGCGTAATTTTACAAAATTCAAACGGTAGGAACTGCTACAAAATTGAGTGAAACATAAAAATAACCTCTCAAAAAATTAAAAGAAGGTATAAATAACACAGCAAATACACAAGGAGGCACGGATGGACAAAGTTGAAGAAGATTGAAAAGGTTTGCAATGGTCGTCTTTGAAAACTTGTTAGCCTAACAGTTTTTCAAAGTCCATTTTTGATGTTTGTAAAGTTTGTATAATATTCCCACTGCACAGCTATTGACCCGACACGAGGAACTAAGTTTAGGAGGAAACCGCTACTGCCAGGGGGTATGCGACGTCCGTCAACCGCTACCACGGGAGGTGGGAGGGGCGAAACCTGTCCACTGTGAACTGGCCAAGAGCCGGGCAAAAACCCAGCAATTCTAAGCAAGGGCAGAAGTAGAACATGCCACCAGCGCGCTGGCTCAACACGACGGAACTTCAAGGAGTTACTTGCGTCACGGGCCAATTTTGTATGCAGTGAGAAAAGATATGGTTTGATATAATGCTCAGGAACCCATGACCATAGGCTCCTGAATGCTTGGGAGACATTTGTTTGACACGAAGCGGTGGTTCTGTCATTCACAAGTAACTTTTCAAGTTCCGTAGCGAGCAAGGTTGCGTAATTGGCATTATTATCAAAATGAAATAGAGACAACAGCCGTGACACTGCAGTCCCTTCAATAAACAGTTTAGTCATACAATCGATAGAGTTAGCTACTAACCTTCAAATCATATCCAGGAGCAGGTTTCCCCATGGACCCAGGGCGGTTTTCAAGGCAGCGAAATGTACCACACAAAAGGGTCTAATTTAATGAGAAACAGCAACAAACTATTTACCAACAGCATTAAGAAAGAGTATGAGACACTTGTTGTGTCCAGTTCCATTAATCTTAAAGTCGGTTGTAACAGCTATGGTCTGACGTTCGTCCCAGTCAAACTCTTTATTTTTACACCAGACGCTGTACGTCTGCGTTAGCTTTTAGATGCACTATAGAGATTAAGAAACATCTTTACGGCAAAGCTCTGACGTGTGGTTCAAGTTAACAATTTAATAATAGAGAGTTTTAGATCCGAGTTTACCGCGAACCTCTAACCGCTGGAGGTCACGTGACAAGTCTTTCGCGTCACGTTTGAGGTTTACGACGTGCGTTTTCAACGTGGGGAGGTAGGTTTTCACGTATGTCATTTACTTGAAAGCTTTTAGCATATAATTCTTGTTTTATCCCACGTAATGATACAAAAATCTTGTCGAACAAGTCTTTATCCACTAACCGAGGCACAAATTCGGGCGAAATGCTAAATTTGATAAATCCTATTGGATCTTGAAAACAAGTGCCATTCATGGCTGCTGATTCAAAATGGCGGCCGTAAATTTGCAAGAAGAACTAATGTAAGAATTTACTGCTCTTTGCTGCTAGATAACCCAGTGTTACCGTAAATTTCTTTTATTTTCATTGATTGATATTTCTTCTATTTCTAAATGGAAAAATAAACCAGAATCCACTTCTTTAATCCACCGCCAATCTAAATCGAATTATGTTTAACCGTGGCAGGATTAGCTCAGTCGGTAGAACGTTTGACTGCAAAGCGGGAGGTCGCGGGTTCGATTCCCGGGGCCGGACCATTACTCAGGGTCTTAAAATGACTGAAAAATGAAGGTGCTTCCTTTGCACTGCAAGCGGCTAGACCTTCGCGTGGCTCGAATGACAACGTAAAATGGCGGTCCCGTCTCCATTAGGAGACGTAAAAATAGTGTCCCCAATTAGCACTTTCGTGCTAAATACATTGACACTCAAATAAAAAAGTGCAAGTGCAACCGCAACGGGTAACCGCAAACCGCGGTTAGAGGTTCGCGGTAAACTCGGATCTAAAAGTCTCTAATTAATGAAATGAACCGATAAAAACCAACCAAGATAATCTTTGCGGATAAACCTAATGATCAGTAATCGACAAGTAACTAAGGGAAAACATGATCAATCCGATGTACAAAATGACGTTTGCCGTTTGCCGTGACTGTAATTCTAAATTTCTCTACTAACTGACCTTAGAAGATAACAAAATACCTTATCTTTAGATTACGATATCTAACTCCTTCTGGCTCTAAACGTAAAAATACGCGATGTTGCACTGAGGAAAAAAATAGCTTTAGACAGCGTGCAAAGAAAGTAGTGTCCGCTAGTGGATTTTGCTATCGGGCTAGTGAATTCTGTTTTTAACTTGTCCGACGGGCAAGTGATGTTTTTTGAGGAATTCGAATAACAGAAGAACTGTGAAATCAATTCTGCCCATCAAAAAGCTTTTGAGGCTAGTTGAAATGACGACTGGGCTAGTAAATGCTACAACCAGTTGCGAAAATGTTGAGACACTTGACCAGGAAAACACTCTTTTTCACTAAAGATCGCATAAAATCACACATCTCAGAGGTTAAACAACTCCCCCCTCCCTAATTCCCTATTTTCAATGTTGTTGCTCGAAAATTTCAGCATGATCTCCTATTGTGACCAACTTTGAGAAGGGAGAGGGAGGGGTCTGAAACGCGTGGACCTTATAAGTACCCTTGACATCCAAATTAGGTACAATGTCTCCAGTCTTTTTGCAACTGGTTGTAGCTTCAGCTTACCCGAAAAGCAAGCTGTAAAAATGATTTTCTTTGCACCCTGTTTAGAGCTAACTTCAGGTAAACAAATTGAACTTGTGACGTTACTTTGTCTCACAGTTCTAGCCCATTTATTACTGAGTCGTCAGTTCAGTAATTTATCGGCGAGTTTCTTACATTTTCCGAAAGGGGCCAGACGTTCTTCAAATTTTCTTACAATTTTCCTAAGCACCGTCCATAAACTAGTGCTAACAATAGTTCTGGCCCATTTTGCTGAGCACTATAAACTACTGTTAATCATAATTCTGATTAGTTTATTACTGAGTCGCTAGTTCAGTAATTTATCGGCGAGTTTCACAGATTTTTCAGATATATTCCTGAGCGCTATAAACCACTTTTTTTGATAAGTAAGTGACTATGAAAATGTTTTGAATCACTCTGTACATCAGTCTCAGATTTTCCAGCTGTATACTTACGGTTTCACTTTGCCCGTAACCTTCTCGGATCTCAAGCCCAGTCGCATCTCTCCACTCATCGATAACCTCCGGATTCAAAGGTTCCCCTGCACTAAGACAATGCCTTAACTGTGATAACTTGTAACTGGCCAGATCCTCTTGGACCATCATTCGGTAAGCTGTTGGGGGTGAGCAGAAAGTACTTATAGGGTACTTTTGCAACGTCTCTAAAATAGCAAGGGACTCGAAGCGAGCCTTGTGATATACAAATACACAGGCGCCTTGAAGCCACGGTCCGAAAAAGCTACTGTAGGCGGATTTTGCCCAGCCCGTGTCTGATATGTTCCAGTGTATGTCTTCAGGTGAGAGGTCCAACCAGTACCTGTAGAATGAAGCAAGTAAATTTAAAAACCTCAAGTGGGCAGCTAATTGTTTAGAAGCCAATGATTAATAAAATTCGCCTGAGGGAAAAGGTATAAAATATGCTAAAAAAAGGAACGGCCCATCGAAAGTTAATTATGTAAAATCCATAGGACAGTATGCCAAGGATTACCAGCGGAAATAGCAGAGGTACTTAATGGGAAGACTCTTACTTTCCGGTAGTTATATGCCCAAGTCCGCAGCTAGCATGTGTGTGTTCCGCCATTTTTGGATGTCCTGTAGTTCCACTTGTGAAGTAAACCGTCATTGGTTCGATACTGAGCGTTTTCACGCACTGAAAGAAGCACAAAATATTAAGATGAGGCTCAACTATACGTTAACAAAGGTAACAACAACTTAGCTGAACTAAAAACGTCAACTACATGATTACGAACCTCATGCTCTGAAGAGGCTTGTTCGTACAATTCTTTAAATGGAAGCCAGCCTTTCCTGAGAGAAAAAATCATAACGCGTGTTCGAAGTAAACCTAACATATGTCAAATACCGCCGTCTTTCCATTACATTTATATATCACCCTTGTGTGTTCGATTGGGTGTCCGGTTGGAGTCAGACGAGAACATCACGCGGAGGGAAACTAAGGGAAGGGGCACGAGGGCCTCTCCCTCTTTCCCTCCCCGTCACCTTGCCTTTCTCTTCTCTCCTGACTCAATTTTTCGTCCTATCCATCACTAGGAGACATGTTCACAAGCCATGGATTGCTCCAAGGCAGGGTTTGATTATTTATGATGGTTAACTTCGCAGTTGTTTTCTGTTCCTAATAAACCGTCTCAATTGATATTTCGCGTAAAATTTCGGTTGATGCTTGTGAAAATATTTATTTTTCAACTTGGAGTTAATTTTTGCAAAAAAAAGAAACTGCGGGAACTCTATTGTCTAAAAAAAACACAAAAGCGCAAAGCTAAAGGTCCTGGAATAGTTGAGCGCTACATGGTTGTTTGGTCATTTGAGCCATCAGGTATCAGTCGCCGTCTACACGGGTAAGTATCCCTTGGTAAGGTTAGTCTAACAAGTTAAAAGAAAAACCTGTCTGTTTTCCAGTCTAATGAGCCGTGAAGGGTAAAACAATTCATCAGTCAGTGCTGGGGTAATGTGAATGAAGAAGCTGGGCTGAGTACCTGTCTTCAGTTTTCTGGTCCAATTCACTTACAAGTATCTTTTTTCTCAAAGAAGGAGAAAATTTTGCAACCTGCAAGGAAGAAAGTCATTTAAATAATGATGGTTGACAGTCTCAACACTCAACGTTGGGTATATGTTGAAATGGTTTTCACAGCCAAGAAACACAAAAGTATAGAAAATATACAAAAATATACAAAACGAGGCGTAACACATCAGCCACCAAATTTAAACTCTGTACTAATTTAGTAACACCCGCATGAAAACGAGATTGCTTGCTCATGCGACCATATTCAATCTAATAAATACGACAAATTGATACGAGTCGGGCTTGAGTCATGAATCCAAAGGAAAAAACTAGGATCCATAACTTACGTACCGAGAAAACGAGGTTAGTAACATATTTACTACATCTCTGAGGTCGGGCAAGAAGAAAGGAAATTTTCATATTTAGCGGGCTGTACGGCTCGATACGGCACAAAAATTGACAAATCCCAACATGGGTACTAACAGAGAAATCTAAACTAATAACGTTTAAAACATAATTTTTTAAGTGCTAATGTACCTCATCAACCAATTTAGCGCTGTCTTCATCTGCTATGATACAAGTGGCGTGGGATGCCAACAGGCGTGATTTAATGTCTCTGGATCGTAGCTGAGTTGAACCAGGGCTGATAACTGTCCCTAGAAAGACAATGGGACAAAACTGGGAGCTAACCTGACATTGCCGTCCGCAATTTTAGATCCCACTTATATAAGAAAAAATAGTCACGGGAAAGAAGGTCATTCTCCCAGCAAAGACAACTTTGGCGAGCATCTACATGAGCCAAAAAAGTTGACCCCTTCGCTCGAGCTGAGAGCTGACAAAAGTGGTGGCGCATGCTCTGATTGTCTCATCTTGACTGATTTGACCCTGCTCAATATGGTTATATGCAGAAAAGTTGGCCCGACTAGGAGGGTGACGGCTAGGCAGGCAACCCCTCTAGGCAAGCCAACGGTTTGCTTGTCATGTAAATGGTTCGCTACGCTTCGCACGGAAATGTAGGAAAAGTTGGCTCGCTCACCACTCCTTCCCCCAGGGTAGCTCGGGTGTGCGAGTGAACCTTCTACCCGGAAAAAGTTTTCTCCATATAAACGGGGCGTTAGTCAAATGTAAATATAACGAGCCACGCAGTGTTACCACTACTTGGTACTCCATTACATAACAGGGAGACCACGCAATCTGTTTGTGTATAGTAGTCGCATGTATGGGTTACCGTAAGGTACCGTAAGTTTCATGGTATGGCGAGGTATTGCACAATGTATGCATAGAATGGCTAAATTTTTGAAACTCCTTTGCCATCATGTTTGCCTTTAATTCATAACTATGTCAATCCTTTACATAGCCTCATAAGGATCTTGAATTGTGCTGATAAGTTTAAAAATTGATAGCATTCCTAGGGAAAATATCATTTTCCTTTGTTTTTGGGTACGTTAAAAACATTTTAAACAAAAGATAAAATTGAACCGAAACATATCCATGACTAAATTAAAGCTACATATCTTAATCTTCACATAAATACAACAAATACCACTAGCTTCCAATCTTTAGCCAGTAGAAATTGAAGTGTATTGGTAGCCTGAATTTCCGACACCACTTCGAGTTGTTTACTCCCTCAGTGACACTGCGGGAGAAGGCGACTCGAAGTAATGTTCGAAATTCAGGCTAGTGTCTAGGTTGATTGGACATGAACTGCGCATGGGCCTCCCTATCCTCTTCACTGAGTTAACTGATAAAGCAAAAATATACTTTCATCAGGCTCCTGTAAGAGTTTATTTTAATTCAATGCTCTCTAGTTTAAGTAGTGATGATGATTTATTTTACCTGTTCGTAAGCAAGCGATGTTAAGAAGCCACCACTCAGGAAGTCTAGGCAATATCACCATGACGCGGTCTCCTCTTTGAACTTCACCACCTCCGAGAAGAACATTGGCGGTTCTTTCAGAAACAGCAGCAACAATGAAACAAACAAATTATGAGTAAATCATGCGATAACAACTACCAGAGAGCACACAAAATGGGCTCGCCAATGGAAACATCCAAGTTTTAATATAATTATCTGAAGTCCATGCGCCCAGTTATTATGATTTTATTGTACACAATCTCACGCGCGTTTTGGTAAATCGAATGTTTAAACATTTTTCAGCCACGTTTAGTATCTATTGTCAAATTTGGAACAGTTTGCCGCAGTTAAAAGGTCCGGCCTTGGTCCCAAAAAAATTTTTTCGGTCCTTTGGGCCTCAGTTTGGTCTATAAACAAGGGGGGCCTGGGGCCCAGGGCCCCTCCCCTGGATCTGCCATTACATTTTGTTACAAGGATTTTTTGCTAATACAAAATGTACCCGACAAGTGGACTTCTCTTGATCCATTATTAAGGGAAGACAGAATGCTTCTGAGGAAGATGCCTCTTTGACCGTTTTTGAAAGAGGCCACTCTTCAGCTACCCTAAATCAATAATTGTGCACTTCCTTTGTCAGGATTATCAACTGGACAAAAAACGATCTGCGGTAAAAGGTCCCCTCATTCTCGAATTTACCTTCTGCTTCGTTGAGCAAGTTCTTGGAATGTCCACTTTATTTCATTTCCTTTATCATCAACCCACCAAAACGCCGGGTGTCCCTTTGCTCTGTGTCCATTCTACACATGTTAACATGACAAAAAAAAAACAACAATAACAATCACAACATTCACTTCCTTGGAAGAATGCTTTATCAGAATATTACCTTGACATTCCACTGGAATGTATGGAACTCCTGATATTAACACTGATAAGTTATGTATGGCCAGTTCTCAGAATCCATTATTTCTTCCCCAACTGATCGACCCAATATTAAAATACCTGTAATGTCTGCTGAACAGGTTAGTGTAATACTTATACTTACTCACATTTTGGTTGGACAAACAATTTATGCTAAGAACAGGTCATGCATAGCCGGCAAGGAACATGAGTGAATCAACTTCCATATGGCGTAGGCAGGCACAAAACAAAATGCAGGTCACAAGTCACAGTTCACAAGTGCAGGTTTGAGTACAGGTCACAGTGCTATGGTAAATAAACAACATTAAAGTGTCTTCTAGTCCTAATCACAATCTGAAACAGAGTTTTAGCTTAAGGAGAAACTGCTTATCTCAGTTACTTATCAATAGAGAAGTGACCTGAACCTCTAACCTACGATCTGTGCCCCTGTGTTTCGTACCTACCAGGTCAAAAATTAGGTACATCTTGGTAATCCACACCATCGATCCAGACAATTGATTATTAGGATTCCATGTCAGCCAAAAAAGCAAGACATTGGAATTGTAACAACTTTCCATCTTACGTAATATTAAAAAATGATCTACAACAATTAATTGTTTTCAATGATTTTGTAAATGCCTCTCTTGAATTAACACTGCCCTTGTGACTGCCCTTGTGACTGCCCCGATGGACAAAACCTGCGGGCAATAACTCTCTTTTGAGGACATATCACAAAAAGACAGTGCATAGGCCACAAAAAGAGACACACCACTTGCAGCTTTGCCTCCTGCTAGCACATTATCATGCTCGCCACATAACCATTAGATTCTCAAAAGCTACCTATCAATCAAAATATTAACATAAATTATTGTTTATAGAAGGTTGTAGATCTCTTAAGGTGGCTGAACACAGTTTGATAGATTGTGGTTTGTTAACATTCATTGAGGTGTTACCTAAGAGTCCAAGATTGCAGCTGGTATAAAGCTCAAATACTTAGCACAGACAAAATATATTTTAAAACATGACATTATATTATCAGGTTACCTGTGTAACTAGGATTTCAATCACAACCATGTCAACATGGATGAACGAAAACAAGCCTAAAGTTTTGAATCTATTTGGTTATTCGCCCAAAATCCAGTCATTTGTCATTTCCTCAGATATAAATTTGACACAGCTGACAACATAGGCGTACGGGAAATTTTTTGCCAGGGGGGGCAGTAAACCATTTGCCCAAAAAAATCTCGCAAGTTGCCCAAATTTTTCCGAAAGAGTCGAAAAGAAATGAGGGCCATATTGCAACAACATAGGCCGTCCTGCCATATGAAGGTGGCTCGATACGGTTTTTCAGGGTCAATACCAAGTCTGAGCATAAACTACGTCGCCATAAACAAACATTTGGAAAAATTGCGACCACAGTTGTATTTGTCATCATCAGAGTTGCCATGACATCGGAGTTGTCATAGCAACGAAATGACTCCCCCCGCCCATTACCTACTTTACTTCAGCAATGATTCCCGGTACGGCAACCTTAGAAAATCGTTCACAGGAGCTTTTTTCTCCAGTATGGTCGCCTCGATGTTCGTGGAGTTTAAGCAAAACCTTATCGAGATATTTTGGAATGAAGTTTTTATTATTAGAAATCAGGAGCCCATCAAATGATGGGCTCCTGTAGAAATACGGTAAGAACAGGAAAATCTTGATTTTTGGCCGTTATCTGTAGAAAACGAAGCGCTTTTGACCTGCAATTTCACCTCATAGTAGTTTTAATCTTTTTAAAAACATGTGTGAAAGATCATGGAGATAGCTCTGCTTGATTGCTAGAATCGAAAGAAGGATTTGATTAGTATGAATCGAGACACTCTTGTTAGCAGTTTTGTAAACATTTCAGTCTACTTTAACAAATTAGCGAATAATTTTAAACCGCTCGATAGACTTTTTAAAAGAATTAAAATTCTTCTCGTAATTCAAACTGAGAATTAGTCAGCCACTTCTTCATTTTCATACCCATTGCTAAATGCTATCTGCCATGCTCTGTTCTTCGAGTAGAGATGATTCTAGAAAGTTATTCAAAAGTTTATTTTAATCAATTCACGACTGGAAATAGCCCATTCCAGCTAGTGCAGTGCAGTATAGTGCCCAACCAAAAAAAACTGCAAATATGTAAATTACTCATCACATGCTAGGCAACCACTGTAATGTAACTGGATTATTATGCCAACTTCAGGTTAATATTCAGGTCTTTAAAATAATTAAATAAACATGGAGAGGTCTTTAAAAACTGGCTTTGCTCAAATTTTCTCTCACTGCCCAAAAAATCTGAGTTGCCCAAAATTTGGGGGGGCTGCAGCCCCCCTCGCCCCCCCGGCCCGTACCCCTATGGCTGACAACTGGCGACCCTCATTTTAAAATACAAATTACGCCCCATATACATGTACCTGTCATGTGTCATGCCTAAGGTGTGATTCTCACGCCTGTGGGTCAAAAACTTTGAGCTCACGCCTACACATGCCTGTGTTCCAATTTCTCACACCTGGTGGAAACGTTTGAGCCATTACAGCATTAAGTGACACATTTTCTCCAAATTCTCATATTTTAGTCGGGGAAGTCACTGGAGATGAGGTCCTAGTCCTTCGTGTTCGTGTGTTTGTGTTAGACTGAACTCTTCGCAACGTCTTCAGAACACTAAATTTCCAATCGCTAACTGTATATTAAAGTTCATTTAAATTCTGTGTAAAAGGCTGATTTTTCCGTTACTGTTTTTCATCTTTTTTTAACCTAGTTTAATTAAACATGTTTAGTTAGGGCCTGTTTACAAGGAGAGAGGGTTACCCTTGTGCTAGGGTTACCCTAGCAAGCAGGTTAAAGTTAGCTCTGGTTTACAAGCAAATTTCACATGTAGGGTTACCCAATCCGACCCAATCACCCAGGTTAACTTTATCACCTTTACTGACGTGTTTCATCATGCATGGCATTCTTTGTAACATCCAAGATTTGAAATAAAACTTGAAGTTCTCAATGAAAAATATGTTAAATTCACAATAAATCTGATACAGAAATACCTTATATTGTTCAGATGTTTATAATTTAGCTCAGAAATTGGATAACTGTTCAATTGTCAAGATTACGGGTCACGCATGGTGGAGAAAAGTTGTCTCGGGTAGGCCAGTTATCCCTATCAGAGTATTTACAAGTCATATAGGTTAATCCTCTTGCTAGGGTAACCCGAGCACTCAGGTAGGGTTTACCCTAGCACTAGGGTGTCACAAAAAAATAAGTTAACTGAAAACATCAGGGGTGCTTACCATTTGACAGAAAATTTTGGAAATTCTGGATGGAAGGTAAATGGTAAGGTCACTTTTCGGAAATTCCAACCGAAAATTTAGGAGTACGTTTTGAGGTAGTCCTTTCATTCTGGTTGGTACAAACCAAACGGAATTTTGCTTACCATTAACCAATTTGTTGGTTCCTTCACGGTTCCAGACTCACGCTACACAAATTCGCCCTTTTTTTGGATTCAAACCATGAAATTTCTACTGTAATGTGAAATCCTTACAATAAGGCCTTTGACACCCCAACCGGATTTTCCTGTCAAATGGTAAGCACCCCAGCACTCTCAAATCCCTCCCAAAGTTCGCTACAGGCTCAACACTTGTGTGCACTGCATGGTGGTGTGTTTGTTATTGGGCGCCATCAATTCAACCAAAATTTCCGGAAATTTCGGTCCAAAACTCAATGGATCGGTTCAGTCCAACCAGAAAAGTTTCGAAAAAACTGGTCCACCTTTTGAGGTGGTCCTCTTTTGCCGGTCGGACCGGTCTGAATTTTGGTTGAATGGATCGTGCCCATTGTTGTTGTTATTGCATGAGATCACGTGATGTGTCAAATTTATTTTCTACCAACAACGTCTGGGCATTTTTCTCAGCTTATGTCGTCGCACTTTTTTCTTTAAAAGATTTTTGGCCTCATATCTCATCATGAAGCAGATGTTAACAAGCACAGTAAATTACGGGATAAAGAAATTCTAGGGAAACTGTGTTCAGCCGCCTTGTAATGTATCACGGCACTATTACACCATGTGACATGACATTGCATAATTAATATTATTGTTTACACGCACTATGTGTACAAAACTTGTCCCAACCTTTTCCTTCTCTGCCCATTCATCAATGACCTTGGCAAAATTAAAATATTCTGGAACCTCAAAGTGAAATTCTCTGCGTTCTTTCTCGTAGTCGGTGAATCCGACCTTGGAGTCGAAAACTGGCGGAGTAGCGACGTGAACACGATGACCTGAACTGCACCGCCACGAAATACAGTTGACTACTCGTTTAGAAGATCCACCATACTTGTTTGCCAATCTCCAAATATTTCGCAGATTAATGGCTTTGACAGACGAATTTATTCCGAACAGCCCCATTCCAATCACGTACGTGAAGATGCCTGCTAAGGCGCCTGCTGACAGTGCTGACTGTCACGACGGATTGCGTTACCAGTGTTATTTTTTTCCAGAACAATAGGTGTCTTTCAATTGTTAATTAGCTTCAAAACCATTCTCTGGCTTTTTATTCTTTTTTACAGCAAATTAAGAGGGCCACATTGTAGACATGTTTAGGTTAGCTGTCTTAGCTGACCGTGAGAATTTCACACTTTATACCTGGGACTGTAGGAAATAGCACAACTACACGGACTTATCATTCCACAGGGTATTTTTTTCTTATCTTGTTGACTTCTAAAAACATACTGGTAGGGTACTTCTCAGACTTCTCATCTGATTTAATCTGTCCTTTTGAGATAATTGAAACTTGAAGTGTATTTTTTGGAGCTGTTATGCATCGCAGGCACAGCCCAGCGCCACGTGCAAACAATCAAAAAAGACATGCACATTAGCTCCAAACCGGTTTGGTGACATATCCTAAAATCGCATGGAAATGAGACTTGTAGCGCCTGTGACCAGGCGCCCAGAGGTATTGTTTTCTCTCGAGCTTCGAGCGTCGTTGACGGTCTTTTTTGCCTAACGTCGACTGATTTATCGTCCAATCACATCAGGAGAAATATAGGTCGAGCGCGGTTGCTAAGTAAGAGGATTAAACACCGTGTAAAGTATGAAGCAAGATTTCCAGTTCTTCCCTTCCCTAACCTTCCTCCCCCTCCCCCCCACCCCGCCTCAACTTGATCCAACCGGCTTGTGGTTGTAAACAGTTTTACCTGACTCGTGGAAAAGCGTTAATCTTACCGAGCGAGGAGTAGGTAAGAAAAATTAACAGACACACGCCCAGACTCATCGTCTTACGCAGAACTAACGAATTCCAAGTAGGACAAAACAGCTGCCGTCAACTAACCTGAGATCAGGCTCAATTTTCGTTTCGCTCTGTAATAACATTCCGGCAGGCAAGGCGAAACGAAGAGAATGTATGAGAACCGGTAAAATTGGGCCTGATCTCAGGTTAGCCGTCCACTGGCTAAGAGACCTCATTTTATTCATCATATGAGCGTAAGTCCATACTTAAAGAAATAGTGCAAAATAACACAATACATTAACTGATGTTTGGGAAACGACCTTTTTGTACTCTAATTCAGTTCAACGGGGTTTCAAGTGGGATCAGTTAACTTTAAAAACCCGTCTACTTTCCTATCCAAAGCTGAAAATCATTTGTCCAAACATCTAAAAAACCACCAGCTAAATTTTATAAGAGCAAATACAAAACTAAAATTCGGAAACAAAACTGTAATCCGGAATCCTGAACATAGGCGTGTAGCTTCCAAATTAGGATAGGAAATCATAATTTAAAAATAGAAACTGGAAGATTTACAATTCCCAAAACTCCTGAAGACCTTAGAATTTGTGATCACTGCATGCAATCTAAATTCGGTTGAAAATGACATGCACATATTATTTCACTGTGATCAATATAATGATTTGAGAAAGACTCTCTTTATTAAAATTAACGACCGAAATACATTATTTTACAAATTACAATATCCATGATAAAATCACAAGAGTCTGTTTTCTTTTAACAATACCGATTCACATATCAGCAGGCTAACTGCTAATTTCGTCTTTCAAGCATTTGAAAGACGACAAGAAACATAATTAATTCTACCATTTCATTATATCTTCATTACCTTAAATTGAGCTGTTTATTGTTATTTTAATCAAAATGGTAAATACCTGTACAAAATAGTAATACTGAATAAACTTGTTGTTGTAGATGTTGTTGTTGATGGATTATTGATATTACCAGGTCAAACTAAATATTAGATAGATAGATAGATAGATAGATAGATAGATAGATAGATAGCTTTAATTCAAATCATATGGCAGCCCAACAAGGCTGAATTGCATGAATTTACAAATACAATTGATACAAAGCTTAAAATATGAATAAAAATTATACTTTATATGAATTAAACTTTATACAAAAAAAACTGCTAACGCCTGCACATAGATGGCAGAAATGTGCTAGAAAAACGCTTGGTACGCATGACTGGATTTGCAAAGTGGCGTTGTCTTCTAAGGTTATAATACATGACAATAGTTCTTGGGAGGGAGAAAATGATGCAACTTATGATCTGGATTAGTAGAATCAAACAGTTTTTCACACTGATCTATGCGTCTGTTATCTAGAGATGCCACGTTGAACATTGACAGGCTGTCATCGTAAGAAAGGCCCGGCGAAATAATTGATAGTGCACGTTTTTGAATGCGTTCAATATCGTTACTTAAGTAGTCAGGCAGAGCGTGATGGTACAGGGGGGCACAATATTCTAGAACTGGCCTTATACAAGGCTATTCCAAACAAAACATCACTCTGCTGCACTTTTTTAGCAAAAAACCGCGCGGCGAACTATCAGGAATTAGGGAAAAAGAAAAAACCTTTTGCACCCAGGGTACTATCCGTGAGAATTCAACATCTTGAACATCATGCAAACAACACTGAAGAACTGAGCCCAGCAAGACAATGCGTCTCGGGAGCCTTATCTCTTTTATCAAACCGTAAGCACAGTTTATTTCAAAAACGGTATTTTGAGAGCGGACCTTTGGAGCCAGGGTACGGACGTATACGAAACACGAATAGTCCATGGACCTCTTCGAGGACCTGGTCCATGGACTACCCTAAGTTTTGAAGATGAATTTTTACCAGAGGTCTAAACGAATTTTAGGAACCTTAAATGGACGAAACTTTGACAATTTATATTAACAAGATTAAAGGCTCCTCAAATTTCACACATGCTCAGTTTTTTTCTGAATTTCAAACATGGATTCCGTTTAGTCTGGAAGGAAGGGGACATAAGGAGAAGTAGGGAGGAAGTATTCACTTACGCAGCCTTTTTCGTGTCGTCGAGTTGCGTTAAGATCGACACAAAAACGGCCGCGTAGGAGACTAGAGAGGAAGACGTAATGCATGATGATTGAGTACCCACCCCAGACTTAACTCCAGACTTCCCTTTCCTTAATGTCCCTTGGATGGCAATGTTTGTTGGTTGGCAAACTTATTGAATTCTGTTCACCAATCAAACACAAAATGAACTGCATATTATCAAACAATGCGGTTCGTTAGACGTCTTACAAGTTTGCGTACACTTACGGGTTGGTTCATGTAAATTGCCATTCATTTAATTCGAGAACGTTGTCATTGCAAACTTAAAGACACTTTAAAGCTTCCTCCGTAGTCTCATACGCAGCCGTTTTTGTTTCGATTTTCAAGCAACGAGAAGACAAAAAGAGCTGAGTAGGAGATTACTTGCTCTCTACTCCTTCGCGAGACTTAAACGAACCCATTACATTGGTATGGAATTGCAAAAAAAAAAATTGAACAAGTGTAAAATATGAGGAGCCCATAACCCTGATAAACTGACCACAGTTTCGTCAATTAAGGTCCCTAATATTTGTTTAGACCTCTGACAACATTCATCTACAAAAATTAGGGGGTGGTCAACAGGGGTAGTCCATGGACCGGGTCCACGAAGGGGTCCATGGACTAGGTCCACAGGGGTGGTCCATGGCTATGGCAACGTTCCGTATTTTATATTTCAGTTCACTTTAAAGATGGTTTGGTGAAAAGACAGCTGCTGGGGATCAGGGAAGCTCAAACAAGATAAGAGCTCCATTTTAAACACAAAAAGTGTTTCAAATGTGAATTTTGTAATCAACGTTTCAGAAATCTGTGAACTTTATTGATTTATTTAAGGCTTTTTCTACACTATACCTGATATACCGAGTAGCTTATCATGTCGACATTAAAAATAGAGAGGAGAAGTGTGACGTCAAGTTACCATGGTAGCAAAATTTCTGGATTTCAACTTATTTCCTCACAGAGAAGGCCATTGTCGAACGATGGAAGAAATATATAAGCTACTGTTTTGCTCCTGAGTGCAATCATGCACAGCAACGTCGTATAAGTCATTTTCGTTGTTTTTTCTGTGATATTTGAAGGACCACGGTTTGTTTAGCCTCCCACGCAGGCGTTTTTAGGGAAGCTCGTTTTTCATCCCTGGGATGAAAAACGAGCTCCCTAAAAACCTCTGCGTGGGAGGTACGGTTTGTTGAGATCAAGAAATTTTGCTACCATGGCAACCTGACGTAACAACTTCTCTCTACACTCTCGGGCTGGCCTTGTATGAACCGGCACTGTTCACAATGCCACGAACAAAACCTGTATCGCGCGGTACAGCTTTGCTCCGCTACAATAATCCCCAAAATCACCTTATGGGTGACCCGATATGGGTTTCGTACCCGCGCAATATCCTAGGGGGCGCAAGAGCTATCGGGGGTAGTGTCTAAAACGTTTGCTTTTACCTGTTTAAAGCATGTTTTTCTCGTTACACACGTCAAAACTCACAATTGTTAGCGCGATTTGTCACCCATGATGCATACTAAAGCGCGTTTTAAACATATTGATCTTTTTTTATCTATCGTTTGCAACTCTTATGATTGTTTCAATTCTCTGAACACTAAAAAATCCTTTCAAAATGGGATTTTAAATCGACGTTTTTTTTTTATAAACAGCTTTTCTGTAGGATGATGCTTTGTCTGTGTGAAAAAGGGAATCATTCTTGCGAGGGGAAAGGGTATTGCCACATAGCAAAAGAAAATGCTGCATTTGCACTGAAGACAAACAGGAAACTTATGATGTCAAGCTACATTGTTTCAGTAATATCTTCGTTAATTACCAGCTGTGCTATAACTAGGAAAACAAAAATACGTTCGCATAACAGTCGACAAGGTGATTTCCGTAAATAATAAATTACATTTTCATAAAAAGTAGAATCTGAAAATAATTGGGGTGCTGCTTTTATAGTTTTCCACAACTATGCCCCTCTTAACCGTTAATATTTTTTCTTCCATAGTCAATTTCTTTTTTTTTTTCAATAAATTAACAAACTATATTTTGGAAAATTGAGCTTTTGAGATTTATTCTTAATCATAAGTTATGTCAATGCCCAGTTGCTGAAGGGCCGATTAGCGCTATTCCAGGAAAAACATTTTGTTCCGTTTTTGTATTTTACCTTTCCATGAATTGCTTAGTAGAGGAACACTTTGTGTTATCAATACTGATTCTCGGAATAAAAGCTTAACAGTATTTTGTAAGCTAGAGTGACATGATCTTAGACAAGAAAAACCTTGCTTAAAAATTGGCTTAATTCTGGGTTTCACTTAACCTTCTTTCAAGGAACTGGGTAACCTGAATTTCATCAAATTACTTCGAGTCTTTTTTTACTCCCTCAGTAACTGAGGGAGTAAAAAAGAATCGAAGTAATTTGATGAAATTCAGCCTAGGAACTGGGCCCCTGAGTAAAAACTAATATTCATGATCAGAGAATTTCTTAATTCTTGAAGGTATATCCTTCTTGCACGTAAGAGGTTGCTTAGCACGAAAAAACGTCTCGAACAAATCTTGCTCCCAAGTGTATCCATAACTCAATTGTTGCACAGCTGCAACGTTTACCATTCCTTTCATAAAAAAATAAAAAGAGAGAGAAACGTATATTTTGCTCACAGATAACAGAGAAAAGACGTGAGTGTTGTCATCAGTACGGGCTTTCAAAAAACCTTTTTGCTGAATAAGTAGGTCTCCGTCTTATTGTGGATTTTAAAACCTTTTCAACACCATCTTTCACGGTTTTTTAAAGGTTCTCTTAGTATTAAGACAAACACTTAACAAACTTTAAGGTAAACATAAAGTATAATTGCGTAGAAAGTGGCGCGTACGACGTAGAGTTAGATACATTATGCCGCCATAATTTCGGGCATAATGCTATAGTCAGAGCATCGAGCATAATGTCGGAATAATGGGCATTTTTTTTTCAGCATAAAAAGATAAATAATAATAAAATAATTAATATTTCCATAAATTTAATCAGAAAATCTTAGTTTTTCGAGGGCTTTTAGTAAGGAATTAACTCATATAAAAACTGTTGCTAAATTCAAGGCCTGATTGCGACGTTGCATTCTTATGCCAGGTTGCAAACTGATCAGACAGTACCCAAAGGATGGAAAGTTCCACTTATAATAAATAAGACATTTTGAGTGCTTTTGAGCATCAGTTGTCGTTAATTTCTTGTAAATTTGTAATTGATGCTGTAAAATATCGTGTTTCTGACCCAGGGCGATATTGTTTTTGTCTACAGTCATGGAAAAGGCATCAAACATACATGAGCCAAGTTCAGTCGAATATAATGCTACTTTTCGCAGATAATTTTTGGCAAAATGCTGTTGTTTTGAGGGTGACGCTTAACCGCATAATGGCCACATTTTTGAGCATAATGTAACTAACCTTCCTACGGCTATGAGCTCGCACTCGCTTTCTTCAGCATTCAACCATATTGACCAATCGGAGCGCGCGCTTTACTTTTGATATTCTACAATTCCTTTCAAAGATGTGTTTAATAGCCTTGAAAATGTTCAGAAAATATTTTCTTTAAGTAGAATTAGCTTGAAATCGACCAATCATAAGACTATGAGACAAACTATAAACGAAACCCTTCATATACTTTTCCACTTTAACAATCATTTGACTCTGTGCACGTGTGGAGAGGGCATCTTTGATTGGTGACCGATCAATCCGTTTTCCAAAACGCATTCGCCGGAAGATAATCAGCCGCTATTTCTACTGTTCTTTTATTTTAAACCAAACAACAGAAAAACGTAATGAAATATAACCTTTTGAAGATCTTGACCATTTTAAGTGAAGGCTGTGAAGGTGAGAGCAGCTCGGTGAACACCTTCGTCATGTACCCACCGAAGCCACTTTCCACTAAAGTTGTGATGAGTTTCTTAACAGTTTTGCTGGCCCTGGGTGCTACGTTTGGTAATGGTTCAATTCTGGCCGTTATTGCACGATTTAAATCCTTTCGAACTGTTCCAAACACTCTTCTCGCTAATCTTGCTGTGGTAGACATGCTAAATATAGCCATCAACATCCCAATCTTCATGATTTCTACAATCTTAGAGGCGGGTTGGTTCAGAGGACAGAGTCTGGCGATCATGTCTAGCTTCTTCAACCGATTATTTATTATACTCAACCTTGCATCGTTGCTGGCTCTGATGGCAGACATGTATTTAGCCATGGCCTTTGATCTAAAATATTTCGTTTGGAAAAGTACCTACAAAGCTGTGGTATCCTCTTTTATCATCTGGTTCGGTGGCACCCTGATTGTGGTTCTGTTTTCCATTCCCTTGCTCCTCATTGACCTTGGTGACGTTCAAG